TTGCATATCATGTGCGTGTGGCATGTGTTGAATGAGTGCGGCGTGGAGCATGCCACCTAATTAGCATTTGACAGCGTGTTTGCTCACTTACCACATGCACAATTCCAATCGTTTGCCACCAACTGCCTGCCACTAACTGCCTCCCTGCCCCACAACCGATTTATGCGCAAAATTTGCCACAAATTATTTTGCAACTCATTTGGTACACTTTATTTGAATTTGCATTTTTGTTTTACTATGAAGAATTAACTGTTCAATTGGAAAATGTCACACTAAACCTGTTGAAGATATTATAAAAAATTATAAAAATGGTTTCTATTTCTATTCTATGCCAATCGATTTCCCCAATGTTGAGCTCGAACTCCGTCAGTTGTGCTTGAATGAAAAACATAATGTTATATAACATTTTTGCTGTGCAACACTTACCCACCAGGTTCTCGAAATTGTGTTTTAATATATATAATGAAAATATATATATAAACTCAACCGCATTAAAGCCTATAACAATGAGGAATTGATTCAAATTTACCATCAGACAAAAGCTAAAAACAAGTCAAAGCAAAAATCACAAACGATAAGCGATTAAGAAGAAACCAAACAAAATTAACTTGAAGTTACTCCCACAGCGACCTACACTTAAAAAAAAACAGCCCTGAAATTTAGAAAGTCGTCCTAAAAATTTGAAAGCTTTTCTTGTTATTGAAAATACTTTTTCTATATATAAAAAGACATTTTGCTGCGTATTCGAAAATCTTGCACAATGTTTGTGTTTCTTCTATTTTTTCGAAATATTTTCTATTATTAAGAAATACATTTCTAAAAAGTAGAAATGCAAACATTTTCTCTGAGTGCACTTGTGCCAAAACTCGGCTCAGCTTATGCGCCTGCGAAACTATTCGTACCTGATTTGAGGCACAGTGTTCCAACCAGAAGCTTGGTTCCTTTGTTTGTAGTTTGGAAAGTTCCGACAGGTCTGAAAAGAAGGTAGAAAGGAGTCTCTCTTCCTCTTCCCAGTTGAGGAAAATGCGATTCCAGTTTTTCTCTTCTGCATGAGTCCAATTAAGACGTCAAATATGAGGTAAGCCAGAAACTAGCAACATTTTTCAACATTTGCAACAATGGATTACCAATCTGATTACTACAAGTACTAGAAAAACTCCTTTCGCTCCGCTCGTCAGAAATCGGCTTATAACTGATATAACATTGCTTGCATATACACAGATACATGAGTGGAAGACTCTCAGAAGATGTCTTATTACAATTTTGAACAATAACCATAAGCAAAAGTCATTCGCTTCGAATTGATTTGACAAAATTAAAGATATGCATATTTTACTAGCCAAAATGTTGTGTTTCCCAATTCAAAGAATAGAAAACAAATAAGCTGTGACCGTGGACAAGTTGTCATCAACTTTACATGCAACGTTTGTAGTTCGAATTCGTGTTTTCAAGCACTTTTCTGTCATTTGTTTTTGTGTGGAGTGACATTTGATTGACAGACGACCCTTGTATATATATATATATATATACATATATTTAATGTGTATAATGGACAGGCAATGACTGAAGCAAGCGGGCATAGTTTAATGGCCAATTGCTTTATTGGTTCTGGGGAGGACGCAAAAATACACAGCTCAAAGAATGTCAACGCTGGTGGACAGCCAGGCAAATGGTAAATGGTAAATGGTAAATGGTAAATGGTAAATGGAATGTCAAGGCAGAGATTTGTAAGTAGCCATTGCCCTATATCGACCTTAACACATAGATACTCCTATTGCCAACCGATAACACCTCAGACAACTAACAAAAAACAAAAGTGCTCAGCTCAGTGAGGGAAGCCTGTACTTCAAATATGCCGCCAGCTTCTGTGCGGAAGTGCGGCAAATGGATCGAATTATCGAATATCGAATTACTTGCAAAATGTGAAAGACTGTGGAAATTCAAGGATTTCTATGCTTGTGCAAATGCTTGCCATTTGCAAGCAACCAACACAATCTCTCCCTCTCTCTATCTATTTATCTCGATTCCACTAAACTTTAAGATAACTTCAATTTATATGAAAAAACCAAAATTTTTGTTAGCTTCTTTAGTCAAATAGAGATACGCTTAGCTGAATATGGCCTGATTTACTCGGCTGTTGATGTTGATCCAGAATATATATAATTTATGGACATGCTTTCCTATATCCTCATAAATTGGTCCTGCATTCAGCGAATTTTTAGTGCATTAAGGACTCGGCGACTGTGGCATAAATTCAACTAGTCTAAAATGCTTATGATGCTAGCCTTATTGGTCTTAAAAATGGATTGAGTTGCACATTACAAAAGTAAGTCGGTGGATGGGTTTGGAAAGTTGTGGGATTAACGAACGAATGGCTTTACCAAAATTGACTCTGAAATGTGCCTGCTGTATAATTATGTTAAATCTCGACAATATTGTGCCTTTATTTGAGACTAGCTTACTTAATTCTAAACAGCTTTCGGCATGTCAAAAACTTTCTTGTTGCCACATGTAGCATGGAACGTACGCAAGAAGAACAACCGCAAAATAGGCAACAGCAGCCGCAACAACAACAACAACAACAGCAACAGCAGCAGCATTCATAGCCTACTTAGTGGCGCACATTGCAAGTTATTCAAATTTGAATCAGGTCATGTTCCGTAATTCGCATCCGGATCCGCATCTGTAGCACATCTCGCTCCAACATGTTGCTTAATGGCTATCTCCCGCAGTGTGTGTGTGTGTTTGTGAGCATAATTGTTCCATGTGACTATAGTCGTCACTCGTTATTAGAGATGCGCCCGTGTCGGATTTAAACGTGCCACAAAAATACCAAAAATATTATTGTTCATATATAATCGATATATATATATATGATATATATGTCTGCCTGCTTGATCAAGGTTAGATCAAAAAGAAGTCAATTATTCTCTATTATTAAAAATCATTTTGTTTTTGCCGCGTGTCGATAGAAAAGTCAACTCCAGCAGCAGCTGTGTAAATTGCTGCAACAATAGAGACATAGACATAACACAGCTACACTATAAGAAAAATACCAGTGCATTTTTTGTACTCAAATTAACTGCCAGTGTTATCCGAATTCAATCAAGATCGATTTTTACCTTAATTACTAATTTTAGATAAAGAGTTAACTTTGTAATCGAATTGTATGTGAAATTCAATGAATAGTCGACTGGTCGCTCAGTGTTTTTCTCACAGTGTACATGCTACATGCTACTTGCTGCACATGCCACAACCATGTATGTATGTATATGCTACATGCTACATGGTTGCGGCAAACATGGACCTTAATTAGATCACAGTTGGCAGCCGCATAGCATTTTATTGCCAACTTTTCTGCCTCGCAGACACACACACATTATGCTCAGCCTGCCACACGGGCGACGAGCGACGAGCGACGTGGCACGGGTCAGGGGTCAGGGGTCAGGGTTCGCTTGTCTATCAACGTCTTTCAGTCTTCATCATGCATGCCAGTTGGGACGAACCCATTATTGAGCAACTCGCGGTCCGCATGCCACATCAAATTTGCACGCTCAATCTGTGTTTCAAACTTGGCGCTATTTATGGTTTATGTGGCACAGATGCTGCTGTGTGTTGCCCCAGTGTGGCATCAATGCGTTTGCCCCCCTTTTACATTGTGGTATTTGCATTTTAATTGAATTGCGCTATTATTTTATTTATTTATTTTATTAACACCACTAGTTGGATGAGAAAATGTATCATGCAACATGCCACAAAACCCAAATAACACACAACTTCACTATTGTTGTTAATACTGTTGCTGCATGTATATATTTGTGGCAAGTTTTGTTGGTTTATTTTTATCACTCAACTCAACTCAACTCAACTCAATTCAACTCTCATGTGTCCGAGAGCTGAGTGCTCGTTAAGTGGCACTCAAAACACAACTTGCCAAAATGTGAAATGGACAGTGGAAAATGTGGAAACCAGCAAACAGCAATTAGAATAGAATAGAATATTAGCCACAGTGACCATTCTGTAACCCATCTTCAAGCTGACTACTATTTTGCAGTATATAATATATAATTTAGTACTCGTAGTTGAACTGGAGCTCGAAAATAATATTAGTAATGGGTATTTTCTAGTTTAATCTCTGCTTACGTTGATAAATTGTAATACAAAAGACTGAGGAAGACCAATTGGCAGGAAGCAATTGGCAGAAAATGTATTTTGTAGCTGAACGCATACTGAATGGAATTCCTGATAAATGGCTTAAGTATTTCGATAAGACATTCCAGCTTGAGTCCTGACGGGATTATCAATGCAAGGACATTGCCTCGCCGAGCAAACGATGCAACAATTCAGTTGCACTTAAATGAAAAATCGCCTTGAATTTTAGAAATTTAACATACTTTTGGCATTTAGAAAGTACATTTGTGTAATTGAAATAATAAATATAAGATATGCGGTTTTGTTGGATGAAAACAAATATATTTAATTAAACATTTTTATTTTAAGATTTCACATATACAAAACCTTTAATGTAATTAATTTGATCCAGTAAAAATTTTACAAATAATTTTGTTTTAAATGAGAGTTTGCCTTTCTTAACTATAGAAAATGATTATTAAAAACTTATTTAAAAAAAAACACATATTTTCTAGATAGTTGATTTAGGGCAAGATTTGTAATTTTTTGAAAAATATTCTTTTTCTTTTGCTTAAAAAATCAGTTTTGTCTTAGCTTGGCATTAAATTAACATATGGTTTGGAAGTCGCTAGGAAGCAATCAATATATTAAATGCTTTATTAGTGATACTATAGAAGCAACTGGTCTCCAAAATGTTCAATCGAATTGTTGAAGTGTTCTCAATTGAGTCGTGAAACTTGAGGTGGTCCACTTAGCACTTCACTTGTGGAAAGTATAGCTTAAGAGAGGCATAAATAATTGTTGAACACTTGTGCATATCAAATAGACATTTGGATAATTTATATACGTTTTTATTTGTTTTATTGCAGACGAGTTCTGTGAGGAATATCCTCATAATTTGATGCCCACACCCGGATATTGGATTGAGTGCTCGCGTCAAAAGATAACACTTCAAACACCGCACACCATCTGGGATGAGAGCGATTCAGAGCATGAGGATATTCGCGCTGGCAGCGCCAGCGATGCGTATTTGGAGCGCGAATGCAGTGATCTCTATGAGGATGATGAGGACTCGGAGGCGACTCCGAGTCCAAGGAAGAAGACAACCATCGAGGAGCAATGGGATCAGCAGGGCGCCTTCGAACTTATCTCAGTGGAGCAGGAGACCTATGAGAAGTATTTCTATGGTACCGAACATTGGAATTACTTTACCAGTGATGAGGATCTGGGCCCCGTTATCCTATCAATCAAACAGGAGACGCTCAATGGGCGCGATCAATTCCGAATTCTGGTTCGCGCTGGCTCCTACACGGTACATGGACTGATACCGGCCTCCTGCGTATTTGCCGATAGGTACAAGTCTATATTTCCCCTGCCTAATATCTATATAGATATATATACATATATATGATCCAAATTCAATCTACAGATATAATCGTGAGGAGGTAGTTAGATCTTTAGGCAAAGAAGTTAACTTAAATCCACCATTAACATTAGGACAACTACCCGATACGCCAGAGGAATTATTAAAATTAGATCAGGTATATATACTATATACATATGTACTTTATCTCTCACAAAATCAATTGTGATTCTGATTTTGATTACACGTACTTTGTAGGTTTTCATAAAATCCGAACTTAAAGTCGGCGTCATATTTGTCAAAGAGGATCAATATTCGGAAGAGCAAATTTTGGACAATAATGAAAATTCACCGCTCTTCGATGAGTTCCTAACGCTGCTCGGAGATCGCGTACGCCTACGCGGATTCGATAAATACAAAGGTGGCCTTGACACGGTGCACGACCTAACCGGTACGTGGATCTACATATACATATATACCTAAATCCAGATCTACATATATTTTTCGTCATATTTCGAGTAATAATTATGCACCAATCTATTTTAGGTCTATTCTCCGTTTATACAAACTGGCGCAACATTGAGATCATGTTCCATGTGTCCACGCTGCTGCCATATGAGAAGCACGATCCCCAGAAATTGCAACGCAAACGTCACATTGGCAACGATATCGTCTGCGTGGTATTCCTTGAAGCCGACAACACTCGCTTCAGTCCAGCCTGCATCAAAAGCCACTTCCTGCACACCTTCATACTGGTAAGTCATCGATAAACCTCAACATAACTCAGAATCTGAGAATGTTATATATTCTTGATAAGCATCAACAGCCATGTTGAATTCTCTGCATTCAGAAGAAAAATAATCGAAATTTTTGAAATTCGTCATACTCAGCTTATTATTAAAGTCAATTTTCTAAAACTCCTAAAACCAAATGTGTTGTTTTCTATCGCGTGTCAATGTACAGTGGACAATTTTTGTTACTTATATTATTTAATAAACGTTAATGTTTTGAAGATATCATTTTAGATAGTTTATAAATGCAATTTGAAAAATCTGAACTTTCAATTCGACAACAACTGTAGAAATTTCATCAGTTGTTAAAGAAATCTTGAAATTTTATTGCTTTGATAGTGAAGTTGATACACAAGCATTATGTATACCGTTACACTTGTAGGTGCGTGTATCGGCTCGCATTAAACACAAGCCGACACGCTACGAGGTGTCTGTCGTGACACGAGACGAGGTCGGCGCCTACAAGCCCTATCTGTGGGAGCAGTCCGTGTTCGAGAAGGGTCCGATGTTTCGGTAAGTTGCAATTGAGATTGAGATTGAATGATGCATGTCTTTTCTTATGACCCCCTTCTCCGGCTGCCCCGGCACCCCATCTTTGCCATCTTTATTTAGCGAGTGGCTATTGACGAAGATTGTGAATGGAGAGCGTGCCTCGTATTCGGCACCAAAGTTCGCCCGGATGCAGGAGAGAACTCGATCGCAGATGCTCGAGGATCTGGTGATGAATCTATCGAATCATGCGGAAACTGGTCAAATACCGAAGCCGTATAGGCGGGGCTCCTGGCGACCCATTGGTGAGGATGAATATTTCAAAATGTTGCATGCCAGAGTTTTAGACAACAACCAACAACAACAACAACAACAGCAATACCAACAACAACAACATGAACACTACAACAACTGCTGCTATTGCAAAGAGCAGCAACAGCAACAGCTGACTTTGGGCTTCGACAGCACACACACACACACTACACACAACAACATCAACAACAACAACAACACCAACAACAGCAACAACATCGCTGAGCAACTACAACTGCAACAAGCACAGCAGCAGCAGCAACAACAATCAGCAGCAACAACCAGAATCCTCCGCTGCAATTTATGCTGTGGTTCTGTGATGCACCTCTGTATGCGACATAGTATGTGTAGTCTACCCGCACACACACACACCACACACACACACCACACACACACACCACACACATTCCCAGACATTTATTGAAATCCTTACAGCTTCAAAATGCGCTTCGCAATTTTTGCTAGACTGCATTTTAATTTTGGTTGAGTTCGTCTCGCCTTTTGTGCAGTTGTGCATTCGAGTTCAGTTGAACTAGTTCACACGAACCAAGTGTTTCTTGAGTTCCAAAAAAACATGTCTCGCTCATTTTGCACACCAACTCTCGAGCAGTGTTGCCAACAGCACTTGATTAATCTCTGTACATATGTACATATGAGTAGATGAATGATTCGTTCGTTCCCTCTCTCACTCTCTCACTGTCTCTCTATCTCACTCTCACTCTCTCTGTCTCTCTCTCTATATCGATGCTCGCGGCATGAATGATTGTTTTTGCCTGGTTGTGGTTCCTGTTTCAACTGCCGTTGCTGCTATTGTTGCTATTGTTGTTGCAACACTTCCGCACACCATGCCACACACACACACACACGAAAACAGAAAGACACGTTTACACACGCAGCGGCACACATTTGCTCACACTTCCGTTTCCGCCATTAACACATCCGCCTGTGTTTGCACCCAAAGGAATCACAGAAAGCTGCGCTTCAAACGCCCTTCTACGCCCTTGCATCACCCACCCCCTGCCCGCCGTCACATTGCAGTCGAAAAAATATATATAGCTGCCCTTGAACTTATTCATATACATATTTCTAACCAAATGCATTGTTTAAATTCTAAGAAAATTCATTTTTGTTATTGAAAAAAAGAAGCAAAATTTACTTGCCTTTCTACATTTCAGCGAAACTATTTCATTATTTTTATTATTTCCAAGAAAAGCAAGGACAAATGTTGTTTCTTGATTCTCAGGCAAACTTGTTAGCTGCAAATCGCATGTAAATTTTATGTATAGTTTTCTTCCTTTTATTTATTTGTTTTTTTTTTTTTTGAGTGTAGGACGCTGTGACAAATTCAACAGCCGACAATCTGTTTGGCAGCGAATATATTGCCACCCCTCCCCTTCCCTCAACACCCCCACGAGGCGCCCCTGGCCACATGGCGTAGCTGAAGTTGTCCGGCATGAAAAAATGTTGTACATTTTATCGGCTGTGGTCAATCTTCTTCGTCCTCTTCTATTTATTTATTTTGTTTTTATTATTGTGTTTGTATTTGTTTGTTGCGTCTTAGCCACACATTTTACATGGTTGTTGTTGTTGTTGTTGTTATTATTGTTGTTATTATTGTTGTTGTGAGTAGTTTTTAGATCTGTAGTTTTTGTATTTTTTTTTTGTTGGTTGCATTAAGCAAAATAAATGTAATTTGATTTATTCATGCACATAGCACAACAATCCGCAGCCACAATTCACACAGCAGAACACAACACCCTCCTCTGCACTCCGTACACCTCTCGTGAGAAGCACCCCCTCGCCCGACCACCCAGAACACTCACTATCCAAATGGTAGCCAGCATTGGCATTTTCAGCCCCTTTGCCACTATAGTTATGCATATTAAAATCATGCAAATTATTGATTGATGGCTTTCTGGAGCATTGCTCCACACACACACACACACACACACACAGACAGAGACAGCACCTCCCTGATGGTTCCCAACTTCCATCCTAACGTGAACACCAACCCCCGCTCCCTGGTGACTTTCCATACCCTCCCAAAGCAGTTTGAATAGTAACTCAATTAGATTGGTCTACAGGCAAATGTGGCAGTTGAGCATTCCTTTGAGACATATGTCCAACTCAGAATATGTATCTTTTAATCTATTGAATACATCAACATCATTCGACTTTAAATTTTCAATTTCAAATTGTTTGGGTCAGTTAGTTGATTTTGAAAGTTGTAATTTCAATTACATTTCTTGTCATCTTTTTTCAAAATCTTTGCTTGCAATTTTGCTGAAATTATTATTTGTTGTTGATTTTGTTTTTTTGTAAAGGACAATTATCTTAAATGAACATATTGGAACATACATTTTAAGATCATTTTTCGACGTTAATAATAAAGCCCATACACATTTATTTGCAGATACTTTTCGAATTTATGACTTCTGAGTATATGTTATAATTTTGACGTAGAAAAAAAGTAGCATCTAATAGTTTTTCACCATTTTTGACCTCAATGTGAGATTTGGAATTTGTATATTTCGTAACACTTACCGTTTTGGGCTGTTCTTTGGTCACAAGAAAAGGAAAAGAAAAAAACACCAATCAATCAACAGACACACCAATCAATCAGTCACCAATCAATGCGTGTGTAGTCAATAAGTGAATGAATCAATTGTCAGTCAATGCAATTTTTTTTGTTGAATACATACACAGCACTAACGAAAATATTGCGAAAAATCCTTGCCATCCTCCACCTAAGCAGGAAAAATCGAAATCACAATGTTTCGTAGGAGATTGTATGTAAGTATTACACTTGAATATGGAGTTCGGAACGTTTGATGTACGGATTTTTCTCGCTCTCCAAAAATCAAACAGTTTAGGACAACGATGAGAAAATTTCAAAATTTATACAAAATTACAAACACATGATTTCAATTCGATTCTCAATTGGCACAACAGCAATCTGGCTATATTATATGGTGTATTGGATACATCTTTCAAAACTATAACGGTTACCAACGAAATAAATGCAAGACAAAACCAGAAGTTTAAGCATCGATTCAAGTTGTACTTTTGTTGGAAACGTTTCTCACAATAATATCAAAATCCATGAAGAACTATGTATACGAAAATCACTTTGAAACTCTCGAACACAATCGTATTTCGGACGAATATGATCTAAAAATGTCGATTTCATCAATGATTGCTTTAAATCAAATTTTTGAAGTTCGTTTCCGTGATTCTGATTTTAAATCGTTGTCGGATCACTATTTCATGTTCAATAAAAATAGTCGAATTAGCTAAAATTAAAATAATACATGATCAAATTATAAAACCATTGAACGCACTAAACAAAACCCCATTTACCTATTTGCATGCCATAACATAACCAGTAAAAAGCAACAAATTATAAAGATGAATAGCTAAAAATTCAAATCACAGCTGTGTTCAAGTGCTGCCCCTGATCCCTGGCCCAAATTTGTCCTGAAACTTTGCAGTGCTGACTCTGCAATTGATTACACAAGCTAAATTTCACTGTTCACCGTTTTTATTAGTATATTTTATTGGCATTTGTATTTTTTGGTAATAACCAGCACTCACCTGGCGCCAAATGGAATACAACACAAAACTGCCGGTCAGCTCAATGGGTCTCTCTCTCTCTCTGTCTCTCTCTATCTCTTTCTCTATCTCTATATCTCTCTGTCTCTCTCTCTCTCTCTCTCTTTTTTAAACAAAAACGAAATCAATAGAATCAAAATAGAAAAGGATATTTGGCCTCTCTGCAGAATGTGTAATGTATTCGGTCGAAGCTGAGTTTGCTGTCAAGTGCATAACTTGATTTCCATATGGCAGCTGCGACCCTTAAGCGTTATTCACGATATATATATATATATATATAGCTTGTGCTTTCAGTTTTTGCACAGCACAAAAATTCAGTGTAAATTATATTGGAGTTTGTCCAAATGAAATGATTACTTTACATCACTCATTCCACAAACAACTCCAGAAAAATTAGACTTAACTTCAGATGAGTTTTCCAAAAACTCGAACAATCCTTTTAATACACTTAATTGATGGAAAACTTATAATTCATTTGAGTACGCTGCCTTGATCGCTGCCATCGTTGTTCTTGTTTTCAGTGTACATTTGTAGATATATAGTTTTGTATACTCGCATTGGCAACAGTCAGATGAAAGCAACATTTTGCGGCAAGCCTTATATGATTGATGGCTTGCAGAGACTTCAGCTGTTTCCAAAGTATTTTGTTGCTTGTGTATACAAATATAAACAAACATATGTATGTACTATGTATGTGGGCAGCAGGTGAAGGCGACTGCGATTAAAAGGCCAAAAGGTTTTTGCTACCCTCTCAATATATCCGTAGGGGTTACAGCAAAAATTACAAACTATTTGCAAATTCATTTAAAATTTAGACCATTCTTAGCCTTTAGAGAATCATATATGTGTTGTTGATTTACACATATATATTTATACATGCATAGTAGGTAACTCAAAAATATGCTTTAATCAAATACCAATTCAATTTCCTTATTTCTACAACAATCCCTTCACTATAAAAATTAATCCTAATCTACATTGTTACATCTCAAAAACAGTATTTACAAGCTTTAATATAGCCATATAAATACAGACATAAATATTGAAATTATAATTCAACAATAGTAGATATTTTTATTTCGTTAATTTGTTAACCTAGACAACAAACAAAAATAAATGGAAAGTAAAATTACTCTAGCGATTTCGATTAAAGGGCTTTCTACAGGAAATCTCCCAGTCCAGCATACCCCACTTCCTTGTCCCAGTTGCCATGTTGTATAACACAATATATTTAACAAATTTTTGAATGTGGCCTTAAACTTATCTAAAGCGTTCCCCAAAGTCATCATACATGTAGGGTAGACAACTGGCCCCTTTCTCAAATAAATAATAGTTATAAATACGTGGGAATGTATCTTTGCATAACTGTTCCCCCATTCATAGTTGAACACATTGTAAATGATGCTCAAAATATGCTCAATTTAGCTATATCCATTATATATGTACCTGGGATGCATTTTAAGCACTTTTACTCTCTTAATAATTTAAATATACTTTAAAACGGTTATTTTCAAAATTGCAATGCTGATATTTATTATTTCTGTAATTTATTTCTTTATTCTGTAAGACTAAAAAAATGAAATTGGATTTTTAGAAATATTTTATGCCTCGCACATTATTACGCAAATTATTACGCACATTATGGGTAGCTTTTGCTTTGTAACATGATCAAAAATTAAATATTCTATAATATGATATGGAAAATTCTTTAATATCTCGATACCAATAATTATTTATATAAGCTTTTGAGTCAACTTATTTAGACAGTAAATTAATTCTATTTATGTAAATATATATCATATTTATATATATATATATATATATATATATCCGAAATTATCCAATACCCTATATATAACAAAATTAATATTCAATTATCAAGTTATGCAATCAAAATATAATCCAATCCACATGTATATATCAATAACTAATCCAAATTGAAACCTCCGTTGAACGATTATTTGTAATCTATATATTTTTGAAACAGGCCATATGAGACCCTCGTCACCGCTGCTGGACTCAGTTAGGGATCAGTTCGAGGACTATGATCAATTGGCAAAAGACTTTACGCGTGTATTCCTAAACGAAGAACCATCGTGCCTCACAAATGCCCATCTTTTCGACGTGGTCTTCCTGGTGGGCCAATCGAAGCAAAAGGCCCGCTTAATTGGCGTACGGGCCATTTTGGGCGTACGAAGTCGTGTCTTTCAGGTGGAGCTGACTAACTAACCCCCCATTAACCAACTTTCACCTAAAGAGCTCTGTAAATAATATAAATTATCTATTTTTATTGTTAATGGCATTTTACAGGAAATGTTATATGGCATACAGACGGGCTTCGGATCGCCGCAAATACCCGTCGCTGAGATCTTTGCACGCCCAGCACCATCGCTTGTATCCCCACAGAATCAGAAGCCCAAATCCAATAACTATTTAACCGTACCCGATTCGGACTCAATACGGCCAAAAAGTGTACCCTCATCGCCAATGGTGAAGCGGGCCTTCTCACGACTGGGAACAATAACGGCTGGCTGGGGACGATCCATACGCAATAAGAACTCAAATCAATTAAATCCGGATGACAAAAAGAAATGGATATCGTCGACAGATTGTTCGAGTAAGGGTTATTATACAATGCAATGCAACAATATCGATGCGTTTCCTTGTTCTTCTCTCTTTCTCTCTCTCTCTCTCTCTCTCCTTCTCTTTATGTCTCTCAATCACTATGTTTATTTCGCTCGCGCTCTCTTCTTAAACTTACTTGATTTATGTCACACACACACACACACACACACGCACACACACACACATACATACACACATATATATACACCACAAACCAATAAAAAATAATTAACGTCTTGGATCCTACGTTCTACGTAACACGATCGCAACTCCGCTCCTACTACGTACTACGTAATCGTAACCGTAATCGTTATCGTAACCGTAATCGTAATCGTTATCGTAACTGCCTGTTTTATCCCTAATATATACAATCAAACAAAACAAAACCAAACCAAACCAAACCAAACAACAAACGCAAAAAACGCACGTCGCACGTCAATTAACCTTAACTCGCATATTATTTAAATCTGATAAATGACTTGATAATATTATCATGATCATATCTAAATTGGGCTTACTCTGGTCTCGTTTATCGTTCTTGTCCTCGACCATGTTCTCTTGTGTCTCCAACAAACAATAATAATTATTATTATTATTATTATTTTTATTTTTTTTTTATTTCCTTTATTGATCCTATTATTTTCGTTTATATGCATATGCATACTGCTTGTTAATTCGCATTATTTGCCTTCAATATCATGGACGTCTGTCTTACGCATACTCACCACTCTGAACTCACCACAATTGTATTCAATATCATCGGCGTCTGTCGGTCCTTTGCATACTCACCACATATCTACCATCTACCTATACACCACAAATCAAACTTCTGTTTTATATTCATGTTTAAATCTGTATCTGTCGTTAAATGTGTTCTCCTTAAATGTTTCTCAATTAAAATTCTCTGACATATATAATTGGCACACTCTTATTCTGGTGTTTACCATATCTCTAACGAAATTTCAACTAATCATTTTGCACAACTGTTTTTAATTCTAATCACTGTCACTCAATTTTTCGCTCTTACAAAACTTACCATATTATAATCAAATTTATTGCAATCACATTTGCATAATTCACCACGCTTCTACTGTTATCCTCTTTCTATTCTCTCTCTCTCTATTTCTCTCTCTCTCTCTCTTTCTCTCTCTCTCTTTCTCTTTCTCTTTCTCCATGCATATTTAAAAAATTGCATTTTATTTCTTTAACTTAATCAACAACAAAAATATTCATCAAATTGGGAAAATAATTTAAAAACAAATAAAAAACAACAACATTTTCTCATCTCACGCGCCACTTTGCCTCTCTCACCAACCACAAAACCCCACCGCCCCCTGCCCCCCACCCACCGTGCGTCCCTTGCCTCAACAAAAAAATTCCAATTTTTGTTTGTGTTTTTGTTTTTTGTTCTTATTTACCGTGCGAATAATACAAACAAAAAAAATCAAACTCAACCTGCAAAACCACAATTATTTTATTTCGCAATTTGAATTTGTTCTTTTGGTTTTGATTTCCATTTAATTTATGAATTTCGCGAACCAACTTTTACCCTACAACGAAACACCACCAAAAACCGATTACCAACACAAACACAAATAAAAACCGAAACCAAAACCGAAACCGAAACCGAAAAAAAAAAACAATTTCCAAACCTGACAGACAGAGATAGCAAAGACAAGGATAAAGATAAGCCGGGCAGCAACCAATTGGCCGTACCCCGTCTCTCCGTCTGCGCCGATGCCCAAAAGGTGGACCGTGCCAAACTGGCCCAAACGGAATTCAACATCATCGAATTCGATCCGGATACGTTTCGGGTGCTGCTCGACTATCTGCATACGGGCACCTGTCCACTAACCTGTGTCTCAATACCAGGTGAGAAATAAACAAGAAAAAGCCGAGAGATACCTACCAGTCAGCATACTCGACTAAAATGTACCCTGTTACTTTCTGTTCATATGAAACAAATATCTAATTTGACTCCAGCGATTTTATAAGCCTGTAGTCGAGGTGTCAAATGGGTTTCAAAGCCCTCAGCCCATTTGAACTCTTGATTCAAATTCAGAGCCGTATCAAGCTACTAAGCTCAATATTTTGCTTTAGAATGATTTACAAGAATTGATATCTTGTATCTTGAAGTAGGATTATCGGGTAAACGAAAGACAATTTTTAGAAATGATCGATAATGGGCTAAGGGATATAAAATTGGACTCCAAAAACCAATTCGTGAATTAAGAATTTATAAGCGCAAACTAAGTTTTAATATCTCAAATTAATGGGCATTTCAAATAGTTGGAATACAAGCAGAAGGAGTTTCAATCCAAATATCATCAATATCACATATCTTCATCTAGGTCTTCTCTGCGCCGCAGAGCACTATGATCTACCGGAACTGTTGCAGGCATGTTTCCATCATTGCAAGCAGTTTTTGCGCATTGAGGTCGTCTGCCCGATGCTGATTTCGCTGGAGAACTACTACTGGCGCTACACATCCGCCTCCGAGTTGGTCAACATGATACTATCCTTTGTGGAGAGCAAGGCGCATGCCCTGTTTAAATGCCCGGAATTCCTACATCTGTCCGAATCGATGGTGCAGATGATCATGTGCCGTGAGCTGCAAACGCCCGAGATACGTAAATTTGAGGCGATGCTCGCGTGGGCGCGTCACAAGGTTGCCAAGCTCAAGAATCACCCCAACAAGGATACCCAATTCGAGTTCGAGTGCATCATGGAGCGTTTGACACGTGACCTAAACCTGTGCCGCATCTCGCCAAGTGAACTGTTGACCGTCGTCCTGCCATCCAAGTCGATGAAAAACGAACGAATCATGGAGACGCTGATGGTGCAGGTGAATCTGGGCACATATCGGATGCCCGAATTGGATGTGTACCGTCAGCAGTTGCGACAGCAGGAGTCCGCCGAGGCCACCGTGCAAGTCCATCGGGGTGGATGAGACAGTAAGAATGTGAGCTTCGATTTGGAGCAGCAACAGCAGCAGCAGTCGCTCTCGCTAGCCCTGACCACTGTCGCAACCACCGCGGATAATACAACAAACACAACCAGATCGGACTTTGGAACAATAACATCAATCACAACCACAATCACAAGCACAACAACAATGACAACAACAGCCACAACAACAACAACAACAACAAAAACCAACAACAACACCGGCTTTATATCAACACCCACATATTGTGTCGCTGGCGCCATGGGCAACATTAGCATTCAGTTGGATGCACGCGCCTATGCTATGGCCTCCGTTGCCGTTGCCCTCGAGCAGCAGCAGCAACAGCAGCAACAGCAACAACAGCATCAGCAACTGCAACAGTTACAACAGTTGCAGCAACTTCAACTACAGACACGCGACGCCGCCGACGAGGAAGTTGAGCTGTATGCCAATTTTGAATTGGCGCCAAGCACCAGTCGCGTCGCCGCCCAAATGCAGGCGGCCAAGGAGGCCAGACGCAAGCGTTGGGCTGCCGATGGCGCCAGCGGCAGCAGCGACGGCGGCTGCGCCAGTGGCAGCAGCGGCAGCGGTCGGCGTTACTAAACAGAAAATACAAAACCTGACCTAAAACCAAAACCCAAACAAGACAAAAAAAACAAAGAAAAGAAGAAAAAAAGAAAAAAAGTACGCCCTGGTTAAAGAAGAGAAAAATTGAAACAATCCAAATCGACGCTAACATTTTTAGCTCTTACATTCACCCTGCAATGACAAAAAGCAAGCCAACAATTTGAAAAGACAACAAATCCCAAAACGAGAACTAAAAGAAATGTCAAAAAAGCATTTTCTACAAGTATTAAATTTGAATAATCATATTATATACATACACATATATATAAATATATATATATATATATATATAGCATATTGTAACTAAGCTAAGCACCATCAGCGAATGCCGTCGAAAGAGATAGCTGGAGAGATAGAGAAAAGTTTGTGGCATTACATTTTTGGAAAACCCCAACACAGCAAATCCAAAATAATAATAAAAAATAAAAAAATAATAAAAAAAAAAACGCTTACTGATGTAAAACAAAGACTTAAGACAAATGTTAAGAAATTTTTTAATAAATGTTTTAAACATATAAACAAATCCTTAACAAAACAAACCCAAAACATAAAAACAAGAACCTGTATATAGAAATACATTTATTTATATTTAAATGTACACAAAGCTGACCGAGGTGCATGCGAATATTTTTTTTTTGATAATATATAAAAAACAAAGAAAAAAATTAAATATATGTGTATGTATATAAATATGCTTGCTTATAAGCAAGACATCCAGTTATATAAGTATATACATTATCTATACAAATATGTCTGTAACTATACAATCTACCACCCAATTGACAAGATGCAAAGCTATTTGCTTTCTGATATCGATGTACACATATAACCAAAATATAACCAACAGCAGAAACACAAAAAAAAAAAAAAACTAAATTACAAAGAAAAAAAACACTCAATCGCTTGTTATACAAACAAACAAAAATATATACAATATTCCAATCACTTGCCCTTACACTGAAATAATAATAGTCCAATTGCTTGCAAACAGTCAAAATAAATGCTCACCGGCAAAATAATCCAATCCAATCCAATTCAATCCAAATCCCATTGCTTGCTCACAAACCGAAACTACTAAATTAAAAAGAAATAATTAACTAAAACAAAAATAGTATATAGTGAATATATGCTTGGGCAACCAGTTAAATAGCAGCTAAGTTCACATATTGGTGTTAGACTACATGTTAGTTGACTAGATGTTAATTCAGTGGCAACGCCAAATAAATTAATGAACGAAAACCTGCATAACTGCGAGTTGCAGTTGAAAAACCAAATATCCAAAAAATCAAATTTGACATACGGTTAAACATTTTGTCTTACATTTTAAAGAAGTATCGATAAACGATAACGATAACTTGGCCCCCAAAGAATGTTCAACGGAAGTAGGCGAGCTCTACCCAAATGGTAGCCAATTCACATGCAGTGAGTTCAGTCTCTGGCAAACTTGGAATTCAACACAACTTGTGTGTTGTAATAACAATAGAAATAGTTGTAGTAGTAAATTTAAACTACATTACATTATAAATATACGTATGCGTGTCTGTATATGAATATGTGTACGATCTATAAAAGTAAATTCTGACAACAAATAATAAATAGCAAAAACGTAACGAAAACAGCAGCATTTTCAAAAGGGTTTCAAAAATCACGGATCAAAATTTCAAACAAAATTAGAAGAAGAAAAAAACAATAAATTTCAAACTTCAGAACATTTATATAGTATATGTATACATATAAATATGTGCTCCTATTATCCATATATATATATATATATATATATATATATATGTATATATATATATACCCAGTACAGCGCTGAGCATATGCTTAAAAACACTTATCCATAAGTCAATACACAATAAAATACGCAGCATTAAAAAAATCAAAAAAAAAATCTGCTTTGAGTGTGCGAAATGTTGAATTATTGGAAAATCAAATAGTCAATATAATAAGTGAATGTAATATTTAATCAAACCAATTAAAATCGTGAATAAAAACAGGTGAACTATTCAAAACTGGGAAATTATACTTATGAAATAGATTAACCACAATATACCAGTTATTACAAAAACAAAAACAAAAACAAGATCAAAAACAATGGAATGGAACTAGAGAAGAATAGATATGGAACAGTTGAAGAAACATGGAACATACACACAATTTACAACAGGTGAACAACTATACTTAAATTGAAATAAATCAGAATTTATGTTAAGAAATACTTAAAATACCAGTAAGTTAGAAAAACAAATCGAACAACCCAAAAATACAGTGTGAGACATTTGAGAACGGAACCACAAAGAAATAGGAATGACAACAGGTGGATTAGTCAACACTGGAAATTACAGTTACATTAAAACAGCTATTTAAATGCAAGTAATCCATATAAAAACAAAATCAAAACAGTTGATCTGGAAGGCATAGCAAATAAAACAGTTGAAACTATATTTAAATAAAAAACATTGCAAAATGGAACAGAGAAATACACATTTTTTTTCTTAACCAAGCTTTTGCAACAGTTGAAAATGTACTTAATGGAAATATAACTTTGAACTTTGATTAGGCTACATGATAAATGGAACTTTTTTCTGTTTTGAAGCAACTTTTGGAAACACATAGAAAACTTAATCATTGAAAATAGTACATGGTGGTAAAGAACTTGGGATATGGAACTGTTGCACTAGCAGTAATGTAATTTGAATAATAAAATATGATATAGTAAATTCATGTGAAATAGAACATAAGATTAAACAGCTAACTTGGGCGTCATAGAAAACCTGTTCAACATTTTTAAGCCAAATGCAATCGGAAAACATATTTACAAAATAGCTATTTGAAAGGGGAAAATAAAACCCTTCGATGTTAAAAAGAAAAAAAAAACCAGGAAATAATTACTGAAAGCATACTTAAGTACATTCAGTACATTAGCTATTGATGGAAATATTTACATACAAAAACAAACTAAATACAACAATATACAATATTTTGCATAATTGTACCAAGTGTTTCTAAGTGTTTGTACCTTGCTGTGTCAAAACAACCAAAAACTTAAAGATTTAATCCCATACTGTATTAACTCTGGATGTCAAACAACAATTACTTCGGAATTGACGAAGATCGGCATGCCCTTTCTATCAAAAGCTTAAGGAGTATGCAAAACATATAAAGTCGAACTTTTATCTAATTACATTTGGTTTTGCAAATTTGAATACATTACCCATCGATTTCCTGTTGTATCTACATACATTTTATAAAAAAAAAAATGTTATTTTATTTACTTAAGATTAAGTCTAGTCAAAATTCCAATATTTGATTTTGTTCCCCATTCATAATAGAGTTTATTCCTGAGATTTGCAAGATAACCTTGCACAAAATTAAAGGAAAATCAAATAGCTATACTCAATTGATGACTAATCAAAAATATTCTTTAATGTGTTTCAAATATCGTGATATTTATATATTTATAATAACCTCTACAATGATATAATGACAATTTAAATATCTTTGTACTATATTTTTGAAGAGGGTATTCGAACTTTGTTACGATGTGTAAAATGCATTTCTGGAGATATTATCGACACCACCAAGTATAAACAAAATTGAGACAACAATAATCATCCAAAACTTTTCATATACTCAACAGTAAGCCAGAAAATTTTCCATTTGGGAATGTTCGACGTCGATATTAAAATACATAAATTAGCAACAGAAGCAGACAGGACATGCAGTAGACGAATTTTTGATGGAAAAAAAAGTATTAAAAACAAAAAAAAACCCAAAAAAAAAATCTCAGTGTTTTACTAAATGCCGTGTGACTCTTTTTGAGATCATCTACTCATAATACTTACAATACAATAACCACAAAATATTGCAAAATCGAAAACCGAACAAAAATCATTCTTAAAACATACAGAAATGAAATTAATTAAACTAACTAAATTGAATGTTGTAATTGCCGAAACGGAAAACACAACAAAAAAAAAAAAAGATTAAAAAAAAAATAAATAAAAACCTCAAGACGATTTTACATATACTTATACAACAACAATATACTATATACATGCGATACATAACAATAACAATATGGCCGATTGTGAGTGGTTCGGGGTCCGGGTTGGATTGGGCCCAACCGCATAAAAGAAAATGTATGTATTGTCCCTGGGCCACTATGTTTGAAACTAAGTATACACATATATATACACACATACATATATACTCTATACACGATAAGACAGCATCTAAACTGATCCAATTATATATCTATGTATTACTTGTGTGTATTTTTTATGTATGTGTTATACTATATACAATATACTTATATACATATTTATTCGCGATAATTCCAAGTTGGCCACAGCTCATATAGCCCAATAATTGGATCATTAAATCTAAACATTATATTCATATATATATATATATATATATATGTGTGTTTATATAATTATTATTTAAAATGGTTATATAAGTTGGATCTTATATCAATTTTCGGCAAATATTTTTTGCGTGTACAAAATTCGAATTTGTTTTTATTTCATTTAAGGCTATATGATATGATGGATATAAACAATTGTAAACGACTTATGGAAGGCGATATATTTAAAATAAAACATTTGAAACAAAACTCAAATTCGATTTTCAATTCATTGGATTTTCAGAAGCGATCGGAACTAAAATAAGACTTGCATAAATTTAGAGTAAAACAATTTATAATGGAACCAAACTGCGAATTAAAGTGGGCTTTTAATTTCAATGACCATCGAATTTCATATGACTAAATGGATCAATCGTAAGTTGATCGTTAATCAGACTTAACCAAAAATATTAAAACCAAAAATAAATCAAACGCAATTCATTTTTTTTGTTTTTTTTTTTTGTATTGAGGGTTTTTAGATCAATTTTTATATTTTATTGAATTTGTTGAATTATGTATTATAATTATTATATTTTTTATAATTATTATTGGTATTCATAAGAGTTTACATTTGTTTTGTTGATTTTATTTTATTTAATGCTCGCAACGCTCATTTATATAATTTTTACAATATTAATACACATACACACGTATATATGTGGTATATGTAGTATATATATACATATGTATATGGTAGAACTAAAAGTGGAAGTACAGACTGATGCATATTTATACCAAATACATATATATACACATAAGTATATAGTCCAAAGCTTAAACTTTAACACATAAATCAGTCGAAATGGATCATTTAATTATTAATTTTTATACTTGTTGCTTTTTCCGTTTTCAATAAATTAACATACAAATAAATGTTTTTTTTTTGTTTTTTTAAATTTTCCTTTTAAAGTTTTGATTACTACATTAACAACAAAGAGCAAACAGAAAAAATTACAAATTAAATTGGTTGTTTTTGTTTTTGTTTTAATTTACAAACAGCAAATGCAACATACCCTTTTCTTGCACGCTACATGTATATACATATATATATATGTATATACATACATATACATGGTTTCTTTTATATACAATTTTATATATTTGCAGTACAAGTTTTGCTTCATTTCGTTTTGTTTTGTTTTACTTTTGGGTATACATAATTAAATAATTTACTCGTTAAATTTGTTATGCACGCACAGGAACAAAACATTGAGGTCGCTAAGCTGCACACATACACACTCGCACACACAACCACAGACACACACACACACACACAGATGCATTCACATAACTGGTCATTTAAAGTTTTTACTATTGTTTGGGTATTTGTATTTGTATTTGTATTTGTTGTAAGGAACTTGTTTCTATTTATAACAAAACCAAATAATTATACATTACAATAGTATACAAAATTAAACATATATATATATATAGATATATATATCTACATGTGTGTATATATTTCATATATATGTTATGGATATGAAAAGGCGTTCAGCTTACATTTGGCAGACTGATTCAAATTGCTTTTACGTTTCATCTGATTAAATCGTTTATATATATTTTTTCTTTTGCAAATTAATGTTCTGCGATTTTTACATCATATATATAGTTGTTGGTCAGAAAACAAAAGTGAAAACAAAGTGAGACAAATTCAACTATTGCAATATTATCGACTATATGCGATGTCTGGTAAAAAAGAAACACGTTGGTGTGATCTATCAAATAACATATATATATATATATATATATATATATATATATATGTGTGTGTTTAATAATTGTTATGATTTTGGCTATTAGATCGTTCACTTGATCGTTCACTATATATGTATATATATACATCAACTAGTTATGGCTTTAATGCAGTTACAATTTTTAACTTGATTGTTGTCCTAGTTTTGTTTATCTCTTTTTTATTGAATAACAATTTTATATACAGAGGCACACACACATACATACACAAACACGCACACACACGCACACACACACACACACACATGAACTAATACAAGAAACAAAAAAACAAAATACACAAAAAACGAGGGCACATTTTGTGATCTGTTTGAATTACGTGTAGAAGACGCAAGACCTAGCTACGGCTCTAACTTATACGTTATAAGACTTTTGAACACTTTCGTTTGCTGTTGTTGTTGTTGTTGTTGTTGTTGTTTCTTGTTGTTGGCTGTTGGTCGGCATCACAAGTCGAGTGCTGCCTCATCGGGGGCAGCATCATCGAAGCCATACCAACATCACATGACCATAATTTGCAGCGCTACTCATTGATCTATTGTCCGATAGATGCGTCTCTGCGGCTCGGGAGTGTAATGGATGCGGGTGCGAAAGTGCTGCGGGGAACCGGGGACACTCTCCGATCCACGACGTGGCGGCGGCAACGGCGGCGATGCTGACACATAACTGTAAACGGCAAAATGGACAAACGGATTAATAACAAATACTAAATTCTCTCATTTTCAATGGCGACACTTGAAATGCAACCCACTAAAAATGCCAAAAAGTCGAGCCGAATGAAGTTGTCCAGGCAGAAGAAAGCATGTCAGACCTCATCCTCGGTTATGCCAGGTTAGGGAGGTCTTTCAGGTGGGGTTAGTAAACCCCGTCGATCCACTTTAGCCATATTTGGCAATTGACTTAAGCCCAATTAATTTTACCCCCAGTCATGCGTCAAATGTCAGATATGAGGCACTATATCCAGTCCGTAAATTGGGTGAATATGGCTAGTTGCCTTGTCGGCAGCAAGTCGGAGGGTTCTGATAAATTTGAACGGCAATGAGAACCAGGGAATTCTAGTCTTCTCCTCTCAAGGTGGGAGGAGCCCAAAATTCTTAGTCAGCTTCAAAAACCGAGACCATAAATTTGGTATATATGTTCTCGAATAGACAACTAACTCCCGTGTTTCTCCCAATCGAGCTGTCTTCGAGCGTTTTCACTTTTCTATGTCATTTTTTGTGCACATCTCAAACTACATAATTAAATAAGTTGCAATTTCCTTTAGAGATATGGATATGAATTGGTACAACCAACTGCCAGCTGTAATTCATAATCCATATTAAACTCACCGTCGCTGGAGCATCGGTGAGCCCGACGCTTGTCCGCTCAGCTCGAGCAAATTCTTGCGCAGCAGCAGCGGCGATTGTCCGCGATTGTAGCGCGGCGGCGGATCCGGACTCCGGTGTCGACGATCCAGACCCGCAAGCAGATGCGGACTGGGTGGTGTGCTATTGCTGCCCCCGCTACCAACTCCAACTCCTCCTCCTCCTCCACCAGCAACACCAACACCACCAACACCACCACTGCTTGCATAGCGACGCAAAAAGCCGCTGGTGACAGCACCGTGACCAGCTGCAGCACCGCCTGGGACACCACTGCCCGCTAGTGGCTCTGTGGTCGGTGAGGTGCTTTGGCTGGTATTGTAGCTATGACTGCTGCTGCTGCTGGCAGCGGAGAGTGTCCGATAATAATATGATTTCCCTGTGCTGCTTCCATTGTTAAGACTAATGCTGCGATAAGCTGGCGGTGCTGGTGGTTGTTGTGGTTGTGGTTGTTGTTGCTGCTGTTGTGGTTGTGGTTGTGGTTGAGGCGCCAGCGCCGTTTCCAGATTTAGATTGAGATTGAGGTTAAGATTTAGCTGCTCATTAATGCCATTTGAGACTGGGGACGTCATCGTCGCTGTGGAATTCAATTGGGTTTTAACATAGGTCGCAAATTGTCGCTTCATCGCGCCAGCGAGTGTATGGAACCAGCCTGATTGATTGATGATGATTGAGTGATTGATGCAGTGCAATACAATATGGTGCGAGCGAGCAAGCGAGCGAGCGTGCGTGCGTTTGAGTGTGCGAATGTGTGTGTAGTGTGTGTGTGCAGTGTGTGCAGTGTGTGTGTGTGTGTGTGTACACAAAGAAGAGAGAAAAAAAATAGCACACGAAACGGAAAATAAAAAAGAAGAGAGCACAAGCACAATATGCTAAGAATTAGTCGAGAGCCACAAAAAGCGTACGCAAATGCAAAAAAATGCAATAGCAAAAATCAAATTGAATAAGAAAAACCAAATGCGATCTGCGGCACGCCGAATTTTGAATACCCTTGCAGCAAACAAAGCCGAATATTAAGAAAGGTTTTTCTCTTTCACGATTCGATTGATTAGATAGAATAGGTATACAAAAAGCGGACAGACGGATTGATGATGCTTATCAGGAATATATATATATATATATATATATGTGTATATATATATAGTTAATGGGTATATATATGTAGTAAATCAGAGGATTGGATATATAAACAAAATTAATTCGTGCAAAAACTGAACCAATGATCGATTTTGCTCCAATTTGTGCAAAGCTATATCAATATTGAGATTAGATTTGCATAGAAATAAAAACAGACGGACTATTGGCTAATCCAGAATAGTTCAGGGGCAAAAAAACGTATTGCCATTGAACTGTTATATTTATGGATGCTGCTTTCTCTGCAAGGGTATCCACCAAGCAGAACAGAAAAGAACAGAACGGAACATAATATTATAGATAAAGTTGATTAGCAACACCTACCCGATTCGGCATTACTGGAATAGATCAGCTGCTCCCTGGCATCTGGATTGGAGCTGCTGCTGCAGCTGCTGCTGCCACCGCTTGTTGTTGTTGTTGTTGTCTGGCCGAGCAGCTGACGCCGTGCGTACAACTTGCTCAGCTTGCTGCCCGTCAGCACGGATGAAGTTCCAGCACCAGAAGCACCAGAAGCACCAGGAGCACCAGGAACACCAGGACCAACAGTTGCTGGAGCATAATCCGATTGCATTTGGTCTGTTGTTGCTCTGGCAGGCTGGCTGCCAAATGGAGTATTCTCAATTGTTGCTGCTGCTGCTGGAGATGTTGTTGCTGTTGTTGTTGTTGTTGGCGTTAGTGGCAACGGTTGATATTGCAATTGTGTTGCATTGCCCACACCAAAGTGTCCAGCGGCTGGCGGTGGGAATGTTGCTGCTTTTGCTGTTGTTGTTGCTGTTGTTGCTGCTGCTGCTGCTGCTGTTGATGGTGCTGCAATTGCAATTTGAGAGCACGTCGATTGCGTAGACGATTGACTAGAAGTGGAGTGCGAGTGCGACGACGACGAAGCAGCGGAGCACATGTTCGAGTGGGAGGGGGAGCGGCCGCATGTGGGAGGCGCCACATAATTGCTGTGAAACGGATTCGTGCTCGTGCCGGGCGACGGACGTGGCGCAGCCGCCTGATGATAATGATAATGATGTGACTGATGTTGCTGTTGCTGATGTTGCTGTTGCTGTTGCTGATGTTGCTGTTGCTGTTGCTGATGTTGCTGTTGCTGATGTTGCTGTTGCTGATGTTGCTGTTGCTGACTTTGCTGTTGCTGATGCTGATGTTGCAGATGATGTTGCTGATGATGTTGCTGATGATGTTGCCGCTCGGCAGCCTCCTTTTCGCGCAACTGATTCTGTTGATGATAAAAGCGTTGCAGCACTGCAAAAAGCGGGTAAAATATACGTGGAATTATTATAGTTGTTAATATGGTAAATTATTGAATTATTATTATTATTATTAAATACAGCAATAAACTGAACTCTATTATGAGCAATATTATAATGTTATTCAAATACTATTTTAACATATTTGAAGGAGAACTTATATTCCAAATTGAAAATCTGTGAGACAGACGGACAGATCGATGAAAGTTGAACTCTTCTTTAATAGTTTGAAAGTGGTTGCAATATCCCTCTCCCTCCGCTCACCTATGGGACTCTGATTGCCTGGTTGTAGTCGTTGCTGTTGCTGCTGCTGCTGCTGTTGCTGTTGGTGTTGCATCTGCTGTTGATTGTTCAGCTGCAACGTTGTTGCTGTTGCCGTTGCTATCGTTGGCTCTGTTATTAGCGGCAAGCTCAATTCAGTGGCGACATTAACAATTTTACTATTATCACAGGTGTCATAAAACAACATTGTATCCGTTGTCCTTGCTGCTGCTGTTGTTGGTTCTCCTGCTGCTGCTGCTGCTGGCAAACGCCACTTCTCAGTCGGAGTTTGTTGCTTACTATGCGGCAGTGTTGTTGTTGCTGTTGGTGTCATTGGTTCAATTGGTGTTGTGGCCTTTGACTGTATTGGTGTTGTGACGGTTGTCGCAATTGACTGGTGTTTCTTTTGGCTGAAGGGCGATGTGGTCAAATTGCGTAGAATCGATTGACCTGTGCCGTGATAGAGATCAGAGAGTTAGTACAAGTTTTTGTTGTTGAGAAAGGGATAATGTGCACAGACCAATGCTGCTGAAAACCGATTCCTTTTTGGGGCTCTCATCGCAGTATTTGTAATGCGAACCATTGCTCAATTTGCGTTGCATAAATGGCGATTTGCGATAGAGCTTATTGATGTTGTTGTCGCTGTTGATGTTGTTGTTGCTGCCACCCGGTGGCGAGATGGGACTGGCACTGGCGCTGCTGCTGCTGTTGCTGCCACCGCTGCTCAAATAGTTGAATGTTGTTGTTGTTGTTGCCGCTGATGATATTGCTGTTGATTGTTGTTGTTGGTGTTGTTGCTGCTGTTGCTGTTGCTGATGCTGTTGTTGTTGAGGTAGTTGTGTGGCTGATTGCATGAAATACTGCGGTCCCCGCAGCAACTGTTGTTGCTGCAGTTGCTGCTGTTGTTGCTGTTGTTGCTGTTGCTGCTGGTAGCTTGGAATCTGTGTCGGTTTTATTGTCTTTGCTGTCAGCTGTTGACCTGTTGTTGTTTTGCCATAAAAAGGGATAGATGTTGGTGTTGTTGCTGCTGCTGTTGCTGCTGCTGTTGTTGTTGTTGCTCTGCAATTAATGCATAATTGTTATTAGTAGTTGCCACTTAAATACGAAGCCCGTTATGTGCCAAAAAAAAACACACACAAAATGTACGGCAGCGAAAGAGAAAGAGACACACAGAGTAAGAGATAAACAGAGAGTTAGAGAGAGAGTGAGAGAGAGAGAGAGAGAGATATGTAGGGAGTTTCTGTGTGATGCGGCGCAAGTAAGGGAGCGAGTGTGTGCTGTTTGTGTGTGTGTGCTGTGTGTGTGCTGTGTGTGAGCTGTGTGTGTGTGTGTAGAAGGAGCGAATGTGTGTGAATTTAATATTTACAATATAGCAAAAATATATTGATGAAGATGAGAGCAATACAAGTGCGTGAAAGAACAAGCGAATATCAAAACTAAAGAGAGTGAGCGGGAAAGAGAGTTAATCACATATAATATATATATATATATATATTTCAAATTTAACAAAATTCCAAATTTAAAAATGCGTATTGCGAACTAACCGAAATGGAAGTAGTACAATTTTCTGAATTCACAATAAAAATCATTTTTATCGATAATTGATCATCACAATCATTTCAGTAAACGATATTTATCGCTAAGTTAATATTGAAAGTTATTTCTCTTTTCCTCCCTCTCTCTCTTTCTCTCTCTCTCGCTCTCGCACTCGCACTCTTAAGATTCCACTTTTCAGCCTGTTCCTAAAGCAGAAAATTCCATGAGTATAATTTTAGGGCGCCAGATGGCGCTGCACAAGCCGAAAGAGAACAATTTTTTTGCAATTTTTTAGTTTGTTGAATCAACACTGGTGAAAAGCGAAACTCAACACACCAACAAAACGAAAAAAAAAGTGATCAAAAACAAGATGGAAGATGGAACACAAGCGAAAGACGTGAATAAGAGAAAAAAATACACTTAAATAACATTTATTTATATAGTTATATATATATATATGTAGACATAAAGTTATAGTTTATACATACATATGTACAAAAGCGATGTGAATGTGGTTGTATGTGTGTCTGCATGTGTGTCTGTATGTGTGTCTGTTGTGTGTGTATGTGTGTATGTGGTGGCATTGAAACGGATCGAAATGGCATAGAACAACAGCAACACAATTGCAATTGCTAAGCACACAACAACAACAACAACAAAACATAGCGCAAAAATATTCAATATAAATTTCATTTAAAAAATATTCACAGCAAATGTATAGAAACTTATAAGCATATAATGAAATTACCTCGTTTATGTGTGAACTGTATTTTCGGCAATAGAAATTAACAAAAACAAAAGGACAAAATGCAAAAATGTTCAACAATGAGCCACAAGCAACATGCAAAATGCAACTGAATAACATCAACAATTAATCAATTCAAATGAAGTAAGAATGCTATAGTCGAGAGAGCTCGACTGGGAGATACCCTGAACCCAAGTGTTTACGTCATTGAAAAACTTTTATCGGCAAACGATTCTTATCGATTTGAGGGAAAACAGAGCAAGTTATCGATCAATTTATTTTACAAATTTGAAGACTATACCTCTTTAGATCATACAGACAGACAGACAGACGGAAATGGTTAAGTCTATTCGGTTTTTGATGCAGATCAAGAATATATATATATATATATCTATATATATAAACTATATGGAGTCGGAGATATTTTCTGGCTTTTACATACATATTTGTACAGCTTTACAGTACATTTTCAATGGGTTCAGTGTATAATACTAATTATCAAGCAAAACTGAAAAGCGGCTAATGTTAATAAAATATAAAATTAATGTGTTAATTAATGCGCATTAAAACATATAAGTAATAACAATAATAATAATAATAACAATAATAATAATAACAATAAGAAACTTGGTCGTACTTACTGAATTTTACTTTTGATTGTGGGAGGAGTTTTTATAGTCTTGACTTTTTTGTATTTGTTTCGTTTATCATATCATGGTAAGGGTATATAAATTATTACTATATATTTATATATATGTATATATGTATATGTGTATGTATATATATATACATATATTTATATATAGTTATATAGTTATATATAGTTGATTGCTTGCAATATCGATATTATAATTAATGTTTTGTTTTTTTATGTTTTTATATTTTGGTTTTAATCGGTTTTACAGTTTGTCTGGTTTTGTTTTTCATTTTATTATAATAATATTATGTATTAGGAATTAAGTAACCTACAAAAAATGGTAATAAAAAAAGGATGAAAATAGAAAATCAAAAAAACACACAAATTAAATAGTCAATATAAAACGCAACATATTTCAGAAATTATTATTTTTTTTACGTACTTTTTTTTCGTTTTTTTTCTTTAGATGTATGTAATATTTATGTGGGGATTGGGGGCAATGGAGCGGGGATTACGGCTTACTTATAAGACTTGATATACTCTAGAGTGGGAGTGGTACCTGGTCAAAAAGTGGACTGCTAAATATTGTATGTATATATATAAATATATATAATATATAAATATATATAAATATATATAATATATATATATATGGCGAATATAATGCTCCAATAAGTACTGACAATATATAAATATATAGCGAGTACCCCTCACCAGAATTAAGGCTTAAGTGTTTCGCATAGAACCGAATCGGAATGAAACGAATCGGAATGCAGTTGTCAGTACTTCCCAAGGAGAGTGCATTCGAAGTGCATTTAGCAGTGTGTCAAAATGGTAGTAGAAATAAATAGATAACAGAATTGTGATCAAAATGTGTAAACCTAAATGAATTAAAGAAATTATTAAAAGAGAAGAAAAAATAAACAAACAAAAATCAAACAAAGGTAAGGGAATTGTGTGAGCGTGGTAAAGAAAATAGAATAGAATAGAATAGAAGAAGGCATGCCAACTCATTGTTTAGGAATACGTTAAAGAAAAAGCATTTAATTCAAGTTGTTTTCTGCATTACACAACAGATAATTACCGACTTTAGCAATCACCCTACGATTAGGTACAGTTTTAGTTGTAGTTGTTGTTTTCTTTTTTTTATTATTTTTTTATACTTTTTTTTGTTGGTATTATTTTCGCCTACCTGTTAGGAAATTTTGTTTTGTTGTCAGAGTTAGCTAAAGAAATCAAAACGCAACGTAACGGAATGAAACAAAAGCGGAAACGGAAACCAAACAAATGTATACATAGAAACGAAGCGTTTGTTGTGTTCTTTGACGCTCACACACACGCACACACACACACACGCGCGCACACACACACGCATACAGCAGACATCAGACCACAAAAAAGGATTTCGCATGTGGTTTGGACATTGTTGTTTGGGTGTTTTGGCTGGTTACTGGCAATGGGACAAGGGGCAAGGGGGCAAGGGGTCAGAGGGGTGGTAGGGGTGTGGGTATATGAGGTGGGGTGGGGTATGTAGGCAAGTTTAAAAAAAAAAAAACAGAGAGAACAAATGCAGTCATGTAATCACCTCGTCAACGTGGAGTCACCATTGGCGCGCAGCCGCCTGCCCGCAGCGGAGTCGACAACATTCTGAAACCAGCTGGGCACATCGACTTTGGCTTGCTCGTAGATCTTGATGAAAGGCTGGGCCAGCAGCTCCGGATATTTGGGACGATCTTGATGGTTCTTGGTGAGGCTACAAAAAAAAAAAACATATTCAAAATGTAAAAGAAGAAAAACAATATAAATATTGACAAATTGTGTTACCACTTGATGACAAAATCACGAAACTGCTGACTAAAATTGTAGTCCTCGCCAAAGGGCAGGCATGGCGGCTCCGAGTCCAGCACCTTGGTGAGCACCTCAAAGTCCGTATTGCAGCCCGCGTACGGGGAGCGTGCTGTGGCCAATTCCACAAGCGTTATGCCCAGCGACCAAACATCGGCGCGTATATCATACTTTGGTTTCTTCGGATCGATCCGTTCCGGCTGCACAAAAAATGTAATAAGTAAATAAATAAATAAATTTAATATATAAATTATTAAGTTACGCCTGACATTATACATTCGTTCCGAATTCACAGTCAACAAAACAACTTTCATGTTCTTGGTCAATGGTATTATGAATGACCCTTATACGACACCAAGACGCTCTTGCACTTCTCGTGTACGTCCAATTCTGGTATAAGAATTAATATCCCATATTCACCAAAACATATTGTAATCTGTCCAATAGAAATTCTTACTTTTTGCTCCTCTATTGTTTGCTGTTCCCCATTAAGACCTACGCTATAATTCGCCCACTTTCTATTAAGCACTTTACTACTACTAATTATAATATTAGACTACAATAGATTTTGGATTGCATGCTAATTCAAAGTCCTCTATTTCTAGCATTAGATACTCAATTTTAAATGTCTTGTTTAACTAACAATTTTAAAATATATTTTATTGGTTTTTTAAAATAATTTTAATTCCAATATTTGATTTTATTTTATTGATTTTTTACTGTTTTGTGTGTGTAAATAAATATAAATAAACTCACCGCCATGTAGGCTGCACAGCCAGCGGAACGTGTATTCGCCTTGGAGTCCACCAGGCGACCGCTGATGCCAAAATCGCAAAGTTTTATGTTGCCGCGCTCATCGATCAAAATGTTTGAGGGTTTCACATCACGATGGATGACGCCGTGCTTGTCCTTCAGATAGGACAATGCGTTAACCGTCTGTTGAATATGGAAGAAAAGCACATTAATTTATTACTATTTGCTTAATCTCAAATTTCAATTTCAATTTAAAACTCAAATATACTGTCTATTGAACTACTATATCATATACCACTGCCATACAAACAAGCGGTCGAAAGTTCAGTTTTAAGTTATGGGAACGAGATAGGCGTAGACAGTCAACTCTATATATACCTACACATATGTGAAATATTCAGTGAGAATAGCTTAAAAGGTACAAAAATAAAAGAAAATATTTCAAACTTGACACTAAAATTTAAAAGTCAGCAGGTTGACTCCAGACGAGAAGAGTATCGAATCTTCAGCATACCTCAGATTGCCTTCATTTCCTATTTGCCTACGCTCTCACGTTATTCAATAAAAAGCTACATTTAGATGTTGGCAGAGAAAATTGAAAAATTGGGAAAGAAAATTTGTGAAACTAACAGAAATTTATGAATTAAAGTAGGCTTTCAATTTGAAAGAAAAATTGGAGAAGCCAATTCACAACCTGCTCTAAGAAGGAAAAAGCTGGAGCTGATGCAGGAGGAATTATGCGTCTTTGAATTAAACTCGAAGTACAATACACAAGACCCCATCTACAAGGTTGTCTCGAGGATGGTGCAGCAATGTGTTGAGATATTCAAAGACTAGGAAAGAGCAATAGGGTAACTATCTCTTGTGGGTGCCAGGACAACCAGCCAACGTAATTGCTAACCATAATCAATCATAGTGTTTCGACAGGACTCAATTGGCGTGTGGTAAGAAACCTCAGAAGAACAAGAACAAAAAATGTATGGACGATTGTCTGTATATAGAGTAAAAACGCTACGCGAATTATACCAGTTATCCTGAGGGATTAATGACTAAGACTGTTTCAGTTAGTAGAAATGACAACTATGTTGAGAGCTGGTAACAATCACAGCATTCGTGCTCATTTATTAGAGCGAGCATCCACACAGTGTGGGATCTAACAAGTGAACTTACCGCCACAGTGACTTTGCCGAGGATGGGCTCTGGTACCGGCTTCTTTGACTGTTTGAGCAGCTTGTCGAAGCACATGGACATCAGCTCCATGCATATCCAGACATCTGGATCACGAACGAAACAGCCCAGACATTTGACAATGTATTTGCAATCGTGCGATTTCAGCACCACATCCAGATCCATTAAAATGCGTTTGTTCTCCTCGGCATTGCCGGTGCGTCGCATCTGTTTAACGGCGATTATTGTGTTGCTGGTCGAGTGGAGCATTTTGACGACATTGCCACTTGTACCATTGCCCAGATCGCCCAGATGCTGCAGATCACGGATGTCTGTCGGATATTGCCGGTCATTGATATTCAATTTGCCCGTTTGGCCCATGATCATCTTCAATTTTTTATCCGTTTCCGTTTCCGAGGGATGTGCCTGTGTCGGCAGTGGCAACATCATTCGTTTTCGGAATGTCCCCGATGTACCGGATTCATCTATACGAATAGAGAGAGAGAGAGAGAGAGAGAGAGAGAAAAGAGAGATTAATAACACATTAATAAAAGTACATATGTTTGTGGGTTGATAAGGCTCAAGTTTCAGCAATGTGCAGATAAATAATAAATATTGCCACTCAACAATTTGTTTTTGCTCTTCTCCAATGACCGTAAAGTAAACAGAGTGTGTATGTGTGTGTGTGTGTGTGGGTGTGTGGGTGTATGCCATGAATGCGCGCACACTGGCACAAAATTGATTTGCATTGCAATGGATATCGACACCAAGGTCAATACTATTTATTTTATTGCATTTGTTGATTACACAGCAAAGACAGTTATTGATTCAAATTTAGTTTAAAAAAAGGAATCGAAATTTAATTTTATTATTTATATATATCTATATATATACTATGTACCATGCAGCCCCATGTAGTATATCGGTGTATGTTCTTGATCAGCATTACCCAATCTGTCTTTCTGTGTAAGCCAATCTCAGAGGCTATAAGAATACAAGTTCGCTTTTATTAAATCGATAGCTGTCTACCAATATCGATACAAATCGATTTTCAAAATCAATTGATATTTATATATATATGCATACCGATATATTCTGAATCACTAAACACATTTCATTAAGTTCACGTAAGAAACTGCTGGTTTCAGGGTCGACCTATCTCGACTAGAGCATTCTAGCTAGTTTAGAAAGCAAAATACTAACCAAATCAAGAGTGGTCATAGTTATATCGGATGCCAAGATTGATTGATTCATACTATTTTACGGCAGTCAACAAATATTAGGTTTAAATAGCTGTCGATGTCCAAGCTTAAGGTTGATTAAGTCGTCAGTAGTAGTTTATTAGCTGATATTACACTTGCATTAGAGTATGCGGCAGTCGGATACGACCGACTTGAAACAACTTGAAGCGTGCATTGTTGGTGCCGATTTTATGGCTGGTGCTATTGTTACTGCTAAGGTTAAATAAAGTTATTGCCTTACAGCAATACTATTACAATCACACTAAAAAAAAAGAAAAACAAGAACAGCACACAAACAAGCTGATCATAAAAATATAAAATGTGTATTTGTAAACAATGCGTAAATTGGCAAAACGACAAAAAAAATAATAAAAAATACAAAAACAAAACAGACGAATACAGAAAAACACAAATTTCGTCGCCTTGCCATCCTCACAGTCTCCACTGTATGTGTGTGTGTCTGCGTACGTGTGTTTAAGTGTGTGTGTGTGTGTTTGAGTGTGTGTACGTGTGTTTGAGTGTGTGTACGTGTGTTTGAGTGTGTGTACGTGTGTTTGAGTGTGTGTGTGTGTGTGCTGGTGAAGAAACGTGAAACCAAAAGCGAATAACAAAACAAACAAGAAGCGCGTATCAAGACATTACTCCGGAAATGCCAAAAAAATACAAAGAGAAAAAAATGCCAGCAAACATGCCAAATGAAAGCGACAACACATACATATATATATATATATATACACACACATACACATATACCATACATACATACATACACACATGTATATATATATAATACATATATATATATATATATATACGTATTTGCATATTCATAGAGTTGGCTAGAGATTCCAACCTGATCCCGATCCCGCAGATTCTGGCGGTTTTTTTTTAATTAGTTCTGTTTCGCAAGAACAAAACTTATTTCAACCATCAAAAAGCGATTTTCATTTGTATTCATTTTGATTCATTTCAAGAGAATTAAGGTTTTTTAGGTTTAAACATTTTTGATTAACGTTCCCAATATAAATGCTAATTTACTAATTATTGGGAATTTCGGAATTGAACGCAATGATCAGAGTTCCAATTAGAAGTACTTAATTACTTTGAATATCGAAAGCCATCAGCAAAGTAAAATGTTTTGAGGCCAACTCAAGGTCTGGAATATTGGATATTTAAGGTAAAAGGTAAGTAAAGTAAAGGCCTTCAGAAATCAATCATATCAATTTCATGAATTTGCAACTACATGCCTCCTCCAATTCAAGGCAAGCAGATTTTACATAGCAAATAAAAGTTATCAATAGTAAAAAAATCTATCTAAAAAAGGCAGCGTAATTTGACGGCCGGTTTGGAGACAGCAAAACTAAAATCCACAATGTTAAATAACTGTTAACTATGAGGATTCTGTTCAACAGTGTCAAAATATTAAACTTTTATATATTTTGACGGTGGTTATCGGCATACCACCATATAAGCAGCAAGTGCATCGAAATGGAAATAGTAAATTATGAATGAAAAATGGTTTTAATCTTAAAGAAAATAGTCTTTATAATCCTTAATTATAATTAAACTCCATATAAAAAGAACGGTGTAAAAGAGCTCGTGAAATTATTCTTTTCTTTTTTTTGTCTGGAGATCTGAAAACTGAAATTAACACTGTTAACTCATTGTAACCATGTGTGGATTTTGCGAACAGCTGTTCGACGGTGTTAAAAGAACAAAATAGACATATTTTGACACGGCTTATCCGCATCTCCTCTTCCTCTTGCAATTCGAACTCCATATTGTTGTGAATGAAATATATAGAGTAAATTATTGGAATCGTTAAGAAAAATTCATTAATTATTTGGCTCTCAGCAGACCTTTATCGTTTTTTTTTAAGTTTCAAAAACGAAATAAATTTTGTTCGATTTGTAAAACATAAACTAAAACTGCGCTCATGCAAAATCCAATACGAATCAATGCGAATAAGACAAAAACACAAACAAACACACGCACACAGGCGCACAAAGCATATGCAAGAGGAGGCAAGTCTATGTTTTGATGCTGCTCTCTCTCTTTCAGCCTCGCTCTCTCTCTCTCTCTTTGCTGTTGTTTTGTTTGTTTTCTCCCCCAGTTTTTTTTTTTTCGTTTTTGGTCAATTTGTTTTGTTCGCAGCGTGCTCTTATCTATGCAATCATCGAGAAAGGCAGAAAGATCGATAACATGCATATGTATGGATTTATGTATGTATGTATGCATGTATGTATGCATACATGTATGTTAGCTAGCATTTATCGAAACGCGTCAATTTCTTATCGGTTTATTACTTACTTATGGGCAGATTGGGCGTTGGGCGCATAATTCTGGTAGGCGGGCCAAATACGCCGATACCTGACGCTGGCGCCGGCAGCACTGTCGGTCTTGTGGGTGAGGCGTTGACGTTGACGTTGGAAGAGTCAGAGGCGTTGGCGGCGACAGAGGCGGCATTTGCGGCTGCTGTAACTGTCGCTGCTGCCGTCGCTGCTGCTGACGCTGCTGCTGCCGCTGCTGCTGTCGCTGCTGCAGCACTAACAGCGACTGCAGCATTTGGTTGTTGTTGTTGTTGGTGTTGATGCTGATGTAGATGTTGATGCTGATGATGTTGATGTGGTGTTGTTGCCGTTATTGTTGTGGGTCGGACGCGGGCGACGGCGCCGCGCGCATTCGATAAGACGATTTGTTCATGCGACTCGTTTTGTGCTTGCAGCGCAACCTCCAGCGATTGCAGCCGACTTCCAATTGTCTCAAATTCAATTGTGCTGGACATATTGCTGGTGCTTCCTCCTCTTCTTCTACTGTTGCTTCTTCCTCTTCGTCTATTCGCTTCAGTTGTTGCAAATTCGATTTTTTTTTCTGCTTCCGTTGCGTTATGTATTTATACACACACACACATGCACGCGCACACACACACACACACTTTGGCGCGTGTGTGTGTGTCTCTCGTTCACTCTCTCGCGCTCTGTACGCTTGAACTTTCCACTTGCACACACGCACCAAAAAAAAAAAATTTTAACAAAAAATAAAAACAGCAATCAAGTGCGACAAAGACGCACGAACGAACTCACGCACGCACGAACGCACGCAGCACACACACACTCACGTAGAAGAACAGAACAGAAACAGCAACAACAACAAGAATAAGAATAAGAATGAGAGAACAACAACAACAGCAGCAGCGCAGCTCGCAATTCTTTTCTTTTCACTCAGCACTCGGGGTTTTGTTTTTGTTTTCGTTTTTTAGGCGTGTGCTATTTGCTGCGTATGCTAGTGTTTGTTTCCTGACTGGCGCGAACACTTGCACTTTTGCATTACACGACAATTTTGCTTTTATTGCTGCCTAATTCGCATATACAGCTATAAAACAATGTGAAGCACTTCACCACCAACAAGAAGATAGTGTGTACGACAGTGTGACCATACGCCACAAGTGCTAAAATGACCTCAAACTACCAGCACAACTCTTATCGATATATCGATATTGCAACATTTGCCGCAAATAAATATATTTTTGTGTGTCTCTTTGGTTTGTGCATCACATTTCAATAAGTTTCAATAGTAATAAGCGTATTTCAATTTATTGACAGTCAGTTCGAATAATTTGAAGGTTATTGTGCTCAAGGACAAATATCAGCGAATATATGACGATAGAAAATACCAGAAACTCTCAGATGTGATTAAAAAACGTAAATCAAACTGGAGAAAAAAGGCTGAGTTGGCAACACTGTATTTTGCCCACTGTGGATTGTTTTCAACGAGGACAAGTCGTGTGCGCGAGTGTTGGGTGCAGCAGAAAAAAAAGCAAAAAGAACAAATTAAAGCGAAAAACAGTGCCACCGACCAAAGGAAAAGGAACAGGCCACAACACAAACACCAGAACGCGGCTCATTTTTTCCCCGTTGTGGTTGGTGTTGTTGATGTTGTCTCTGCACCAACAGAGGGCGATTATCCACAGCACGCTTTGACCAAATGTGGTAAAAATAGCAGCGAAAAAGCAGCAGCCGTCGTCGCCGACGTCGCCGTTGTTGTTGTTGGCCGACGCCGACTCAATAAGACAAAAAAGAAGAATAAAAAAAAGAAACCCACACAGAAGCAGTAAAATTTGCCAAAATTGGAGCAAATCATTTCACGAGCGAAAAGAGGGCAAAAGCCAAAAACAGAGAAAAACAACAAGAAAAAGAAGAAGACAAGTGCAAGTGCATTCCGCCAAACACGCACACACACACGCACACCCACATACACACACTCGCACGCACACACACACACACACACACAGACAGATTTTGAACGACGGCAATGTCACGACCACGTCCGCGCCTCCCACCCATTGGCATTCCGCGTGAACCGGAACCGGCATTGTAAGTGCATTTTATATATATATATATGTATATATATATTTTTTTTTTGGTTAAGCGAGCAGAAAATGGGTTATGATATTATGATTATGACACTTGTTCGTTGCGCATACACACGCACACACACATACACGACACCAATTGCATGTTATAAAATTTGGGCAAAAGCGATACTTTTTTATTTGTATGTCTTTTTTCCATGTGTGTGTGTGAGTGTGTGTGTTTGCTTTTCAATTGAACTGGTTCGATGAATTGAACTAAGAACAGCACAGCTGAATTTTTCCCAGCCGCATTCTGTTTACCCTTTTCAAATTGAATGCAATTCAAATATGCCCTTAAGTGTATAGAGTATAGATAATAATCGAGCATTAATGAAGCATTCAATAAGTCTAATTTTGAAATCCTGAATTTATTTCATTTGTGGAACCTATTCATTCACAACTTACCTAATGCATTGCGTTTAGGAAGAGGAAGAGGAGATTGCCGATAGGTGCAGTCAAAAATGTATACATTTTGTTCTTTTGACACCGTTGAACAGCTGTTGACAAAATCCACACAGGTTAACAGTGAGTTAACAGTATAGACTTCAGTTTTCGCGTCTTCAGACAACAAACTAATAAGCAAAAGCATCGCGAGCTGGTTTACTCCGTTTGTTGTATGTAGTTTCTCATTATAGATCACTTTTTTTCGATCTGTAAGCAGAGCTTAAACTTGATATATATATTTCAATTGTACTTTTTTCTACATTATGTTAATGTTCCTGTCCTATTCCCACCTATAAGCTGAATTGCATGCCAGTGTTATTAAATAAGTAAATAAATTAATAAATAATTACATCTTCTACTTCTGTTTATTTTTTGCAGTGTACCGCCGCGTAATCTGGACTCGCGGGCCACCATACAAATCGGCGATCAGACGTTTGACATCGATGCCGATAGTCTGGAAAAGATTTGCGATTTGGGTCGCGGTGCGTATGGCATCGTGGAGAAGATGCGCCATCGCAAGACGGGCACAGTGCTGGCCGTGAAACGCATACCGATGACTGTCAATTTTCGGGAACAGCAACGTCTAATCATGGACCTGGACATATCGATGCGGTCCAGTGACTGCCCCTACACGGTCCACTTCTACGGGGCGATGTATCGCGAGGGCGATGTTTGGATATGCATGGAGGTGATGAACACCAGTCTGGACAAATTCTATCCAAAGGTCTTCAAGAATGAGCTAACCATGGAGGAGACAGTGCTCGGCAAGGTGCAGTCCCATACATCAATCATAACATAATCTCTATTTGTATAATGATATCCTTGTCCATTGTTGCAGATTGCGATGAGTGTGGTAAGCGCCTTGCACTATCTGCATGCCCAGCTGAAGGTCATCCATCGGGATGTGAAGCCATCAAACATATTGATCAATCGCAGCGGTCAGGTCAAGATATGCGACTTTGGCATCTCAGGTGAGAAGTCAGTCAGCCAGCCAGCCAGCTAGCCAGCTGGAAAAAATGCAATAATTCCATTCCAGACGTCATTTTAGATTTAGATTTAGAATTAACAACAGACAGAAGCATAATTTTATATGTATATTCTTGATCAGCATCAACACCAGATTTAGCCATGTCTCAAACACTGAAAAGAACTATAGACTTCAAATTTGGAATACATTTGCACGATTAGCATACGCAGATCAAATTTAGATCACAATTCTATAGATATAGTTTTGCAATTGAATTGTAATATATAGCCTGACATTAAGATCGGTTAAAACACACAGATTATGTGTAACTGAAACATATTTTCATATTCATATTACATATATATTTTTGTTGTTATCTATTTATTTATATTGTTGCCTCGACTAGAGTATTCTAACTTGCTTCAAGATGATTTATTTAATTTTACCTGATGGAAAGCATTACTAGCATTCATTTCAGTCACAAAGAAAGAGAGAGAGAGAGAGTCAGAGTCAGAGTGAGAGAGGTGCAGGTGCAAATAAGTCAATAAAATTGCAATACATGCATTTATATATATTTATTTGAACAATTGATAACATATTGAACTGATTGTTAAATCTGTCTATGCTCAGGCTATCTGGTTGACTCTGTGGCAAAGACTATTGATGCCGGCTGCAAGCCGTATATGGCGCCGGAACGGATCGATCCACAAGGTAATCCAGCCCAATACGATATACGTTCCGATGTATGGTCGCTGGGCATAAGTATGATTGAGATGGCGACCGGACAATATCCCTACAACAAATGGCGAACGCCCTTCGAGCAGTTGCGTCAGGTGAGCCATTGCATATCCACTTGCTTTGTACAAAAAAATATATAAATATATATGTTGTGTATAGGTTGTCGAGGATGATCCGCCTCGATTGCCAGCTGGTTCGTTCTCTGCTGAGTTCGAGGACTTTATAGCGACATGCCTGAATAAGGAGTATACGGCGCGGCCCAATTACGAGCAGCTTCTGCGGCATAGCTTCATTGTCGAGCATTTACAGCGGAACACGGACATCTCCGAGTTCGTTGCCCGGATACTGGATCTGCCGGAGAGGGAGCAGGCGCAGCCACAGTCGCAGTCGCCGCAATAGGATGGATTGCATATTTTGTATGATCCAAATATAAATTTGCCGCCGTCTTCTACATGCATTTGCTATGTGTGTCTGTCTGTCTGTCTCTGTCTCTGTCTGTTTGTTTATTTGTTTGTTTGTTTGTTCAACTGTGTATCTCTCAGTGTATTGTAAGAGAAACAACAAACCAAACAAAATCAAAAAAAAAAGAACAGCGACAAAGATTACAAATTGTTAGCTTAAGTATATCTGAAATGAATTGAAATCAAATCAAATCAACAACATAACATTTATGTATAAATATATATTTGTATATATATGTATATATATATATATATATATATATATATATGTATTTATATATATAAATATGTGTGTATATATATATTTCGCTTAATCAGTTAATTAGTAACGAGAATTCTTAACATTTTATTTGCCTTTAAATCTAGATTTTATTCGTCCGAAAAAGAGAAGCAATCATTTCAATTTGTCAATTGGTTGTATAGTAAATGTAGTAATTAGAAATGGACATCACTGCTGGAATAGCGCTTTGCGAGTGACCACTGTATATATACACATATGTACATGCATATATATACAAACAAACACCACACACACACACATATATATACATATATATACATTTATTCTTCCTGCATCGGAGTTATTAACAATTGCAGCGCTCAACAAATTATCGAAACTAAAATGAAAATGAAACCAAACTGTGCCTCTAGTTTTGCAGCCCATCATCTAGTGGCTGTCAAACTGTATGCTGTAAAATGTAAAACTGTAAGAGATACACACACGCACACCCCCCACACACACACACACGTTATTTACTTAAATAATGCCGTTAGCTACCAAAATATATATAGCGCATTACCAACAAAAAACAATAACAATAATAATATACGCCAAGCAAAATAAAATTGTGTAAATTGTTTAACAAAAAAAAAAAAAAAAACCTGAAATAGCTAATTAATGTTGAAAGCATGCAACTATATTTTTGTGTAATTACTTGTTGATTTACATATATATATTTTATTAATAACTTATATACGCATATACCTTAATATAAACTCACTGTAAAATGAAGCAAACAAAACGAAAAACGAAAGCTGCTTGGAAAGCTGAAAGAATTTTAATCTTAGCTATTAATGAGGAATGCGTGAACTGTTCCTTCAAATCGATTTCCAAGCGAAACAGCTTTACTAATAATATGCACACATACGGAATGCATGCAAAACGCACATACAAATGCATTACTAAGCAACTCATGCAAGCTACAACATTTGTTTGCGTGTGTGTGTGTGTGTGTGTGCCAATTAATAGTTGGAATGCGTGGAATTAAGACACGGCAGTCAATTACATATACATATATATACGAGAACAACAATCATTTATTATTTATGTTTTAAGCAATGTTAAGCAATGCATTAGCAAACATAATCTTAAAAGTTTCCATTGTGCTTCTAAAGTTCTGCAAACAAAAGAGTAAGAAACGTATTGAATAAAATTATTATATTTAATAACTGCCTCCCACAAATTGCGTACTGGCATCCATTATTACATCAGCTAAGTTGGCAACTTTCTAAAAGTTATTTATGCTGAATTTGCAAGCTATTTTTTATATAGCTGAGAAGCTGCAATTTTCGAAAGATCTTTTTAAGGATTCTTGATTTAAGCCTAAATCCTAACTAAACTTAAAGCATACTTTCAAGCTGTTCAGTAAACTCAATGAGCAAATTTTTTGTGGCGAATGTAAATATTTAAAGCATACTTTTAGGGCGAATAAAAGCACTGCCTCATATGGTACAATAGTACAATAAACACGGTTACTTAATTTGATTACACTGGTACACATTTACATTGGTACACATTTACTTGTACACTGTTTGCCTTCGTCAGTTAACAGCCGTTACAATTTGAAATGAACCATTGTGAATTAAAGAATATCCCCTATCAAATATCGATATCGAACTTATCGATATATATTGCAAATGTTCAGTTTGTTTAATCGTTGGTGCTTATTGTGATTATTTATTGCTGCTTATTTGCCGCCATAAAACACAATTGTTTATCTACGCGCAGCTGGCTTGAGCGATAAGCGATAATCTGCCAGTTGTCAATTCGCATTGAGTGCTTGAAGAACAACGAGCTAAAAAATAAAAATATGAGTGCAGCTCGCAATTTGTTGCTACTCTCCTCGTCTCGGTTGCATGGTCATGGATATTTGGAGCACGCTCGCCACCAACTGGATGAATTGTTCCAGGCGTAAGTTCAGTCTACAAATACATAATTATACATTTGAACTTATATTCAAGTCATTTTTCACCCGCCCCAGCAAAAATGTGAAAACGGTGCTCTTTGTTCCGTATGCGCTGCGTGATCACGATAAATACACAGCAACAGTACGCGATGCATTGCAGCCCTGGGGCTATGCCGTCGAGGGGCTGCACACTCAACCCGATCCTGCGGAGGCGCTGCGCAAGGCTCAAGCGATTTTCGTTGGTGGCGGAAATACGTTTGTGCTGCTGAAGCAACTGTACGAATTGCAGCTGGTGGAGCTAATACGTGAGCTGGTGTTGAAGCATGGCCTGATCTATGTGGGCAGCAGTGCCGGCACCAATGTGGCCACACGCTCCATTCACACCACCAACGATATGCCCGTGCAGCAGCCGCCCAGCTTTGAGGCCCTTGCGCTCGTCTCCTTCAACATCAATCCGCATTATCTCGAAACGGCTGCGGACACCCAACACAAGGGGGAGACACGCGACGAGCGTATTGAGGAATTTATCGCCTATCATTCGCGACCGGTGCTCGGATTGCGCGAGGGCACCAGCCTCCGAGTGCAAGGCAATCTGGTCACACTGCTCGGCGATCGCAATGCCAAGCTCTTCAAGGCGTAAGTGTGCTGCGATCGTTATCGATAACGCATTTACGTTACAGGCCACCGGCAATTGTAGATAACAGATGTAACAGCTGCCACAGCTGTTATGTACAATTGCGGGTGGCGTCGTATTGCACTATATATAAACTATGCATCCTCTGTTGATTTCAGTGATGGCTCAGCCGTGGAATATGCGCCCCATGCGGATCTTAGTTTCCTGCTGGAGTCATAAGGCTCGCTGGCATAGAAAACATTAACACACATTTATTTAAAAACATACATACATATATGTATATATATATATATATTGTAATTGTTATAACAAATGATATAGTCGGCATGTTCGTGATAGATCTTATACGTAAATCATACATATATGAATATATATTATGCGCTTTTAAATCTATGACTACACAATAATAATTATACGAAACACATTTGCTTGAAAGGGATTATTAACTATCTACAATCAATAAATTTCCATTGCTAATAATAAACTAAAGCAATGATTACAACAAATATATTGTTTCTTAAGGGAAAAGTACTTGAAATAAGCTGCTCAATTTTAAAACTTTTTTGTCGTTTCTTAAATTATTTAAATGCATCTTCAAGAGAACCATCTAAGATATATGCAAGATTCTCTGTTTGCTGTTTTCCGTCTATTCAAATATCAAATCGAAATAAAAGTAAAATAATTAACGGGCAGATTTCCTTATTCGAACTGAACATCATTTTCTTATGTATAACAGTTGGCATTTGTAGAACAGTTAGCATCACTTTCAGTCATGATATCAGCAGATAACATTACCGATTGAGCATAACATTTTGTCAGCAAGGAATGAATGTTAACTATGCTCTTTATTTTAATTTTTTGTTTTTTTTATATGTAACATATGAATTAAACTTTGCAGAGAGTCGTTCTAATAGTTAAGGTGTATAGGAAATTGTAAACTAGCATAGATTATTAGAAGGAGCGCGTATAACAGTTGCAAGGTTTCCGATGAGGCAAGATTTGGGCCACATTCCATTCACATTGGCTAAGGCGGCATTTGATTCACATACACATTTCGTTTGATTGGTTTACTTCAACAGCCACTTCTTCAACTTAAGCATATCTAAGTCTATATGTATAAAATATCTATAACACTTAGCTATGCATTAAAAATATACATATACATATAAATCGTGTATATATATATATATACATATACATATACAGTATATAGGAATTCTGGTAATTGTAAAAAAAAATTTATAAGTAATACAGTTATAAGTTAATAAATAATTTATATATGTATATTGGCTAATTGAGAGCGGCTAATGACAAGCTAGGATTGGCCCTGAATATTGGCTAATGGCTGTTGTATGCACTGTTATACAACTGTTATACACACACGCACACACACACACACATACACGCTACATACGAACTTACACAATTACCTCCCATAAATGTGTATATAATGTCTATATATATATTTAAATTTAATATGCTTAAAACTTAAGCAAGCATTTTGGCAGCTACAAGTTACACACAATCCCCTGTCCCCTGACCCCTGACCCCTCCTCCTCCTCCTTCCCCAGGATTCTCTTTTCAGCACTTAATTATATAACAATTCTTGCCTACCATTTTGAGCATTAAAAGTTTCACTTTAAAACAAGGCATTTACAAAAAAAAATATTTAAAAAAAAACAACAAAAATTGTCTAAAATTAGGCAAGCACACATACAGACACACATACAGACATACACACAGACACACACTTTAGAAAGGAACTGACGAAATGAAATAATCCTGCAACGTTGTTTTACTTTTGCAGAATACTTTTGTCATCGTAGCGAATGATGGCATCGCCGATTTGTTTGCGCGACGCCAAATGGATGCACTGCACCCGTCCGCATTTCGCTGGCAAAGTGCTGGGCATGGCTCCGCCCCTTGCCAAATGGTGGCGCACATCCAAACCGAAACGCAAATGGGGCTCGACAGCGCGCAATATATGTACAGTGTGCTGGGCGGCGACAAACATGTCCAGGATGCTCTCGACACCTCCAGCCGTTGGGCTGTGCTGCAGCAGCTGCTCAATGTCCAGATCGCTGCGCATGATGGGCAAACCCTGCGTATCCATTAATTTCCGAGCTGTAAGCACACAAAACAGGCAAGCAAAAAAACAAAGAAAAACCATTAGGAAAAGCGATATTTGATACGATTATTATTATAGTATTATTGCCAAAATGTAAGCATGCGTGGAAGTGCTTCCATTTCACTAGCAGAGTAAAAAAAAGGAGGAGAATATATAGATCTTTGAGAAACTTGGGCAGTTTGTGAAAAATATGGGAATATATACATAACTTATTGGAAATTGAAAATTATCGATATTCGAGAAACGCAGGCAGTTATCGATAAAATGAAGCGATCTTGATCTGCGCCGGAAGAATACTTCATACAGTCGCCGATCCGAGATCAAAGTGTTCATACAGACGGACGGACATGGCTATATCAACTTAGTTGTTTATTGCTGATCAAGAATATATATATATACCTTACGGGCTTGGACTCTACCTGTCACATAATTGTGCACAAGACCATTCTACCCCTTTTATAATCACATTGATTAGCATCTATATCTGTTTATCTCTTTCTCTTTATCTCTTTCTGTCTCCTAATCTCTTTATGTATCTGTTTGCCTTCCTGTCTATCTAACTCTTTCCCTCTTTCTCCTCTCTCTGTCTTTCTCTCCGCTCCTTCACAATCTCAATCTCGCTCTCTCACTCTCTCTTTTCCTGTCTCTCTCTCTCTCTGTCTCTCTCTGTTTCTCACTCACCCTGAACATAGTCGCGACTGTAGAAGGCGATGACATCGTGATTATGTCGATCAAAGTAGCCGCTGCTCTGGCTAATATCGCAGGTATCGCAATCCTTACAGAACTGCGCCCAGGTGCACGGATATAGCTGGAATCCGATGGGCGCATACACCTGGAAGCCCTGGATCGTGTTCATGCGCACCCTATTGAGGAAATCGGTGCGAAAGAGCATGCTTGGTGTGGCCAGCAGCACCAGGGACTCGAGTCCCAGTTTGGGCAACGCCAGATCCGCGACAGCTAAGCTGAGCAACTGCCTCGGCCCGTACATGGAGGCGTGCAGTAGCCAATCATCCGGAGTTACCGGCTCACTCAATTGCTGCGGCAGACGTATGGATACCCAGGCAATCCTTGAACCATCTGTCTTGTATTTGGATGATAAGTCCAAGGCCAGTTTCTTCAGTGCCTTGAAGGGATCATCATCCCCTTTGCTGGGCGAATTCAAGCGATACAGAAAGATCTGCAGCAAAAAGGGAACAGAACATAAGTAAAGGGAACTTCTCGACAACTACAATTCGAGAATTTGCTACCAGGAGTAGAAAGGTGTTGTCCTGATTGTGCATACAGATGCGTTCGTATTGGGCCACAAAATCGAGAGCATCTGGCACCTGATGCTCGAACGATGGCACAAGGATGGCGATCCGTATGCTCTCCGTGACATACGGCGATGGTACGACCTCGACGCGTCCGAGTGGTTTGACCACCTCGAAGCTCTTGAGGATCAGACGCTTGGGCGTGTTGCTCTCGTAGAGATTGAGGTGCAGCTGGTAGTCCATGCCGCGTGTCGCATCAAATTTACGATAAGCACTGTGCATGCTGTGATATCGCAGCCGGGGATATTTCTCTGCCGCATACTGTAGCGCTATCTCCAGCACTTTGGCAAAGTCGAGGGCCTCGATGCGACTCAGTGCGGCAACAGCATGATCCGCATTCGCATTGGGCAGAAAACTGTGTGTTTGATTCAACAGCTGCCACATGAGCATGTCGTGACGTGTCTCCGGCGCACTGGGCGGCGGCACGCCGAGGGGCCAACGGATCTCGAGTATTTTGTTGGAGATGCTGCCGTTCGCAATGCGATACGATTTTTGTTCGAGCGCATAGCCACGCTGTTGCACCAGCTCCAGATGATGCTGCACCAAATCAAATCAAATCACTTTTATATTTATATATTTTTTAAAATTATATTATTTAAATATACTATTTGAATTTCCGTTGTAAATGCAATTCTCTTAACAGCAAACGGTTAACAGTAAGCGCTTAACAGCGTCACGTAGTGTTAACAGCACAATTTTAGCAGCACTTAAAAGAGTCGAATCGAATCGAGTACTCACCTTGGAATAATATGCATGCAGACGATAGAAATCCTCGGGTGTGTGCACGGGATAAACGGTGCTCGCATTCCGAAATGCTTCCTCCTTGGCCAGTATGCTGAGATCCTTAAATTGGCGCGATTTCGTATTCAAAGCATAGCTATACTGACGCATACCCTGTGTTCAATTAGATGCCAAAAAGCGAAATGACTAAATAGAATGCATTTGTTTTTCTTCTTTTTTTTATGTTTGGCGCCGTCAAATTGACCATGAAATTCATTTCTAACACAAAAAATAATAAAATGAAATAATGTACATACATACAACATATGTACAAGGGAAAAAACGAAAAACGTGGCAGTGGCAGTTGCAACCCAGACCGTGATTCAGTTCCGAACATGTGTTTGACAGATCACAATAAACAATAAACTTCCTTTATTGACGACGAGCATGCGAATCGCTTTTACCCTCCCATTAAAATCCCAAACTCAACAAAACCCAGCAGACGGCGGCATTTTTGCTGCTCCCATTTCCATTTCCAGGAGCGGTGAGGATGGCCACGGGAAGCCGGGGAGGGGGGAGCAGCAATAGCAGCGGCTGCATAATTAAATTAACATTGCCATGTTAAGAGTTCGTTAGATGCGAGTTATGTTTGAAGTTTGACAGACGTCAACAGACTCAATCTCCCTCTCTCTCTGTCTGTCTCTGTATCTCCGTCTGCTGGCAGGCAGCGCATCATAAACCATTTTTGCACTCAGCAAATGCAACTAGTTAATTTGCTGGCGCACATTAATCAATTTAAATGACAGCAGAAGAAAAAAAAAAGAAGCGAATACAAGATGCGCCCAAGAAGCCATAGGAACAAAAGCTGTAACGGTACTTTTGAAGTTGGCAGCAGCAACAAGTAGACAAGTGTTCGACTATTAAATACCTTGCACACAACATACATGCAAACATACATGAACATACATTATAACATTATTTAAAGGTCTACTTAACATTGAAGCAAAAGCTAATGAAATGAACACTCTCCACACACAGACGCACACACACACACATGCACACACACACACATGCACACATAATATAATATACATATGTACATAAATCATTTAACGGTGCCTGGCAGTAGCCGCATAAATATAAACCCCAAATCCAAACAAATGAATGAAATTCATGAGAAAAACGTGCGTCAAGTTCTTAGCCCTACTATGTATCTTGATTTACGTATAAAACAATTCTAGCTAAATTGCGTGTGCAAAATGAGATTTGCCGCTGTTATAAATAGAGCAAGAACAAGAGCAAAGGCAAGAGCAAGTGCAGAAGTAAGCAGCGGCTTTAATTGGCCAATATTAGTTGCAGTGCAAATAAAGCAAGCATACTTAGCAGTGGCTCACAAACAGCGACTCAACAACAGTGCAGCTCAAACTGCAGCAAACGTCATTTTATGTTGTCTATTAACCCTTCCCTCGCCCAACTCCTCACATTCAAGAAATTCTTCGAACGTTGATTGAAAATTAAATAAACTGTCCATCAAGTGGTGGTTGCTGTTGTTGTGATGTTACTCCAACAGCTGCTGGTAGCTGCCCCCAACCAATGCCTGCAACAAAATGAATACTTTAAAGTTGCTTTCGTTTTTCCCTCTGTGTCTCTCTGTCTCTCTCTCTCGCTCTCTCTTATTGGCCTAGCCCTCTTTCTGTTTTGCGGCGGCTGCTGCTGCTGCTGTTGCTGCTCTTTTCAGGGTCACTTTTGTTGTATCAATGAACTGATTTTAGCTTTTGTGTTCTTTTTGTGTGTTCGTTCTATGTGTGTGTGTGTGTTTGTCGTACGTCTTTTTAGTCAACTGCAAATTGTTTAAATAAATAAAACGGCGTGTGTAGAAAAGATCACACGACAAGCAAACGGGCAAATTAACTTGCACACACACACAAATACATATATATATATATATATATATATATATATATACATATAGTGGCATGCATGTGCTGCAGACAGCAGTGCTGCTCAAACGTTGAATAGCTGCTGCTAAACATTGCTGCTGCTGCTGCCGCCGCTGTTGCTGCTGCTTATTATGTCTGCCTGTTAATGGATGGTGTAATTTAACATTGCACTTGAGCAGAGTGAATGTCAAACTGCGAATGCGGAACACATTTTTCTCTGCTGCTGCTGCTCAGCTAGCAGGAGCTGTGCATTTATTACATTGTCAAACAGTTCCACGTTCAAAATCAAATTCATCGTGTCATTTTCGATTTGTGGTATTTTTTTTTCTCACCTGAAACGTGTCCTGGCAGCTGGCAACACGGCTCGCATATTTTACACATCGTCCAATGTTGACACTGTGATCATTTGTGATGCCGATGCGAACACATCGATCCAGATTGTTGCGCATCTTGCGGATGACACTGCTGCTGAGCAGGATGCCCGCCTCCAAGGCGCAATAATTGCGATCTGTGAGTCCTCTGCCTCCACCCCTTTCCGAGGCACTACCAGCACCAGCACCATCCGAATTATCATCATTTGACTCATTGGCAGCATTGTCATTGTCATTGTCATTATGATTGGCAGCATTGTCAGCATTATCGACATTTTCATTGTCTTTCTTGGATTCGGCGCGTGGACTGCCCATATACAAATCGAAGGTGATACTCATGTGATAGAGCAGCGCATTCAGCTTGCGAGCATCCACATACACATTGTCCGGCACGAGCAGAAAATAATCGTAATCGTCCAGATAGTTATCGGCTATGTATTTGATCACATAGAAGGGACGGCGACTCTCGCGGGTATCGGTGAAACCGACGATGTTCTTCAGTTGATAGTTCGTCTTCACGCTGTCCGCATTGATGAAGAACTTGATCTTGTTGACCAGGTGGGCGGTGGTGCGATTGAAGGCTGTCGCATAACTGTTGATGTTCTCCTGTGACGTCATCACACCGATAAATATCTTCTCCCGAATGCCCAGCTCCGATGAGTAATAACGCGGTCGCATCACATTTTTTACCTAGCCAGAAAAAACATTAAAAAAAAACGGAAACAAAAAAACAAATGTGAAATCTGAGTTGGAGTTGAAGCACATAATCCCTAAAAAGGTAGTTGTTATATTAATTAAATGTAAGGTCGACCCAAATCAGATTCGTTTGTTGCATAAGGAATGTTTACTTTACAGATCAACAGTTTTTTGTCAGCGCTTAAGCATGAATTTCGGGGAAACAGGCATCAAAAGTGCTTTAGTGATTATCGATAAAAATCGATCTCTGATGGAAAGAAAACCCACTACAATTTTAAAGATACATCCCTCTAGTCAGGCATGTAAATATACCTTGACATAATATTCAACGCATAACTATTGAATTGAATAGTTCTTTCAAGAAACAATCGCTTATCCGATAGTTTATATATGGCAGCTATAAATGATAGTGTGGTGAACTAATCTTCATTATTTACAGTTACCATATATTATTTAATACTAATAACTAACTTACGTGTATATAGTATTTATTTACAGTTACCACCAGTTACCACTATTTTGCAGTAGTTTCTCATATTGCCTGCTCATCGAATTATTTTCTCGTGAGAGGTATTCCAGTAACAAAAAAAAACTGAATAATATACGACTCATTTCATACGAGTGCAATCATAAACATTTTATGGAGCACGTTGAACCCTTTACCCAAGAAAACCTAAATAGACATACACGAAGATATTCAGTATCGCTGACTAATTTTTAAGATTGCCAACTTCCATTTTTACGCATTCGAGCGAATGAAAACTTGTACTTTTTATGTGCCAGTTTGAATAACATAATCATCTTATAATCATCTTATCATCATCATCATCATCATGATCATCACCATCACTTTGAGTACCCACCACTTCCACTTGGATATTTCAAGTGCCCAAACGTGCAGTTGTTTGTTGTCTGTCTGACTAGATTATTTTAATGGGCACAAAATACTTATTGTTGTCCTCGATTCATAATTCTTCGAGCAATACAAACACAATTCACAAAGCGAGAGAGCTCGAAAGGAGCTCGAAAGGACCTCGATCCTGAGCCCCAATTCCTTTTAATGTTCGGTATTCAATATGTTGAAAAAATGCAGATGATAGTGTATAAATATATAAATTATATGCATTTATATTATGTATATATATATATATATATATTCGATTTTTTTTTTGCTAGTCAAGCATATATATTCTTTATGGGGTCTGATTTCTTCCTACGGCCTGTCAAACCCTTTTGAACAACTTCATTATACCTATTTTCGATTAGGTCAACAACGGACTACTTTAACTTATAGAGCTTCATTAGTAGACAACTAAAATCGGGTTTGGACTTTGTTTCAATGTAAATCTCAGCTTTGGTTTAGTTGAAACTTTAAAGTAAACTCGCATTTTTTTTTTTTTTGTTTCTCTCGTCGGCAGTTAAATGATTTCAAATTTTATTTGATGATATGACCGAGTATTGCGCGTACCTTTTAATTGTTTATTTTTTATGGGCATCGTAAAACACACGGCCTTTGCACAAGATTGACTTAGTAATACACATTTATACAATGTGTTTGGTTTTTCTGTCGTTGATTAACGTTGACGTCAGATACGAAATACACCTGACTCTGACCCTTGAACTGCAATCGTGCGGCTTAATGCTAGCCAAAGTTAGCTGCTAACTGTCAGTTAGTATTTGTCTAATCGGTTTTAGGCTAGCGTTGAAACAGACGACAATTAGCGCTGATTGCTGAAAATAATATACTAGTTAGTGCCGACTGAAAGTGCTTTAGATGAGCGACGGTGATATACCCGGTAATGTCAAACAAATCATTCTTATGCTAACAATTGTTAGAAATATAATAAATAATAATATATATTAAAATATTTAATTTTATTTTTCAATTAGTTTAATTGAATCGTTACTTTAATAGACTTCTATGTCCGGGTTAAATAAATAGATATAAAAACCAGTGAGATCGCTGCAAATGATCTTTACCGACTGCAGAATACTCTGGTGCCAGAGTAATGCTAGCTAATAATTGGTGAGCAAGAAACTTCTTGCGAGGTTTGCGGTTCGACAAAGATCAACATTAATGCAGCCTTAAAATGTTGGTGACTCTAGCTTAAAAACTGCACAAGATAATAGGTATTGACGATTCCAAGTTCGCTGATTCTAGCTTTCAAATTGTGGCATAAATGTGATTTTATCGATTTACGCTTAACGATGCTATCGATTTTCCAGCTCTCCCAGTTGACGTAACCCGCCAAGGTCAAAACTTTGTCGACAAATAAATATTTCAGCGTTCCAGTCTATCGCTTCCACAAAACCAATATACTCTTCAATCTTCAATGACAGAGTATAATAAATATGCTTAAGGCTTGTAACTTTGACAAATAAGATAAGAATCGGAAGTTATCGACTGATATATATAATTATAGCATCAGTAGAGTCAATTAAACCCAATTCGGTGATTGTTGCAATAAAGATGTTAGAATTATAGACATACCAAAGGCGTTGATCAAGCAAATACGGATCAAATGTTCGCTGGAATTATACAGGGTATCAGGCTCAGTGTTCACATTTGTAATGGGATATTAATTGAATTATTATTGGCTAACGAGCCAGCGACGACATGGCCAATGCACTCATTAAAATCCAATCTTCCCCTGCCCCTCTCTTTCGACAACAAATTCGTATGCAAAAGCCAGATGACCTTGTGCTTAAATTACGGGCACCTTATGCCACACGAGCTAAAAACTGAAGCCACATCCACATCCACATCTACATCGACACCACCGGTACGCAATTAATTGTGTAAATATCTAAACACAAACAGAGAACAGAAAACAGGTAAACATATTTGAACGACTTGCCCGACTTGCAGAACAAACAGCACAAGAACAGTTATCTTAGTCACACCGAACATTATATACCCTATTTGGATATAATCCATATGTTATTAACTCAGCACAGAAAGTCTCCCTAAAGATTCGAAGGTTTTTCATGTTTTTAAAAATAATTTCGAAATGTAAGAAAACAACATTTTTCTCAATATTATATTACATTAAACAATTTCCAAAAATATGATTTTTTCTATATTTTTTTTTTTAGTTGTAGATGACTTTCTTATTTATTTGGTTTTTCATAAGAGCGCTTAAAATTGAACCGATTGTTCCTATGGCAGCTATAGGTAATGCAGCTCCTACAGACGGATATATGCTGTAAGCTTCATCAAGATAGTTCTAAAACTGAATGGACTCATGTGAACTAGATATGGAAAACAGATATGGCTGTATCTCAACTCGATAATATATGTATTTCATCATCTGCATTGCAAACTTCACGACATTATTATAATACCTGCTTCTCTGCAAGGGTATACAAAATGAAAATTTTATTTACCATATTTTTTTTTATTTTCTTTCTTCTTTTTTTGTGGTGGGGTAAATGAAAATACTTTCCTAAATATGTCTGTTTTGCTTTTGGAGAGGATGAGGTGGAGAGAAGTTTGTGAAAATGATGGATGACGTATGAAAATTCCGCGAATTTTCAAAATCGAACGCAAAAATTGATCGTACGATCTACAACATGAATTTGCTTTGGCATTTAACAATTTCGTTTGAATTATGAGTGCCCCGAATAAATGGCAATCAAGTACAAACATTTTTGGAGAAGTGTACCACTGAGTCAGCAAACAGTCTAATCTAACAATAGCAGGTGCTTACTCAAACATAACGCAAACAATTCGCAATAGAAGCACAGTTCTCAGAGAACCCACTCTCCTTACAAAGTGCTCAAGCTGCCTTAAAGCCTTAAAGTCAGTCAAAACTCTTTGATATGAATTACAACCAACCAGCTCATCCTGTCAAACCAACACGATCTAATCAATCAATCAGTAATTTCCATCCTTCAAAATGTAAGTCTTTATTTTGCGAAAACTAGTCGTTGATAAGGCGCATGTCAGCTGGCATGAACTTTGACAAGGGCTCGCATAAAGAGATAGTAGTTTGTTCAACCAAAATGTAGTTTGCTCTTGATGAAATATTCACAGTCGCTCAATAATATATCTGGGTAAATTATTTAGCAATTGGAAGGCAATATCTTTACAATGGTGTCTTTTATCGCTATCGGATATCGATTTGTATCGATTTTCGCGCAACAGTGGCCGGCATTGATAAAATATAGCTTGATATGCGAGTATAAAAATAAAGTGATTTCTTACCAATGTCTGAGCCGATGTCACTTGCCAACCGCAAGCCACAAAGAATTGATATTTGTTGCATTTATGTGGCACACGTGTCTGTGAAACTTTCAATTTGTTCATTGTTGGAATCGTTATTTTGGGCCCTCGATAACAGCAAAAGACAATAAAAACAACCTTGTGACGTAACAGCAGCCAACGGAAGTAAAACACTAACTACTGGAAAGAGAGACGAGAGACAGAGCGAGAAAACGACTAGGGGATACCCTGTAGACAAGTCTTTAACCAATCCAAGCCAAGTTAACTTAATTCAACTATTTCCTACATTTCAACAGCGTTTTCTTTTCTGAGTGTAGTAAAACGCTGCAGTCTTGGCCAGCTCTTTAATGCATATACAGGGTATACAGGGTATACAAATACTCGTAATATTTGATCATATTTCAATTGATGGTTGCAAACTGTAGCCACCAACATTAGCTAGTCAGTAAGTAAAGGCAGTTAGTTTGGCCAAGTTTAAAACGTTATCAGTAAGCTGCCTTATCAGCGAGGAAGAAGCGAATAGTTAACAATAGCAACAGCAACAACAACAGCAGAGAAAAATAGGAACAATAACAACAACAAAATCGACAATATTCCAATTTCAATGTGCCATAAATTTAATTAAACATAGATATTGAATTATGTATATTGGTTTGTGCGCAGTTTGCTGCCAGCCCGATTTGGATTTCCAATTGGATGACTGTCGTCCAACTGGAGCCTCACAAAAAAGAATTGATGTTGTTGATGATGATTCAGACAATAAAGAATTAAAGTTTAGACGGTTTATAAGTTCAATTACGACTCGCAGTATCAAGAATCAAGGCTATTAAAATAGTTACTAATGATCAAGAAAAGAAACTAACTATAAATATGTTATTTACAAAAAGAGCAATAAAACTCTGCTTCTACGTAAACTTTTGTACTTTTAGTTTTGTTGTTTCGTTTTAGTTTTAAAATTCTGCCCACACTAATTGGCATTGGGTGTAATTAATCTTAAGATAACTTTTGCCCAAAGCACTCACCCAAATGTATAATTGTTTACACAATTATGTGGTTGTTACTTTGAGAGCTAAATGAATTCAATGGCTGAGTGTCGAATACTTGTGAATCATATGAATCATGCAGATGCAATGGCAATTAATTGAATTGCTTGCAGTTAAAATTAATGTGTAATTTGATAATGTGTGCACATTTTATTTGTTTTTATTTGCATGTGAATTGTCTGTTTTGGTACCATTCATAAATTCAGCCAGATGCCAGCTTCGTTGGAGCGGGGAAATGGGTGCGAGAGCCCAGGGGGCAGTGTCTCGACATTAGTCATTAGTAATTGGGTTAATGAAATAATATCATTTAGCCGAAGCGTTCTCGATTGATCAAATCACACCTCAAGTCAAGTCAATTGTACCATACAAAATAGAAAATATCTAAAATATTTGCATGAATTGAATTGAATCAAGTAATCTGAGCAACATGTTTTTATTTTGAATTTATTTACGGCAATTTAAGAAGTACAATGAACAATGACAGTATTCATTCTATCCCAGTGAGTCGATTAGTATTTATATATTATCCTGATCATATACAAGATATAACAATAAGATTAGGTTATTTGGAATTTATTCAAGTCAAAAGCTAAATGTTTTTTGAGGTCTTTCGTAGCAGTTTTTTGTCAAATTAATATGATTCTGCTTAGATCTATTGTGCCTCTGCCTGACAAACAACTGCAGCCATAGCTTTTGGTGCAGCTCTGCCAAGATTATTACTAGTCTCAGAGTCTAGACTCATTTCTCTAAAAGTGGAGGAGCAGCTTCCTATATATTTCCGCATAGTTTTGCGTAGAAAATACTTGCTAAATTAGCACAATTGATTCCGAGTAAGTCGAGTGCAAATAAGTAGGCATAACATTAGGTTATAAATCGCTTTGTGCAACACCCAAGTGCTATATAGAATATAGAATAAGTGTACGTGTGTTACAGATAGATAAGCAGAAACTTGTTTATAGAATGATATATATTGCATGCTGTCTCAATCTCAATCTCAATCTCGGCTCGTTTTCAATCGGGCACAAGAGCCAAGTGTGTGTGAATTGTGCATTGGATTTGACAAATCTTAATTGAAAGTCGTGCGCAGGCGGTGCTTTACACATTTCTACAGATATATATCTATATAGATATATATATATATATATGTGTGTGTGTGTGTGTTTGTTACAGATCGGTGGTGCTATAGCTGTAACTGTTGTGGATCGTTGAAAAGTCGCTGGGTCGACTCTGTCGCGCGCTCATGACAATTAATTGAGATCGTCATTGTGCACTACTATTCAGATATATATATTCATACACATGCATACCTATATCTAAAACTATGTGTAGATATGTGGGCCTTAAGCCGGATATGCGACGCGCTTTTCAATTAAGGCAGCAGCAGCAACAACAACAACAAAAGACAATTTGCATCTGGGTGAACATTGTAAATCAAAAGAGCATCAGCTTATATATATATATATATATGAAATCTGACAAAGATCGGATATTTTGCGAGAAGATCAATTAACTACTTTTAGATGAGTGAGCGCGGCAGTTTTTGCCAAATAAAAACGATTCAATTATGAGAAGCAAGGATCGCCACATAGAGACGACCTTAATGAAAATAATCATACGAATATAGTTTAATCAATAACAACAATACGAATATTATTAATAAACAAAATGAAATTACATCAATAATGAGGAATATACATATGTGTAAAAAGAATGGCAACGCTACGCAACTGGTTGCCAGTCTGTGCGTAATGAAAGAGTTGTTGAAAACAATTATTGAGCAATCAGTTATTTAGCCATTAGTCAATTTAACTTTAATAACAATCATCATAAGAATATAATATATATATATATATATATATATATATATATATATATATATATATATATATATATATATTCGAAAACAAGTTTAAAAACAAGATTATATTCGTAGACTCGAGAGAGAGCTTCTATTCAATTTATTCCTTATTAAAATACTGATGAAGCAGTTTTAATGTATATAAACATTAATTATGATGTATTCCCATTAATTAATGATATATTACCGATCAGCTGATCGCCACAAGGTTGACTTCATAGGGTGCTCACTAATTGATAAGTCAGTTTATTTATAGACGACACTGGGACACTGATAAGTCATACTTGTTGTAAATTAAGGTGTCACAAATTGAGAATTCTATATATACACATATATATGTAGAAATGTATATATTGTTTGTATCAATTGTTCACTTGGCCACCGAGTTGTGCATTCCAGCCGAGATCATGTACTTGTCAAACAAATAGTCCCCAAGATCTGTCTGGGCCCGTTCCAGCTGTCTTATAAAATCGGCTAGAATCTTTTGGCCATCGACCTGCTCCTGCAGAAAGTTTGCCTCAATGAAATCGCACAGATTCGGATCGTTCTGTTTGCTTGCCAATGCGTGCACCTCTAACAGATGCTGATTCACCTCCAGTTCCATGTTTAGGGCATGCTTCAGGGCCGTCAAAGCATCGGTAAATTTGGGCAACGGTTCCGGTACACTGCTCAAAATAATGGAGCCACCTCGTTTATTCATGTACTTCATTATCTTCTCGGCATGCTGGCGCTCCTCGGCGCTGGCCTGCAAAAAGAATCCATGGACGCCCGGTGAACTGACATCGGCCCGATCGAAATGATAGGCCTATTGATGGATTTTAGGGGGGTATATCTTTTCGATTTAGCCGATTTTTGGTTGCTTACCATGGCCAAATATTGATGGCATGCCTTTAGTTCCATATTGATCTGTGCGTTGAGCTTCTCTTCACAACATTTGGCAAAATTCTGACGCATTATCTGGCACAGACGACGTAGTCTTATCCATGGATAGCCAATTGACATTTTTGTGTGGCATTCAAAAAAAAATATATATAAATAAACCAAAAACTAAAAGCCGACAATTTTTATAAAACTACAAGACACATTTGTCTAGGGAAAAATAAAAGCCGAAAATGTTTAGAAAAAACTACAAGGCAAATTTGTCTAGGGAAAAATCAAAGGAAGTTCTGATTTATGACTGCATCGTTACTAGTAAAAAAAAATAAAATAATAATAATAATATTACAAAAGCGATAAACTTCAAAGTCGATTTCTGAATTTCTAAAGTGTTTAAAAAATTAAGAGAATTCATTAAAGATCTGACTCAAGACAAAGTCGGTTCGAAAATGGGGTTTCCACTGAGTATAGCGGATTATAGGGAAGCAAAGATTAAACCCGCATAGAGCTAAGAGTTTCTCGGTGTTTCGTTTTTGGGGGTCACAGGTTCAAAGTGCGCAGTCGACAATGTGATTTCACTTTTCATTTTTTCTCTTCTTTTTTTTTGTGTCAGCAAAGCACTTAGTCAGTGTGGACACACACACACACAGATGACCCTACTCACATAGAAATATATGTATGTATATGCATACAGTTCAGGTCAAAATAATAATACTGTAAAATATATATTTCATATAACCAATTCCATTACTTGCAATAGATCTTTCCTATATTTCTGGGCAGTTTTAGCATGTACAAATTTTGAGCAGCATTTTAAATAAGACGTGGTAATTTTATGGTGATATTAAGGTGTGTGGCAAAGGAAAGCTGATACTTGAGAAGTCCATTTCAATATAGGGGAAAGTAACAAATAGTGTTGATTAATGATTTAAGTATTCAAACAAATCACAATATTGTCGATTTAATTTTTGGGAGTTGCAAAAGCTCATCGACTCATTCTTACATTTTACTGTCAAATAAAACCCCTCTCACGGTCAATCATTGCCATTGGATAAATGAAGGAGTAAATTTAGATGAATTCAAATTTTCAAATAAATGTGGAACAAGAATTGAATGGTTCAAAATAATTTTCTATATCTCGTACTACTGTTACTACATAAACTTGATCGCAAGTGTGTGTACATATAGATATACGCTATGATTTATGTGTGCTTAGGCAACAGCGAGTTAAGTAAACTCAAGTTATTGTCATTTACTTGTATTAAGTGAATGGGAAACGACTTTTTGCTCAGCTTTATGTGTTTTTTTTTTGTTGGTTTTATTTTTCGTTTTTTTTTTTATGTGCGAACGAGTTTTAAACATTATCTTTCCCTCGTGCAACACATGCACATTAAAGTAATAATAATAATAATAATAATCACACACAAACAGTGGCCCATTAAATCATAATAATAATAATAATCATTATTTTGCCAAGTCATTTTAATGTCGCATTATTACACAACACTGGTTGTTACATTTTATTATTGTTCCAGACATCGTTTTATTGTCCATGATTCAAAATTTAAATAGCTAAAATGTGTCACATATTATTTTGATAATCATAGAGAATTTGAATATTAATTCTGGTGCACATGTATTTGAGTTTTTTTTATGTAAATTTGGACTTAAGCGACCAGAAAATACTATTCCATTTATCCTAAGGTTTCCTGGCAAACTTCAAACTTTTAAAAAGGCAGCTGAGTTTATATTCTATTTTTTTCACACAATAAACTATAAATAAAGTTGTTCTATGAACAAACTAGAATATGTAGCTCTTTTTATATTGATTCCATAATTAGCAAATAGAAAGCAGAAGCAGTAAAAATTATCTCAAGCGCTTAAGGTTATTTCTTTATTATCTTTTCTTTTTGCAAGCAATTGCGCATTATTATTATTACTGGTTTTACTGAGTTTCCAAAAATAAAAGTGCCAAAAATGTGTATTAACTTAATAAATTTGTTATTTTTTTGCGCATTGCTCGCTTAATGGAAACGCAAACGTTTGCATTGTTAACTCTATAAAAATAATAAAACAAAACAAAAAAAAAAAACCAACAAAGACTAATAATAAAACAAATAAATGTTTAACGCAACAAAATTTCAAATACCCTTTCAAAGAAATATAAATTAAAAAACTAAAATTAAATTTAAAGAAAAATAAATGAATAAATACGAATTCAATAAAAGGTGTCAGCCGTAATCTAGATCTTAAATTTGAGGAATACTGTCGAAAATGTGGGCGTGACCATGAAATATATATATATATCGATGCCTGCGGGACATCATATTGTGACAAATGTGTTTTATCGATTTGCACTTATCAATGTTATCGATTTTCCAGCCCCTCGTCGACGAATATATATATATATATTCCAGAGGTTGCACGTCTTTAGCTTCAAAAAAAAGCAAATGTACTCTTTAACCAGCGGTAACAATGTATAAAAACAGATATACGTTTTCATGTTTGAATATATACACAATGTTTAATCGATTTTCGTTTGATTTTTTCATGTATTCTCGTGTTCAATTCAATAAATTTCGCTGCGTCGGATTTATGCCGCCATAGGTACATATATATGTATACATATATTATATATATATATATATTCAAATACATACGTAATGCAAGTATCAGCTATCGTTATTTGGTCAGCTCTGGCTTATAATTGAAATGCGTTTATTTACTTAAATGTAATTTATGCGCGCGCCAGTGAAATTTTTGTTGATCGCATGTTATTTTTCTTTTAATTTATTTTTTTTTCATTTCATTGTTGCTGATCAAATTTTGTGCAACCAATGCTGAAATTGGCGCTCACTGTTAAAATTGGCAAAAATGTAACTGCTATCGTGTAACATAAGGGTGCAAGGGAGGCAGTTACAGAGGGCAGCATTAACAGTGCATGACACCACAATGACTCTAAAACTGTTGCTGCTGCTGCTGCGCGCCGGGTGTTAATTGTCTGCTTTTTCTTCAAAATGAGCCACTGCAAAAGTGGCTGGTTAGGGTTATTTTTTTGTTGGTTTTTTTTGTTTTGTGTATTTTTTGTTTTTCTTTGTTGCTTGGCTGAACATTTGCCGCATTAATGAAGGCGTTGATAACAGCAATTGAATTGAGCCGAATTAAATGAAAAGTGACGTCTGCGCTGACGCTGACGTTGTCGCATATGTATGTATGTGTGTATTGTATGTTTTATGCCCAAAAGGGGAAGGCGAAGCACGCAAGCGAATGCGATAAGCAAGAAGGTCAATAAATTGCTTGATATAATGAGCAATGTGCACAAATACAAATACAAGTAAACATACACACACACACATAAATACACACACGACATATGCGTTGCTCACGTTTGCATTAGTAGATGTTTCTCATAGGACTCAATTTGGCACTTTCCGCAATTTCCCCGTTCTGATTGGCGCATGGACCACGTGCACAATATGTATCGATTTTGAGAGAGAGAGTGAGGTGGCTTACCGGCTTTTTAGCCGCCAGCGGCTTATTGATCAAATTCAAATGAGGCTCAAAATCCTGGCCAAATCGTTCGATAAGTAAATTTTCGGCCACCTCCTGTGGGCATTCCTCCTGCTGCACCAGCTCCCGAATATTCTGCGGTATATAGCAACTAAGCACCAGTCCAAGCAGCAGACCAATCACAAAGTAATGATTGCGACTCAACGCGGACGGTCTACGCATCTTTCCTGTTTACACATACACATGGGTGTAGGATGCTGCTGTCAAGTGGACATTTTATTGTACGCACTGCTGCTGCTGCTTCTTTTGCCCGGACTTGTTGCTTGTATTTTTTTCTGTTTTTTTTTTTCTTTTTTTTTGGCGGAAGCGATAAGAAAAAAAAAGAGTGAAAGAGTGTGCGAAAGAAAGAACTCAAACAAGTGATCTGTGAGTGTGCCGGCTAATTTTGGCAACAACTGTTTTTGCTTTACAGCACACGCACTTGCGTTCTGTTATTGTTGCTGTTGCTGTTGCTGTCGATCAAGCCGTTCTTTGCCTTTGGCGCTCTTTTACTATTCGCAGGCAAGCAGGCAACAAGGCATCGTTTCACGCACACTACTCACAGACGCACATCCACACGCACACACTAGCACCGCCTCGCACTGCACTGCACTGCACACACACACACGCACATCTGATATTCGTTGCGAGTCGCTTGAATGCTACGAAATATTGAACATAAAAAAAAAGATGAACAAGCGCAAACAAGCGCCGCCTGGCCGCCGCACACTGCGTAACGTAAAAAGATGGGATATTTTATCTTCATTCGGTTTTGCACTTCTAGCAGCGGTTTTGTGCTGTTAGCGCGCTGTAACGATTAACAGTTAACTGTCTGTACTTGCTAAAACGATCTGCTAATCGACTGTTGTTATGAACTAGTACGCTGATCACAGATCGTGCAAGCAAATTGAACAAACATTGTGCGCAACCTAAAGCCTTATTATATTGTCATTTCTTTAAGTCCACTTCTGTAATTCTAATTAAGTTGAGATTGTTAAATGTTACGTAATGTTTACCATTAACAAAGATACTATTTTTTGTGTGTCGTACATGCAATCGAGCCCCATACGTTTGTTTTGCACACAAAGTGGTTATTCTGCGTACTTGTCTAATGTTAAAATTGTGCTATGCTAACATATGTTAATTTTGACTAATGCTCTTTCTTGCGTTCACAGCTGATCATTAAATAAGTTTACAACTGCTAATAATTTAGCTTTTGTTTGTGACGTCAGTCTAGACATATAATTATGTGTTGTGAATGGCAAATATCATATATCACCATCATATATATTTTTACGTTTGTTTACGAAAACAAGACAACACGTCCGTAACTTAACTATGAAATTTGCACAAAAACAAACAATTGCTGTCTAGTGTGACGTAATCGATGTACATAAGGTACTATGTTAATGTGCGGCTATATTGCGTTAACATTAACATTGGCGTTAACTTTGTATATATCCGCCGCACACATTGCCGAAAAGTTGATAAACAAATTGATATGGCTGTGGTTGTGTTGGACAATGGTGCCTACACAGCCAAAGTGGGACTGGCAACGCAGGACGAGCCCAAAGTTGTGCCCAATTGCATTATGAAAGCGAAAAGTGAACGTCGACGCGCATTTGTCGGCAATCAAATCGATGAATGTCGCGACACCTCAGCGCTTTTCTACATCCTCGCGTTTCAGCGTGGATATCTGCTGAACTGGGACACCCAGAAGACCGTGTGGGATTACATATTCAGCAAGGATGGCATCGGCTGTTCGCTGGACAATCGCACCATTGTTATCACTGAACCGCAAATGAATTTTCAGAGCGTTCAGGAGGCGATGCTCGAGATGCTGTTCGAGGAATATCGGATTGGAGGCATGTATAAGGCGACCGCTGCCGATTTAGCTGCCTTTAACTATGTGGCGGACAGCGAGGAGCGGACGACAATGCAAACGCTTAACTGCATCATCATCGATGTTGGCTACAGTTTCACGCACATTGTGCCATTCGTTTTGGGCCGCAGAGTGCTTGAGGCGATACGGAGAATTGATATTGGTGGCAAAGCGTTAACGAATCATCTCAAGGAGCTCATCTCGTATCGCCAGCTGAATGTGATGGACGAGAGTCATGTTGTCAATCAGATCAAGGAAGATGTCTGCTACGTGGCCGAGGACTTCAAGGATGCGATGAGTGTGCATCAAAGCGAACAGCGGCGCAAGGAAGTTGCCGTCGAATATGTGCTACCCGATTTTACGACCGTAAAGCGCGGCTATATCCGTGTGCCCGGCCAGCCGCGTTACGATGAGGACCAGCAACAGATGGTGCCGTTGTGCAATGAACGCTTTACGGTCCCAGAGCTGCTCTTCAATCCCTCAGACATTGGCATCAGCCAGGTAGGCATACCGGAGGCAGTTGCCGACGCGCTCCAAGCGTGTCCGTGGGAGGCCCATCGCGAGCTGCTGCTCAACATCTTGATTGTTGGCGGTAGTGCACAGTTTCCCGGCTTTCTGCCGCGTCTCAAACGCGATCTGCGCGCCCTTGTGCCCGACGATCTGGAGGTGTCGCTCATCTGTCCTGAGGATCCGGTGCGCTATGCCTGGTACGGTGGACGCGAGGTCGCCACCAGTCCCAACTTTGATGAGTTCACTTACACGCGCTACGATTACGAGGAGTTCGGCATCCATGGCCTGCAGCAACGCTAAGTCCTTACAAAGCCATCTACCTTAGCTCATTAATGATTATTATTAATTTTTGTTAGTTTTAGTTACCTATAAGTATGTATGTGTTTTTTGTCTCCATTAAATAATAATAATAATAATTATCATCAATCTCTTAACTAGTCTCCGTCTTGACAAATATATCACATAGCTGCAATTGGAATAATCTCAGTTGTGAACATAGTGGCATCAAAATATTATTAGGAATAAAAATGGCAATCTAAAAGTTGCAAACAAAAGACAATTGATTTAGCTTAAAGTTTGATCTTTGCTTCGATTCTTTATATTTGAACTATATATATTTATACACACAGTAGTTGTATTTTTAATTTTAAAGATATAAACCTAAGTACATGCACATAGTCAAGTTGAAGTAATTCGCTTACCGACCAATTCGCTATTTAATTGTACAACTAAAATTTAACTACAGCAAAACAAACTTAAGCATATTTATTTATTCTTTGAGAGCACAATTTGCTTGAGTTGCTATTAGCTTTAACAATTATTTGGGGAGCACCTTAGCAAATGATTTTTGAGCAGATGCCTTTCGCAAATAACAAACGAAAAAATTAGAGAAAAAACAGCAACAAGTATTGTAATCTCTACATAAACTTAAGATAATTTAGATGTTGATGCGAGGCGGGTGCGGTGCTGTAGAGCATCGATATATTCTCTACATGCTAAAGGATTCGCCGCATCCACAGGTGCCCTTAATGTTCGGATTGTTAAAGACAAACTCGCTGGACAGCTTCGATTCCACAAAGTCCATTTCGGTGCCTGCAATAAAACACAAAAAAAAAAAATGATGTAGATTATTATAACTCTTGTGATATGAGCATCGACTATATTATAATATTATAGTAACATTTTGCCTTACCTAGCAAAGATAGTTGCGCCTTCTTGTCGATGAAGACCTTAACCCCATCCTGCAGCACCTCCTCGTCCAGTTTATCTGCAGTAGCACAGTACGATTATTTAATGCACACACGTAATATATATAATAAATGTAGAATTTTCATACCTTTGGTGCTAGCATAATTTAGTGTATAGGAGAGTCCATTGCAGCCCCGCTGGCGAACACCAACTTTGAGACCGATCTGTGGAACAACTCCAATAATTAACATGCATATATACAAAATACATATACATATATATCCAGAATAAACTTACTACATCTGGCTTGTCGTGCAGCAGCGATTTGATTCTTTGTACCGCAGCTGGAGTCTGCAAAAAACCAAAACAACAAGAAGACATCAAGCAATAAATGTAAACAACAATATTTTGATCAGGCAAGGACCGTTTTTGGCTTTTGACTGTTACTTCATCAGCCGTGTATTTCATCACACACACTTACCAGGGTTAGTGCGGCCCGCGTTGCTATTAATTTACGTCCTGTAACCGCGCGCACCGTTGCCGTTGCCACAACACGTGTTGCCATTTTTTGTTCTGGATTTATATAATTTGTTTTTGCCAACAATTTCAACAATTTCAATGCTTTTCGAAAAGTGTTAATAAACCGTCTGAATATGCCTGTGTTGCAAAACAATGACACCTATCGATAGCTATCGTTTAAAATATCGATTCGATCTTATCATTTCGTCACGCATTTTATAAAATCATCATTCGCATCATATATATACAAAATAAACCAAATGATAAAAGGTACATGCATTCTTTATAAATTTAAATTCAATATTTAATAAGCCAATATACTTTAATTTAACAGTCACCGTTGGTAATATTCATGTAAGTCTGTCTGTCAATGAATGATATTATATATGAATGAATAATACTCGATATATTTTAGTGATTATTTGTCCGTTTCGTAGGCACGATGAGCACCTTAAAATTAATGTACAAACGCATTTTAGCGCCAGCCACACGAGCCATCTACAATGCTAACAAACACACCCAGCGTCCATTCCATTTGGTGGCCATATCAACAAATCCACACAACAACAAGACACACAACACGTGCCTGCAGCGCAGCAACTTCAGCGACAAGCTGCAAGCAGAAGCGGTAAGTAACAAAACAATAAGTGGATCTCAATCAGTAATATACCCAATCCTCTTTTCTTTCCTTTCAGCAAGATGAGGCCAGTCGTGTGGTCAGCAAGAGCATACCACTGGCGGAGCTACAAACGAAAATGCAATTGATCTACACATGCAAAGTGTGCCAGACGCGGAATATGGAGACCATATCAAAGATTGCCTACAACAAGGGCGTTATTATCGTCACCTGCAAGGGCTGTGAGAATCATCATCTGATTGCCGACAATCTCAACTGGTTCACCGATCTCAACGGCAAGCGCAACATCGAACAAATACTCGCCGAAAGAGGTGAACAAGTTGTGAAAATTGTTAGCGATAAGCATGAATATCTGCCAAAGGATTAAAACAAAATATAACAAGTATAAATTGATTAGAAAGAAAGCAATTAAATCAAATTTTTACACTGTAATCCGATAGGTGGAACGATGTAATTTTAGGGCGCCATCTAGTGTCACAGCAAAAATTGCATTTATACTTTTCAATATTGATTTTGTTATTGCCACTTACTGCATAGTGTTATATATTTAATTCGTTTTGTATTAGCTATAAGCATAGGCGACTTTCTTATGTGTAATAGGACTTTGCATTTTGTAAGCGAACGTTTGCTTACGGTTGCACTTGGGCGCCATCTGGCGTTTATTTGACTATGCATTTACTTTATAAAAACAATCTGAATTTGCGTTATGTAATTCTTTTTACTTTTATTAGCTATAAACATAGGCCACCTTATTGAGCAGTTGCATCAGTCGATTCAGGTGCGGCGCAGGAAGCGTTTGGAGCTGCTGATAAAATCTGCTTCTGCACGGTGATTTGGGCGCGAGCAGCAAATGTGTCAAGTATAAAATCTCGTCCAGCGGTAGGGATACAAGTGGCGCCTCTGGCGCACATTGTATGTCATCCACCTGCAAATGAGGCAATTGTTGCAGCCAATAGGCATGGAAATAGCTTCCCAAGGCGCTAGCGAAGCGTACGTGGCGCAACCAGCAAAATAAACGCGACAAATTTGATCCGCTGTTGGCAAAAACAACAAACTGATAAATGTTTTGCACAAAACTGGAGCAGGCAGTGTCCTCCATCTCCACTTGCACCTCGATGAGCATATCACAGATCATGTGGCGCAACAGATAACAGCGTGTGTAGAGAATGCTCTCCTTGCTCTCCCGGAATAAATGCAGCCACAAATCCGAGGAGATCAGTGTCATTGCACGCTTCAACGCTATTTTGATGTGCTCCACGGTGGCTAGGCGAAAGATGCGTCGCACCAGTTGATGCATTTGTAACACATCGATATTCAGCTCCATAGCAGCGACATTCAACCGGCTATATTCCTCTTCCTTGTCCCTGCTCAACTCGGACCAATCCAAATCCTTGATGATATCCCAGGCTGGTTGGAGTTGGGCATACGCTTTGTGCATTTTATAGAGGAGCGGGGCGAGCGTGTGGCCATTGAGTGTACCATTAATAATATTGGCGCACATCGCCCGGATGCACTGCCTCCGATCCATGTCGTAGTAGCGTCTAATAACCGCATGTGCTTGAGTGGATTGGAGGAGCACTGCTTTCACTAGCTGATCGCCCAGCTGCGCATAGCATTCGTGCAGATACAGTGTCGCCTTGAACATGCACTCCACATCCAGATAATTGAGTACCAGCTGATCCCGCTCCTCCTTCTGGCCCATCATCTGATCCTGGCAATCCAAGAGCCAGGCGATCAATTTGGCGGAATGCATTGCCGCTTGTTCCAGTGTCAGATTACCGTCCACACTTAGCTCATTTCGTATGTACGCATCCATGGATTACATTAATTTGTCAATAAATTCTATTTACATTTTTATTGTTAGTAGATTAATAATTCATTTTGAATGGAGATCTCTGGCAATTGGCATCTCTGTTAGTTCGATAAGTCTATGCTGTTAATTAACTCTTTGTCATCGATATGCCTGTTAATTCTCGATTCATTTACGAAGTACTGCACTCTGGTTAGAGATCATTGGTAATTTTCAGTTCTGTTAATTCGATAAGTCTACGCTGTTAGTAGATATTTGTCATTGATATGTGTCTCCTTAGCTCTCGATTAATTTGCGAAGCGCTGCCAGATAGTTGCACGACATATTGTTAAGCCGCCAATCTGGCATCTTAGGCTATATAGAATTCGAAAAAAGTTCCCTATCCGCCGCCGACATTGATGGTGCAACTAGTATGTATGCTCTTTAAATTTTATTTATATATATATATATATATATATATATATATATGAGTTTACTCATCTCTCTTCAGCTCTCACATTCTTTAAAGTTACATTTACTCATTAAAAAGATAAACATAAAATGCATAACATAGACTTATAGTTACATCAAATACCTTTCGCTTTTCATTCATTTACTTCATTTTTGTTTCATCTCCATTTTCGCAGAATCTTTTTTACTTTTATTTTTAATTTTATACATAAACAAATTTCAAAGCGTAATGTGCACGTTATGCATTTTGCTTTGCTTCATATGTGAATGAATTTATGCTTGACTTAAGAAAATAAAAATATTTTAATATTTAATATTTAATTTATTTATTTTTTTTTTGTGTAGTATTAATATAATTTTTCTTTCAAAAATATGGTTGCCAACAAAAAATGATAGAATTCAGAAAACAGCATTTGAGTACGTTGTTATTGACTGATGATATAGTACCCTCCATTATTCTTATTTTTGTTTATTTATGTTTCTTTCTTATCCGTGTTTTTTCATTTTCTGATTTTTTTCACTGTTTTTTTCCGATTTGCATTCCCCTCGTTTTGTTTTTGAAAATTTATGAAAATATACATATATATTCTATATATTATATGCGCGCGAAAAATTAATAATTAATTCAACATTTTTTTTTTTTATATATATACTATTTAACTATATGTACTGTGTTATGTTGTTTGTCGCTGTTGTTGCTATCGCACATTTCCTGTGGCTGTTCTGTATTCATTCTCTTCATTGCAGTTATGAGTTTGCTGTGTGTTGTGTGAGTGTGTAGTGTGTGTATGTGTTGGTTGTTGGAATTTTGGGGTTTTTTTTTTGTGGGACGGCACAGCTTTTAGGCAAAGCCAAAACCCTCGGAGCACTCATGTATGGCCTTTAGCAAACAGCTACGCAATTTATCATACGACTTATACATAGGCAGATCCAACTGATTGAAACTGAAGAAGGAGGAAATTCATCACTATTACATTACGATTATTAATTATTAATTCAGTGTGTGTCATTACCAGGTATGTGCGCATGGCAAGCGATCTGTGGAGCGATCGTCGCGATGTATTTGGAACTTTTGTATGCCATTCATGCCCTCCAGGGAGCCGAAGCCCTGCAACGGTACCTTCGAGGTGCCAGTGACAAACTGTAGGAATTTCGCACGATCCGCCTGATCGAAGCTGCGCAATGCGCGCCAAAACCATTGAATCTGCACAGCAAGACATTATAAATAATAATATTTATATATATATATATAGTTAAGATATTGATAGACGATATTAAAAGGGGGAAGGGGGAAACGACGACGACGACGCACCTGTGCCGATTTTGATGTGTACTTATGGTACTCTGTGTTTGCTTTTAGATCTTCAATATCAATATCCGGCAAGCCGGATATCAGAAGCTCCAGTTCCTGTTCGTTAAATATCGATATTAAATGCTTTGGAATTATATCATAGAAGCCTTCAAGGAATGCGTCCAATCTGCACAAAAGTAAAAAAAAAAATAAATAGAAAAATTGAAAATCAAACCATTTAATAATAATAAAGTTCACAACAACTTACTGCTGACGTATCGAGCCGCTCATCTTTAGCTGGCAGACGAGCTGAACATATTCAAATTTATTCTCCTCGGTGACGGCCACATCGCGTCCATTTGGCTTGAGATCACGGATTTGTGTGACGCCAAACTCTTGGACCTCCGTCGAGAAGGTCAACTCATAGCCGAGCGTCGATATATCGTTCTTCATCAGATAGTCGAGGCCTTTGTAGAATTCATAATCCTGTGATTCCATATCCGTATGCTTCACCTGTTTGCCCAGTATGTGTTTGTAGAATGAGCGTGTGAAGTAACATTCCAACAGCTTATTATCATGCACGGCCTTGGCTGTTTCATATAGATAGAGATAGCGACATGAATTAGACAGAGTCAGAGGCAGAGACCAGAGAGTTAGCATCTCCATTTTTGGGCCATTTGACTTACCAATTACGCGACCAACGAACTTAAAATAGCTCAAATGATTAGGATTCGCATGACTCGACGGATTGATCATGTAGGTGACGCGATCGCCCGGCGATACACAGAACAAGGCATACATCGGATTAAAGATTTCGCGAGAGATTATCACATACCATTCGCGCAACAGGCCGCCAGCATCCTGGCCTTCCTCATCTAAGCAAAACATAAAGTGTGGAGAGATTAGGTGTGATCAGAAGTTATGGTTATAATGTCGCTTCGCTTACCCTCAAATACAATGTAGAAGCGATTCTTCCATTCCTCTGGACCGAGACGGTAGAGGACACGGAATGAGTCCTCAAAGACGGTGATACGACGCACACTGACCGTATGCTCCTCACGGCGTATGCCCTCATCGAGTCGCTCCAGTTCGGTCTGGAAGTATTTGCGCTTCACATCAAAGTCTAGGATGCGTGTGTGATCCACCAGCACTGCGAATGGTCCATCCGACAGATGCGATGCCGATTGACGCAAGATCTGATTGAGCACGGTGCGATGCTTCTCGGCGAATTGTAGAAACTTTTGACGATCCTGTTTAAGTTGAGCCTCGTGAGCCGTTAGCGGCGCCACCGGTTGACCACCAGCACCAGAGCCCACCGTTGTCGACCCATCCTGCATGCGGGTGTCATCTGTAAAGTAAACAAATTCAAAATATAATGTAAATCATTAGTCATATTATTAGTAGTTTAATTCGATTGAAGAGGAGAAGGAGACGTACCCTCATAGCTGGCTGAATTGGTGGGCTGGCTACTGTTACTGCTGTTGTTATCATCCAGCAGCAGCTGTGGACTCTGATGTTCGGCTGCCACCGGATGTGGCGCAACACGCAATCCAGAGTGGCCAGCACCAGAGTTGGCTGCTGTTCCACGTCCCGGCTTCTTGGGCGTCACACGATGCGAAGCGTGTATGAGGAAGAAGGCCTCAACGGTTGGCTGCAGCACCAACACAGCGAACTCATCCTTGGACTCCTCGAGCGCAACGAGACACTCGCTCAGCGTGTGCCACAGCACGTCCAAGCATAAAATTTGACTAAGCGTTGGTTTCGCAGCAGATTTGGTGGCACAGCTGCTGCTGTTGCTGCAACTGCTGCTACTCTCGGAGGCATCGCTCGTCTCCATGCTGCTGAAACCACCACGAGCATTTGAAGCCGCAGCAAAAGCAAGTTCTGCTGCTGCATATACTGATGCTGCTTCCCCGACGAGCGGTGGTGAGGCCGCGCCATCGATATCAATGATATCCTCATTGCTGTCATCATTATTCTGACCATTCTGCACCTCGTAAATGTTGCGCACCTGCATGAAGATCTTGAGCGTGCGCAGGAAATATGGCTGAGCGGATGAATTCGACATTAGTTTCTTCATCGACGGCAATTGCAGTTCACAGGTGGGCTTGGCATTCTTTGGCGCCGATATTATAACCGATTCGGATGTGAAGCGATCCTGCATGGTGCCCTCATGGACGGTTAAATTGGTTAGCAATGTGGCGCCGGTACTAGAACTTGAAGTGGCGGAGCTGCATCCGCTGCCACTCGGTTTATTGCTATCCATCGGTTGCTGCTGTTGTTGCGGCTGTGGTTGTTGCTGTGTCGATGTTGGCTGTGCAGTGTTTGTATTATAGGCGCGTATCTCGTTGAGCAGTGTCTGAATGACCTGACGCACTTCCTCCGCCAGGCCGAGTATCGCGGCGGTCAAGTACTGTATGAATATCGCATTCGATGCCTGCGAACACTGTGTGAGATTGACGATCAGTTTGGTCACATTGTCCAGACCCTCGGTGGTGCCGCATTGATGGGTCAACACCTCAATGACCAGTTGCAATTGTGAGAAGTTCTTCGAATAGATTTTGCGACGTGGCTTTAACGGATGCGATGGTTGGTGATAGTCACCACCACCGGTGCTGCCACCGTTGCCGTTGCCGGGCACTGCTGCTGGCAGTGCTGGAATATCTGCTGTAACTATTTGGTCTCTTGGTATGAGTGGTAGCTCATTTTCATCATCAACCTCCTCGTCTTCATCATCATCCTCCTCATCGTCATCATCCTCGTCGTCGTCGTCATCATCATCGTCCAACTCATCCTCATCCAACTCCTCATCATCGTCGTCATCGTTATCAACGATTAGTTGCGCTCCACTCGCCATCCGATTGGGCAACGGCGGCGGCGGCGGCATTCGATGTACCAGCACATTTGCTGGAGGCGACGCCACTGTTGTTGCAGCAACTGCATCGCCTGCTGAAGCAGCGGCAGTAGCAGCAGCGTAGGCAGCAGCAGCAGAGGAGGCAGCAGCGACAGCAGCAGTAAGGTACGATTCTGCATTGCGACGCGCCGTCAACAATTGACTAATGGGTACAAGTGGCGGTAACTGTTCCTGCTGCTGCGGCTGCGTCTGCTGTTGTGGTTGTTGTTGCTGTTCTTGTTGCTCGCGCTCCTGTTGCGTTTGTTGTGGCACCAATATTGGCATCTGTATAGGTGTTGGTAACTGTCGTTGTGACATGCCACCATTCGATCGCTGTTGCTCCTGCTGTTGTTGCTGCTGTTGTTGCTGCTGTTGTTGTTGCTGCTGTTGTTGTTGCTGTTGTTGTTGCTGTTGTTGTTGCTGTTGTTGTTGCTGTTGTTGTTGCTGTTGTTGTTGCTGTTGTTGTTGCTGTTGTTGTTGCTGTTGTTGTTGCTGTTGTTGTTGTTGTTGCTGTGGCAATTGCTCCTCCTCCCTGGGCAGTTCGACGCTGAGGAAGGCGAGCAGCTTGACCAGCATATCCGTTAGATGCGGCGACCGACAAATTACTTTGTACGGCAACATCTCCAAGAGCTGTCCAAACGCTGAATCGGTGAACGATACAAATTCCGCATTGCTAATCTCCCACTTCCAGGACGGCTGTGAGGTAAGCGGAAACTCCGATACATTGGCCAAACGTTGCGGCGTCTGTCGATCGATGTTCAAGACGACATCCCAAAAGTCTTGTGCATTGGTTTGATACGCAACGCTTGATTTGCTGCCGCTCGCTGTGGTGGAAGTGGAGGAGGAGGACGAGGTGGCAGCTGCTTTGGCTGCAGCCGCTTTCGATGTGGACGGTGCCTCATCCAACGGCTGGGATTTGGGCAATTGTTGATGTTGCTGCTGCTGTTGTTGTTGTTGCTGCTCGTCGAGAATGCCGCGCAATCGATTTGCGATTTGATGGTAGCGTGAACGCAATTCACCACCTGTGCCAGTGGAGTAACGCACTCCACCCGTGGAGGTCGCAAAGACCGCCGCATTGCTATTGGCATTGACTGGCACACCGAATAGCAATCGGTTGCGTCCCTTCGGCTCCCGATTGTAGGGCAAGAAACTGAACGGATAGTGTTTGGCGAGCACAAACAACAAATCGAGACAATTGCGCACAATCATTTGAGCTGCCTGCGGATTGATGCTGATGCTGCGTGAGGTCCCCTCGAACAGGCGATTGATGAGGAATATGTTGCTCTTATAGCCAAAGGCGGCATCCACACGCAGTTTCAACCATTCGGGTTTGCTGCCCGTGTTCGCCGCCCCAAAATTGGGGTTCTCCTCGTTTGTCTTCTGTATAATGCTGATCAGTGCCTTGATGATCCAATCGCGTGTCGGTTCGTGATGGCACAGATTGCGTATGACCCGATGCAAACGAACGCTGTTCACCTTTTGATCCTCAACGAAGAGGAAGAGCAACAGGGTTGCCAACGAATCCGGATCAAGCAATATATTCTCATCCTCCATCATGAGCAAGGCCAATGGTTTACCCGTACTGGGCCCAATATGATGATGCACAATTGTCGTATGCTGATGATGCTGCGGCTGTGCATTCCCACTGGCATCATACCAAATGGCGCTGTGCCAGCGTGCCTCATCCAAATTCTGCAGCGTTGTCTGGAAACGAGCTGCAAACGTGGGAGGGGGTGAGGGTAATCAGGAGGTTAAATCAGTTGAATTTTACGATAGATTGGGTTTAAAACATACATAACGCATTGCTGGGTGGATGGGCGTCCATGCGGGGACCGTTGCGTGATTCCCAATCACGACGCAGAAACTGCGCCTCGGCTGCCAGCTCGGGCGGCAAGCTGGCTATCTGTGAATCCTCCATGTCCGTTAGTATCTGCGTTAGATTTATATAAATAATTCGATTATTTAGATATGTACAAACATACAGCTGCTACTGCGGTCAAAATAAATAACAACTATTAAAAAGAAATAGTTAAAATATTGTTTCAACAATTGTGCAATAAATATAGATGATTCTGTAGACTTGAACTCGTTTATTCTTCATAGAATGCTTGTCAAAACAACCCAAAAAGGAATAGGTAAACTAAACCAAAAAACGGTGTGTAGAGATATATGGAAGATGGTCCCGCGAATGAAGGGATTCAAAAAAAGGGGCGACGGCAGAGAATTTTCATATTATGAAGAAGTAGTACTATTATTTTGACCGCAGCTGTATTAGGTATATTTTTTGGAACTCACCGCTTGACGCAAATTCTCGGGCAGATTTTGAAAGAATGCCGCTGTATCGACGGGATCATCGGGATTTGCGGTCTGCGCCGCCTGTCTCTGCTGTTCGATACGCTGCTGCATTAGCACCTCGGATTGTATGTTGGGTGGCAGGGCGGCCAAAAATTCGGGATTCACCTCGACGAGGGAATCATGGGCAATCTGTATGGCATTCTGTTGGGCACGCTGACGAATGCGTTGCATGCGCAAATGCTCCTGTATCACCTCCTCACGCATCTCGCTGGGCAAAGCGGCTAGGAACGATGGATCAACACCCTCTGGCACCTCCAGATCACCCAAAGCGGCGCGCACCTCGGGACTCATATCGGTGACTACGCTGCTGCTGCCAGCAGCAGCAGCACCACCACCACCACCACCACCACCAGCTGCTGTTGTCGCTGCTGCTGATGCTGTAACTCCTCCGCCAACGGCACCGGCTCCGGCAGTGGCTCCGGCACTGGTCGATGGTGGTGGAGTTGGCGCCTGTTGTGCTGCAAGGCCGGCAGCACCGCTTTCATCTAAGCTAATAGCCTCCACATCAATGATAGCATCCGCTGCACCACCGGCTGCTTCAGCTAAGACGTCGTCATCGCCATCCTCATCGTCATCCACATCGGAGCTAGGCTCCGTTTCGACAGCAACATCCCGGCGCTGTGGCTCCAAATTTAATTGTGGCATCTCTTCCGCCGCCGGCGGCAGGGGCATCGGATGTGCGGCGACGGCGGCAACAACGGCCGCCGCAGCAGCCACAATGGAGACCACCTCGTTGGCGGCTTCCGTACTCAGTGGTTGATGGTCTTCCGGTGCCTCGTCAGTGGGTAACTGTTGCTCGCTGGCCAACAGCTGAGCGGCCAGCTCGGATATGGTCACTGTGGGCATAATCGAGGCATAACCAGCACTGGTCATCACCGGATCGGCCTGATCTGTTTGCTCCACATCCAGTTCCAGTTCGTGTTCCGACTCCTGGTCTGGATCTTCTTCTTCTTCGTCATCTTGCTCATGCTGCTGATGCTGCTGTTGCTGCTCATCAGCATCGATCGGTTCCAGCTGCAATAGGTCCTGCCCCGACTGTAGCTGCTCCAGTGGTTCCGGGAAATTCAATGCGCCCGGCATCACCTCCAGCGATGGCGGTAGCGGGAACGTCAATTCAGCATTTGTCACTCGCACCGATGATGACGATGAGGAGGACGAGGATGACTCACGCCACGGTTCCTCCATGGCTCCCGTCGACATCCGTTGCAGTCGTGGTGGCAGCATATCCCTATTGGGTCGCACATTTAACTGCACTGCTGTTCCGGCTCCGGATCCCATTCCGGTTACTGTCCCTTCGCCGCCACCACTTACCGCTGCTGTGCGATTGGCATTGGCATTGGCATTGGCATTGTTGTTGTTGCGGCGCACGGAACTCGAACGCTGCTCGTTCAACTGCAATTGCAAATTGTAAATATTATATTTGATTAACACTTCTGCTGTTGCTGTTGGAGCAGAATAAGGAGGAGTCAAATCAGTTAGGCTCACCTGCAGCTCGTAGAAATCAGCGACATCGGCGCGTGTGCGTGGACGCGAAGGACGACCACTCGCTGGTAGATGCGGCACGGGTGGATGATGTCGTGGTGGATGCGATGCTAGTACACCTGTTGTTGTTGTTGTCGCCGGACCCGTCTGCACATGCAGCTGAACACTGGGAAACAGTTGCTGTTGCTGCTGTGGCGCCTGCTGAAGCGGTGGCGGCAGAGATAGTCCTCCTCCTAATACTACCACATCCGATGATTCCGGTGAATCCTGCTCGTTGGTTAAATCGATTTCGGCATAGATGTTATAGAGTGCCTGATTGCGATTACGATTCGGACGTCGAGGAACTATTGATTGTAAATAAGAACAAGAGTGTTAAAATATGTTTCCCTAGAATACTACCACAAAACTCCGCTAGATCCCTTTGACCCGGAACGCGGAAGGCTAACCCTAGCCTATTTTGTGATCCCCCATGGCTATTGCTTGGGTACAAAATCAATACTGTGTTCGAACAACTTACCAGCTGCTGTTGTTGTTGTTGCTGCCGATAGAGCACTGTTGCTGCTGCTAATGTTGTTGTTACTGCTGGTGGTGTTGCCGCTGCTGCTGCTACTGCCAGTTGGCGGCAGAATTGCATTGTTTGATGTGGCAAATGCTGGTATTGGTGGTGGTGGCGCAACATTTGCCAGAGATGAGGCATTCACGAATTGCATTGAGGGTATCAGTCTGGGTATGGAGCTGCGGAAATAATTGCTGGTTGCTGATGCTGGTGGTTGTGCCGTTGTTGTTGCTGTGCCACTAGTTGCAACGTCTGCTGTTGCCGTTGTCAATGTTGCAGGTGCAGGTGCAGCAGCAGCAACTGTTGCGCTTGATGAGCTGTTGCTGCTACTGCTGCTTGTTGTTGTGGTTGTCGTCGTTGCGGAATTCGATAGCCAGCTGCTAACGTTGATGCCAGAAATGGGATTTGCAGCTGCATTGACATTGACACTATCAGTGGCTGCTCCCGTTGCTGGTCCCACTTCAGTAGTTGTTGCAGTTGTAGCTGCAGCTGCAGCTGAAGCTGTAACAGTATCACCAGCAGCACCACTACTAATATTGGTAGCGGCTGTTGCGGCAGCTGTTGCTGTTGCCGCCGTTGACTGACGATTGGCGTCTTCCTGTTTGCGCTGCTGATGGGCCACCTTCAGTTCCTTAATCAAATGCGGCAGGAGGAAATGTGCCGCATAGAGACAGGCATCCGTTTGGGTTTCCATGTCCAGAGCTTTAGCCTCCTCCAGCCACCAGTGGAGTGCTACACAAGTTACAGATAGAGAGAGAGAAAGAGAGAAAAAAGGGATATTTACAACATAAATCACAAATGCGGATTATAATCGCAATTCACTCACCGTCCTGGGTGAACATCTCCATTTGTGTCTCCTCGGTTGGATTCTGATGCGATGGCATGCACACACAGAACTGCTGATCCAGATAGAGTAGACGACGTCGCACTCCATTGTTGCAGAGGGTTCCTCCATTATTGTTGTTATTGTTGTTGGGATGATTGGCCATGTTGGAGGAGCCACCAGTTGCACCGTTACCACCACCGGCACCATTACCAGCGCCAGTATTTGTTCCAGCTGTCACCGTCGGTGGCTGATCATCCAACAGATTGCTCATATTTGGATTATTGCCAGCACCACCACCAACTCCGCCGCCAGCCGTGCTGCGATCCATTTGGAACATGGCTGGTGACAAAAAGGCATACGGATCGGATGCGTTTGCAACGCCTCCTCCTCCTCCTCCTCCCCCACCAGCTCCTGGTCCTCCAACGCCGCCAGTCGCGTTGCTGTTGCCAATGAAAATAAAGTCCGGTGCCATCCAGGCTTCGGAAGAGGAACGCAATGCGGGGGCCACCGAAGTGCTGCGACCTCCACCAGCGGCTGCGGCTGCTGCTGCCGACGAGGATGAAGCGCCGCCACCATTCACATCAATATCAAGGGGCAGCGCAATCGAGCTATTCATGCGCAAACGAAAACTGGACGGCGCCTGCGATAGCAAATGTCGGTGTCCATGGCCGTGGCCATGGCCATGACCATGACCGTGACCATGCCCATGTCCGTGACCATGTGAACCATCGCCAAGGCGTTCGTATAAATAGGCATTGGCTTCACGTTGCGATTCCTCGTTGCGACGACGATTCTCGCTGATAATGTTTGGTTCGATGGCGGCACTGCGACGTGGACGATTATTGGAATTGGCAGCTGCGGATGAAGGTACACCAGTGGAGGAGCCACCACCAGCATTGGAGCCATTTGCCTGGGCCATCACCTGTTCCATGAGATCAACATCATCGTTGGCATTTTGTGCGCGTGCAACGTCATCGTCGACATCATCATCGTCATCATCATCATCATCATCGTCGTCGTCATCGTCCTCATCGTCATCGTCATCGTCCTCGGCATCAACATCGGCATCATTGGATGCCGTTTCCGATGATTCCGGTTCATAGATATGATCAAAGACTTCAATAAATTGTCGTGGACGCTCCTCATCGACATCGGTTTCGCTATGTTCATCGACATCCTCATCGACATCCTCATCGACATCCGCTGGCACCTCATCATCGTCATCATCATCGTCAGCCTCCACCTCTTCTTCAACGTTGCGCTCATCATTCTCGGTTGATCCATCCGAATCGGAATCCGATGTAGTCACCACATCGCCCAGCAGCGATGCATTTATGTCGCGTGCATTACGCGACGATGGGGCACGTCCAGCCGAACCAGGAACCGAACCACCAACGGCAGCCGTCTCGGCTGAGGCAGCATCACTGTTATCATTGACAGCAGTGGCTAATCCTTCGCCGGCGCCACCCTCAACATTCAGGTCTAGATTGCTGCGCAAGCGTGGATCACCACTGTTATTGCCGAGCAGTGCCGAATTGCTGGCGGAACTGCCGCCACCAGCATCATTACTGCCATTCTGTGGCGTCGAGTCACCGCCACCAATGGCACCAATAGCACCACCACCACCAGCACCACCAACGTTATTACCATTGCCGCTGCTGCTGTTGCTGCGCGAGGCGAGAAAAAGTCCTTCGCATTGCAGAAAATCATCCCAGAGCTGATCGAAATTGAGAACCGGACGCACTGTTGACGATGTGGAGCCGGTGTTGGTGTTCGTGGCATTGCTGCTGGCAGCACCTACAGCATTACCAACACCACCACCACCACCACCACCAGGGATGGCAACAGCATTGTTGCCGGCCTGTGACGCCAACTCTGCAGCAGACGATTCGGGGCCATCATTGCTATGCTGTTCATCATTATCGGCGGCGACATCGATGACAGCAGCTGTCGCATTGTTGCTGGTGGCCGTGGAGGCATTGTTGCTGGCACTGCTGCTGCTGCTGCTGCTGGGTGTGCCAGCTGTGCCGGCTGTTGTGCCACCACCAACACCACTGGCTGTACCACTCGCTGGCACTGAATCCTCCGAATCGATGGCCATCTCATCCGAATTGAAGATAAACTCAAAGGCATGACGACGATCCGAGAGCACATTCCGTATAATATCCCGAAGAACACGCTCTCCATTACCACCCATCGGATTTGGGCCATCCGGAGCGTTGACGAGCGCATTGATAGCGGCCAGGCGTGGATACAGGCGACGATTGAGGATAGTGCTAACTGTATTCAATGAACTGGAATTGTTATTCCCATTATTGGCACCACCATTGGCCGACGAGCTGGCGCCACCGAAGAGTATACGCTTGGAGCCGAGCGTTGCGGGCGGCACATTGAAGCGCAACAGTATCTCCATGGGTCGAAGAATGGCGCCCAGAGTGCTGAGTGTGTTGTGATTCGACAGATCCTTGTATTGGGCCACTTTGGTCAGATAGGTCATGACACCCTGTCGCAGCAGGACCCGGTACATGGTATTGCGATGCATGTGAACCTTGTCATACAGCATGGGCGATTCAATGAGATTGGGAAATAGGCTCATCAGCACCTGGAGACGCGTATGCTTCTCCGCCGAATCCGGATGGGCGAGAGCACGTGCAACGGCCGCATGCAACTCGTCGGCAACCTGCTGTTGCACACCAGCCAACTGATAGCAATCGGACAGCGAACAGATCAGCACACGTGCCATGGTGCTCACCTCGGGCACATGCTGACGCTGTGTGATCGGCAGAAAGCGATCCATGAGCACGGCAAGGAATGTCTGCTGTCCGTCGTTGTTGTTGTCGCCGTTCTGATCGCAAATCAATGGACTATCCGCCGGCGTATAGACATGGGCGAGCAGTACACGCGGCACCAACGATTGATAGGCGCGCGTCGCATCCGCTAGCAATTTGAGCAGCGTTGCACGCGACAACGTCGGCTTCAGATGATTGTGGGCACTGGTCGGTATGTGCCAGGTGCAACAGCAAGGATCATATTTATCGCCAGTGCCACTGGCTGTCTGGGATGTCGTTGCTGAGTTGCCAGCGGTAGCTGTTGTCTTTTTCACGGATGATGGCGTCGAGTCCTGCAAATGCAATAAAAAAAAAACAAGTGAGAAAGTTGGTGGCAACATAGATTGTCAGGTGGAGAAGATTTGGAATATTTTTTTTTTAAAAGTCTAAATTGGTTTGCAAAAGGAATTATTTCAATATATAAATTATAATAAAAGCTCAACTGGGCAATTAAATGTGGGCTGTAGTAGATAGATGATGACTTGTGCGTAAGCACTAAGACCAAGATCAAGAACGAAATTGGGAATGTTATATCTGTAAGAGCTATAGGCATTTCCTATTTTTTCTTTGACGATTGCCAACACGCTACTCTCAAATGTTGGTGACTATTGACTTTCAAATTGTGTGAATTATGTGGCTTTATCGATTTGCGTTTATCGATTTTATCGACTTCCTATGCTCCTTTGACGCTTACAAGGCTTAAGAAAGTTTACATGTTTGATTCATTGTTGTTGCTGTTGTCGTTGGACTTACCTCATCGTCCAGATTATTCATGGAGCCCGCTGCGCCTGGCGGCTGATCGGGCAGCACGAGCTCGGCGGCATTCAGTTGCTGTTGATCGGCACCGTTGGGGCCATAATGGATGCAGGGCTGCACGAGTGCATGGAGGAGCTGCTTGAGCACCGATACCGCTGATTCCACCTGCTCATCATCTATGGCCAGATCGATCGTTTCCGGTGTTTCCTTTGCTGCTGTGCTCGCAGCACCAGTTCCATTTCCAGTTCCTGTTGTTGTCGTCGTCGACGTCGTTGCAGCTGCTGCCGCTGCCGCCGTTGGCTGTTGTCCAAACTTTGATTTGACCATGACACGTCCATCATCGATAAGATTATTGCTGCTGATGCCACTAATCATATGCTCGGCCCGAAGCATCTCCTTGGCGGCTGCAACAAAAATCTTGGGATCCCGTGACACTGCCGTCGACACCTGGGTGAGCACATAGATGAGATCCCGATGACCGATTGGCACGATGCCAGCGGCCCGCATTCCCAGCACACGTTCCATGGCCTCTTGGAGCACTGGTGGCGCCTCCAAGACATGACGCAATATGATAATGGCATAGGTGGGGAAGCCCATAAAGCCGCACGATTGCTGCAAATCGAGCAACATTTGAACGCCGCCGCAACGTGCAAAGACCTGGGCATTATAATAGTTGCGGGTGAGACGTGCACACAAACGCAACAGCGACAACTTTGTCTCGTGATGCAGGAGCAATTGTGTTGGCTGCAGCAGCGCCACAATATTTATAATAATGCGCACGCAATCAAATTTACCCAGTCCAACATTCTCCTCGTTGAGCACAATTTTTTGGGCACGTTTCGGTATGTTTGTGTAGCTGTTGTTGTTGCTGCTATTGTTATTGCTGCTGCTACTGCTGCTGCTGTTGTTGTTGCTGCTGTTGGCTGCTGCTGCTGCTTTGGCCTTGGCTGCCGCAGCGGCGCTCTTTTGACGCGACTTGGAGCGTGTCGTCGGCGGTGAGAGATTGCCATGATCTGTGGCGGTTGCAGCAGCACCAGACAATGATGATGATGTTGATTGCTGCCGCTGTTGCAGCTCCTGTTGTTGTTGCTGCTGCTGCTGCTTGTGCTGCTTTGATGACGACGTTGTCGCCGTCGTCGTCGTCGGTTCATTAAAGTTAATCAATTGTCTCAACGGAATCAGCTCCTCAGTTTGAATAGTGCCGCTGCCGTCGGGCGAGGTGCGCATTATGCGATTCACAACGCTATCCATTATATGGGATGATGGTACCAAGTTTTGCAACTGGATAATCGCTTCGCATATCTTGAGGGCCGGATAGACAGGACGATGACTGCCGGATGCTTCGCTCACCTGGGTCATGCAATTGAAATTGACCGTACAACGTTGCCGTCCAATATTGATGTGAAGCCAACGTTCGCCAGCAGCGTAAGCGCTACGGATTAGCTCATTATTGGCTTCGGAATAGGGATTCCATTTGCCAGTGGATGAATCATACCAACGCCATAAGTCACTGCTAACGGCGCGCATGTTCGCTTTGCGCTGGAGGATGTGGCTCATGCTATCGATGGCATCAATCAAATCGACTAGATTCTGCACCCAACGTGGCACAGTGGCACGTGTCTGCTGAGCATCATCGTCGTCGTTGCTGATGATTTGTGACTGCTCCAACATCCATTGACTCATGCAATTGAGCAGCTTGACCAGCAATACCATCGCATCCTGTGCGGTGATCGCTTCGACGAGGGGTCGATGCAAATCACTGTAGTTCTCCTCGAGCAGCAGCGTTGATGTCTTCAACCGCACAAATAGCCGGGTGGCTGTCATGCCAGTTAGACATTCCTCGAGCCGGCTGGATTTGGATGCACCCGATGCGCCCCCAGCTGGTGGATCAAAGAGCTGTAGCGTAAAGTCCACCCATTGTATGATGTTGCGCACAAAATTGGTGACAAACATCTGACGATTCAATAGATTATGCCGCCTATAGAGCACAGCGATGAGATCCGCGGCACAAGTGACCGTATCCGGTATGGCCTCCATAAATTCAAAGGCACGCGACACGGCCTCATCGCAGAAACGATCGAATATCACCGTTGGCATCAACTTCAATTGCCTATAATCATAGCCAGCTGTTGCAGCTGGAGCAGCACCGGGAGCAGCAGCCGTGCCTGCGGCTGGCGGGCATTTAGCGCTGAAATTGAAATCGATGGCAGCACTTGGATTGGGAGTTGATGCATCGCTAACCGATTGCTGCTGCGGCTCCATATCGATATCCATGTCGCCAGCAACAGCAGCATTACTCGTTCCACTACTGCCCTGTGAACCGGATGCGGAGCCTCCTCCCCCTCCACCGCCGGCAACATTTGATGACGATTGTGATTGTGCCTGTCCCGACGAATTGGATAATGCGCTCGCCTCTGGATTGTTAAGCAGATAGTCGGTGGCCTCCTCGAGTGAGGTATTGATGCGCAACGCCTCGATGATGTGATAGTGACGAAAGCCCATGTCTGTCAGGGTCTTGATATGCTCTGCATTGAGGCCATCGTCAGTGCTGCGTATGTACAGGTTCTCAAATTTGATCTCCTTCATACGCGTATGATAGCGATCCAACAGCATCTGATGTGACTTAATCAAATGCTTTAGTATCAATAGGATCGTTTCCAGCATACTCGAACCGTAATTGGGTATCGGACGGCGACACCAGATGCGTCGCAATGCCTGCATGGCCAACTGATGGATATGGATAAGATAGAAGACCGGCTCGAATGGCACACAATCGGGCAGACAATTGAGACGTGGACTCATCGTGTATGGTGAATCGAGCATTGCACGCGGATTCACCATCTTCTCGAGCAATTGCAGCCAGGCATCCAGAAATTCACCTGTACCCTCGGGACAGTCACGCTTGTCATCCTCGTGCGGCTGCATTAGATCATCCAACGGTGCCCATTGATCAAAGTGAAACTTTTGCGAGACATTATCGAGCGACAGGGCCCAATAGAACATCTCAAAGAATGCCTTGAGACCGTTCTCTGCACAAAATTGTGAGATCATTAGATGAAATGCACTGCGTTTATCATCGAACAGCATCGGGCCGGTGAAGCCCACCGAGCAGATGAGAAACGTTAACTTCAATTTGGGCACCGGTTTGGGCAGAATGCTCTCGTGACTGAAACCATTCACCAGTATTGAGCTGAGGATGCGGGCAATTTCGCGTGCCTCGGGCGTAGGAACTTTAATGTTGCTAATCAGATCGTTGATGCGACGTAGTCGTGTCTGCGGCAACCCCACCGATAGCTTCACCAACGTACCCAATAATTCAGCCAATGCACGTCCGAGACGCGAGCTAGCCGCCAGCAGGGATTTGATGTAACGAAACTGTTCCTCTGGCGTATATTTGGTACGAAATTCGGCGGCACGTTCCAATTTACGTGAGAGTTCCGCTTCGGTCAATGGATCAGCGGTGCCAGCAGCTGCCGACATTTGTGCCGCAATCTCATCCCAAATGAGATCGGGATGTTGAGTGGGCTCATCGGAGCATAGATTCAATAGGATGGTGCTCTCCCACACTAGCGATATATACAATTGGACAAGTTGCTGGAGCAGCTGGACGCCCGTCTCTCGATTGGCACCCCAACGTTTGAGCAGCACGGTGCGCATCTCATTGGACGCATTGCGGCAAAGATGGACGAGCATCACCACATAGCCATGCACAAAACTCATATTGTGCAAAATTGGTGTATATTCAGCATTGGCAAATCCATCCTCCAAACGTTGACAGCACACCAATTCGGCGAGCAGCACACTTCCGCCCGGAAATGTAAAATGTTTAATCAATGGCTTCAATTGGGCAACAATATCTGCCAACTTTTTGAGTGCAACATCCAAGACTTTGGTCTCTTGCGCCTGGCTCAGAATCGCTTTGCACACATTCGCCACGGCTTGGGATGTGGTCGAAACGGGTGAATCCACTGGTAAATTGGGTAACGAGAGCAACTGTAAGATTGGCGTTAAGCCATCCCTTTGTACAAATTCACGGCAATGATCACCATTCGGACTATTACTGAAAATAGCCTCGATAAATTTCATAACATTCAAAATGTAATCAATTAACGGTATGGCTTCACGTTCCGGTTGTTGTGGTTGTTGTGATTGCTGTTGAGATTGTTGTTGCTGTGATTGTTGTTGTTGTTGCAGTTGTTGTTGCTGTTGTAATTGTTGTTGCTGCTGCCGATTAGCAGCGACTGGCAACTGTTGCTGATGCTGCTGTTGTTGTTGCTGCTGTTGCTGTTGTTGCTGTTGGGATGCTGAGCTCATTTCATCATCATCGTCATCATCGTCACCGCTGCTATCGTTATTATCGGCAGCACTTTGCAGCACCGGATTACCACCAGCAGCGACCATAACCATTGCCGATTGCGATGGCGTCGTTGATGGCACCACACCACCCGTCGCATTCGCCGCTGCAATGGCCACATTGCTATCCTTGTTGGCGCGCCAGCAAATGAAACTGGGATCGGAGCCGAGACGGACGAGTTCGTTGAGCAGTCGAACGATTGCCTCGGTGGCATCGGCACGCAAATACGGATGATGCTTGATCAGATCATCCATTGCATTGCCCAAATTTGTGGCCGTATCACCCAATGGATCCGAACTGCGACGTCTTCGCATCGCCACCAAATAATCGGGTGAGAGTAACACTTTCAACACCTTATCGAATGGTTCATACGATAGAAACTCGAAGAGACCACGATCATTGAGACACAAAGCGGAGAAAACATTCGGCAATGAGCCGAGCACTTCACGTGTTGCCGGCACATCTTTGTGCAGCAGTGCGCTCAGCATAACACTGGTTATGCCCAAATCCTGTAGTGATGAGAGCAACGATGGCTCATTGAATACGTAAACGGTGACCACATCGGTGGCCAGCAGAAACAATGATGGCCCATAATATTCAGCGTTGGCGATAATGTGACGCAACGATTGCGTTAGGCTCGTCTCCATAATGTTGCGCATGTTGCTAAAATGTGCATGATCCTGAATGCTCTTCTTCAGAAAGTTGAGCATTGATTTCAGCAATGCCGCTCGCTGTGTCACACACGATGGTTTCTTGCGCTGCATCAACGTATTGTTGGGCGACAATAATTGTGCCTTGCGCTCGGCCAGCGGACGTGCATAATAACTATTTTTTGGATATCGTGCAACGCCCGTCGATGTTTCTCGAAAATTTCGGGCTGCCAAGATGATACTACTCAACGAGTTTATGCCAGAGCCACGTGAACCAATATCCAGCCAGCTGGACATTGTGCTTGAGCCAGCAGCAGTGCCACGTAGCTGTTGTTGCTGCTGCTGCTGATGATAATGATCCGCACCACTGTGCTCCATAAAATCGCGAAACGCGAGCTGGGCATGATCGGTGGTAGCACTGGCGCTGCCATCACTGCTCGAATTATCGCGACGCGGCGAAGCACCACTGTCGCTGGCAACCGATGCATTCTCTGTGGCGGCATCTATATAAAATTACCATAGTTTATCATTAACAATTCGAAAAGGGAATCAAACTAAAATCAACCCACCATCATCGTCCACCGGCTCCAGCGAACTGTCCATTTTATCGTTTAGGCTTTGCTCCTCGGGCAGCGTTGATTCTCGCAGTGTGATGCCAATCTCTGCGAGAGCACGACAACAGCTCTTAATCTCCTTCTCCAGACGATCGATAAACACATTCAGGCCATTATTTTGATGAAAGCGTGCAATATCAATGTTTGTGATCAGATCAATGACGCGCACCGCGCGTGTCACAAACGTAATGTGCTCCAGATCCACGCCCGGCCAGCTGATCACACGCAACAGGGACTGCATCATGCCGCTTTTGACCAGCGCAGAGCCGCCCAGCTCATAGCTGGCCAGATGATAGAGCAGCGAGAATAGCGATGTGGCCAATATCAATGGATAACGTTCGGTTAACCCATGCGTCGTCAAATTATCAATGCAATCCCGCACCAGTAGCGGCAATGTGCCACCCTGACGCTCTGCACCCGTATAATGCACAATCTTCACCAAACGGGAGCCAGCTCTGCTGGGAAAAGGTAAAATCAATATCAAAATCTAAGCAATAAGCAAATTTATCATCAAGTTAATTGTGTGATTAAGTTTAATATATAGCACAAGTATGTGCAAAGTTTTTCCAGATTTTTGACTATATATCTCTTTTAGTATTCAGTTGATTTTGGCTATTTTTATGGACAATATACGGCTCAAAATATTTGTAAACTATAATTCTTAGCTGCAAAAGTTGGCACATCTGAAATTCTGTAATCGACTTTTCGACTAACTAGTTTTTTGATTGTTTTGTAATTTTTACATGTACTTTGCAGATGTACATATTATTTATTATTATTTAATGCTTTTAGCAGTGATAAAGCACTCACCTGGGCACACTGGGATTGCGATCAAAGTGCAGCATTGAGGTGAGAGTACGCAGTACAGCGGCACGTATCTCCACGAGATGGACATCTTCCTTGTCGATCAGTTCGCAGAGCTCCTCACCGAACCCAGCATAGAGCACCTTGTCCGTATTATCCTGCAGCGCATTCGAGTATATCAATATGGACACAGCCTGCAGGCGAGCCTGCACAAATTGCAGGCGCAGCTTGTAATTGTTGAAGCCAGAGATGAGGCGCACACGATGTGCAATGCGCATCTGAAAAAGGAGATAAGCATAAATTGTTTACTTTTCGAGTACTTAATTCCAATTGGAACAAATCGATTCCACAGGTGAATGACTCAAACTAAATGAAAGTCCTAATAATTGTTCTTTTTTTTTACGCTAAACCCATTTAAAATGTTTGAAATATGTATGTATACGTAACATGAAGTATATATATTCTTGTTCATGTTCAATTTTAAGTTTGTAAATGATCGTTACGAACCTTGATGGCCTCACTGGGCTTTGAGATCTGTCCAGCGATTGTTTTAATAACCTCTGGTGCTGACGCTGTGTGACAGAGATCCATCATATCAGGTATTTCCAGTTGTGCGGAATGTCCATGCTCGTCCACATAGTCAATGCACAGCTGATAGAGGAACTCCAGCTTGGGATCGCCAATGCAGCAGTCCTTCAGCGATAATCCGTAATTTGGATCACCCCAACGCTGCAACGCAGAGGTCAATAATTGATTTGTTTTCAAATTTGAAACTATTCGCACTCACCTCGGCAACATTGAAAAGCTTGACAATGAGCAGCTCCTTCTTTTCAAAGGGCAAGCGTGGTATGAAATTGCTGCGCTTAGAGAACATATAAAGCAAATTGAGCACGGCCAAAACAATGTCCATGTTCTGTGATGAAAGCAGTTGCGTCAAATGCTCAATTGAATTGTACAAATGGCGCGAGAACGAATGCTCAATGAGCAGTGTTGTAAAATTGAGTACGTGCAGCAGCAGGGTCACATCCTGAATAAAAGAGACAACGAAAGACAGAATGAAAGGATAACAATAAGAAAGATGACATTTTGGCACATTTTTGGTTAGCGAGCGCTTACCGCATCGATAAACGTTGTGTCGCACTGCAGCACAAACTCATTGTTATCGACATGACGGGCGGCCTCCTCGAGTATTTTGTCAAACCGATCCAGTATTTCAATCCAGTGGTATAGCTCACATTTGCCATAGATCCAAACGTGCACCTTGTCGAGGAACTCGAGCAGTTCGGGACGTGTGCGACGTTTGGTTAATTCATCGATTAGTTCGCGACATTCTGAGGTTAGCTCCGAGGAGCCCTTCTTCAGTTTAACGGTGTCCACCTTCATGGCTGACGTCTGCTGCTGCGGCAGCTGGCGACGCCGCCGTCCGTATGTTGTTGGTTCAATCAAGGCTGGTGCGTTCTATTTTTCCTCTCCACTCTCACAAAAATTTGTTATTAGTTCGTTATAATGTGTTCAGGTGGATGCTTCTATTTAATAGCTAATGCATCCGCGAATTTTTGAAATTGTATACGTCAAATAAACTGCAAATGGACATTAATAAATAGAAATAGTAGCAAATTAAAAATAAATTTACGATTATGCTTGTTGTTGGTAACGAGAGATGAATAACAACAAATATGAATGCACTCCTCTTCGCAATAACTAACGAACTGGAACTGGCACGCACTTTAAACAAACAGTGAAACAAAACGCGCTTTGTTTGGGTGACCAAATGAAAATTAATGCGAAAACCTAACTGCGCTTCACTGTTCACTTTTGTCGTTCTTTTGGCTGTCAGCTGTATGCGGCGACGCGACGACGAAAATACGACGAAAGTAGCAGCAGCAGCAATTTCGCCGCGTCTTAACTTCGCTTTGGGCTCCGCGCAATAACAAAAACAAACAACAAAAAAAAAGGCAACCAACTTGCAAACGTTATGGCGAAATCGAAAAAAAAAAAAAAACACAATTTTATAGCGCGCGCGCACTGACTTGAGAGAATTAAATACTGATACTTGTAATTCTGATGAGGTTTAGAAAAAATGAAGAAAAACAAAGGTTACTTGGACTCCCAATTTTGACGCAGCAAAACAAATGTTCTATCGATAAATATCAGCTGTTGATTAGTGGACATATTATTGAAAAGCAATTGAATGAGTGTGTATTTGTGTTTAAGTAAAGTTTATTAAGAAGCCAAGCTATTGGAGGCTTCCTTAAGAATTGCACAACACTAATTTATAAGTACTTTGCCGCGACTGCCTAAACTATTTAATGCATTGGGAATACCCATTCTTTCAAGCACTAACACTCTGCATACAATTGCGGTCAAAATAATAATGGCACTGCTTTATAAAAGGCAAATTATCAATATTTTCATATTCATCATCTTGTTCAATTTCATTTACAATTAAAAATTCTCCGAAAAATCATGTTCAACTACATTCTAAAATATATTTTTTTTGCATTTTCCAGGCACTACCATTATTTTGAACGCAGCTGTATGCATGTCCTATGTGCATATAAAATATGCAAGGATAATGACAATATGACGATGCGTAACTACGTTAACCTCAACTTGTTTATTATGTCTATTACCGATTGCAGCACAGACTTTAGAATAAACAGAATCGGAGTCAGAGTGAGAGTAGTAGTGCTGTCTCTCACTCAGCCAGCTGCAACCACAACAGAAACACGAATTCGCCGAAAAAATAAGAGAAGAAAAAAACAGAGCAGCACCAGCAACAAATATACATATGCGTATGCATTTGTATTTGTGTTAGCGGCTGTGTATGTGTGTATGCGTATTGCACGAAAGCCACTGCTGCATACATACTTCAGCATGTATGCATAAATACATACATATATAAAAATATATATAAATATGTGTATGCAAAAGAGAGTATGGGCAACAAATAATTTGTTGTTGCACTTTCAGCAAGCAGCAACAAATGCCTTTGGTCTGATATATCAATACACACACTTATACATGCACCTATGTTATATGGCGAACACAACAGCATTTTGCAATATACAGAATAGCATATTACCAATTTAATTCCTACATTTTTAATATACTTAATGGTCCTTTGCGTATTTTTTCCCCGACACCCACACAAACACGCACGCACATACACACACACACACCACGAAGTAACACGAAGTGCAAAAAGTACTACAAGTGCAGACGAAATATCAAAATAATCGTGCAGTCACAAAAAACAAAAAAAAAATGAGTATCAAAAAGAAAAAAAGATTGCCACAGGCCACACAATGCAGCATATGCATGTGTGTGCGTGAATGCATTTATATAAAAATTGATAGATTATACTTACATTTACGCTAAAGCGCAGCACTTTGCTGCAATTAGTGCTATCTAATTTTTGATCTACAAATGTTCTTATTTGATTTGACAATTGTAATTTCAGTTTTGTAAATTTTACTCAGCACGCACTTACACTTTAGAAACAACACTGTCGTCTTTTGTAGCTCGTGAACGACTTAGTTCACAGTTGAGTGAATCACTTTTGTGAACGAGGTTCGTTGGCTCAGATAGAGCAAGTTTTCTTTTGCATTGTGTGCTTAAACTTAGTACGCAGATCGAAAAGCAGAGCTTGAAAACGAAAAACTGTAAAATAAATATAACTATATAAAATTGTTCGCAGACAGAAAAACTGAAATCAAGACAATTAACACAGTGTTAACCTGATTGTATGTATAAATAAATGGGATATATTTTGACGGTCCCTGAAGAAAAATTTCTTATTCTCTACTTATATTTTAATAATAAAACGTCTTTATTAACGCATTAATCTCATCATGGCTGAATCACTTTTGTATTGAAGTTATTTATATCGTATGCACAAGCAAAACTCGAACAGCTGTTCATACAATCCACTTTTCAAAACAAAAAAAATCGGTTGTATAAATATTAGGATGACATGCAGGCAGGTTGGTGTGAGCCGGCACCAAAATCTGAGGAATTTAATTTATTGCGAATTTTCAATAATCAAAGTTATCTAAATTGTTTAGGCAATAAACTCAACATATACACAACATAATGAAATAGTTATTTATATTATGCTCACCAAGTTACGTTCTCCAGAGCGAAGTAGGGCATAGTTAAATGATACATGTACAATTTCACCAATTACAGGTACCAAGTATGCGTTATTCACCAAAATGAACTATTGTGCGGCACTGGTTTCTTCTATCACAATAAGGGCTGCACACACTGGCAGGAATGTCATAGTATTTATCGATATATAAAACGATTTGATACAATATTAATTCTGATTGTTGGGAGCGCAAATTTGAGACACTTATATACATATTATATTTCAATTGATAAATACAACGCCTGCTTTTTCCTAACTTGTCCAAAAATAAAGTATTTTTATACATACAACTATGTATGCTTTTCAACATGATATGAATTGAATTTATTTATATATATTTTGTACAGATAAAAGAGCGGCATTCTGTTTTCAACGAACAATTAAACACTTATTTATAATCTTTGGCATATACATATTAGAACGCTTTTTGATTGTAATCATATATGTAGTTAAATTTGATGGTCAAATTACATACGAAAAAATTGTCTAAGATGCTACAACTAAAGGACTTCAAATTCAGATTGCAATTTCTGAAAATTCAACTTAGAAATAAATAAAATAATTAGCTACTTTAGGATTAATACATTAGTTAACTAAAAGTTTGAACAAAGCATAATATTAAGCTTAACGCATTCAATAATTACGACAAATCGAGCTACTTAAATATAAAATTTGTACAATACAAGAATAAATTGATTGACTTTGTGGGCTTAAAAGCTATGCAAATGCGGATTGACGGCCTCGCTACTTTGACCGGTTTCCGCCTCGAAGAGAACCTGCTGGATGCGCAGCTTGGCAACGGAACGGGAATACGGATCGGGTATTGTGCGCAATTGTGAGGCGATGCTCTGGCCAAATATCATAAAATCATCCTCGCCACTAGCGCCGCCACCGCCACTGCTGGTAACAACAGCATTTGGGCCCGCATAGCATGGACCGACACTGGTCGACGTCGCCAAATCCAGTTGCTGTGACGGCGATGGCGATGTGAACGGTGTGGATAGTCTGTGCGGCTGGGATTGCTGGGAATGTTGCATTTGTGGATATGGTATGTATTTTAATTTACGCAGCGACGAGGATGACGACGACCGCTGCTGCTGCTGCTGTTGATGCTCTTCCTGCTCCGATTGCAGCTGCTGCTCCTCCTCCTGCTGGTGCTGTTGCTCCATTATGCCGAGCGTGTTGGCTTCATCAATCATCAACTCCATCTTATTGGCGCTCAAATCCTCCGTTTGACAGCCTGCCTCGGGCGGTGGATTTGTATTCGTGCCAATGCTCATTTTACGTTTGCTGCCCTGAGCAACTAGCTCGGGCAGATAGGAATCATTTGGCTGTAGCTGCTCCTTCTCCTTCGGCTGTTGCTCCTTCTCCTCAATGGTGTTGTGTTGCATGTGTTGCTTTTTGATGATGGCCATGCTGCTGCTGGTGCTGCTCGTGCAGCTGCTGTCCACCGGTGCATGCTTGTTCTTTAACTAACCAAAGACAACAAATAAATATATATAAATGTGGATATATGCATTATTTGCGACTTACGCGCTTGCAATGAGAGAGCGAGACGGGGCGCAGAAATGAATCGGCATGTTTAAACCAAAACAGTTTTGGCTCATAACGTCGTCCCTGCTCCTTTTCGCGCATCAATATGCGCAACTCTTTGGTGTAAACGGTGCGTACACTTTTTATTTTCAATTTGATGTCGAGGACCGTTAATTGCGGTATTTTCAGTGCACTGATTATCGCCTCGTAGGCTTCTTCGCGCGCCACACGATTCTTATAGGTGTCCAGCAGTGAATTGTATAAGCATGGCTGGCATCTGTATGCTTCCAGAAATTCAGCTATGGGTATTTTCGTTTCGCGGAATTTGGCCATCGATCAGTTCGTTTGGTTTTCACAACCGACGACAACTAGAACAACAGCAAACTAACGCAAATGTGTTTGTATGTATTTTGTTTGTTGTTTACACTGTTTGCTAGTGATGGCAGAATCAGCTGTGAGTTATGAGTGACCAGATTGCACCAGATCATTCACCGCATTGCGTCACTATAGATATATTCTAACATGCGGATAGATTTAGTTTAATTTTGATATGAATTACAAAAAAAAAAACTCATACAGAAGTGCTTAAATAAATTCAGCAATTTATTTTATTTGAACATGCTTTTATTTTTTAACATATATAATTATATTTTTATTTTAATATGGTTTTATTTATATTATATTACTTATAATTTTCAAATAACGACTACGCTTATGGTTTCCACTTCAAATATTGTAATCTAGTTTACCGCTGTCGTGCAAATGGCGCTATCTTATTTTATTGATGCATTCGCTTTATTTTTGCTTGCCACAATTGCCTATCGTTATGTTATCGTTATCGTCATTGTGAGTTTTGGCAAGCCGGCAGTCTGGCAAATTTTACCGCGTTTTATGTCAGGCCAAAATTACAGCAAGTTTATTTATCGAATACAACGCGCAGTGCAACAAATAAAATGGATAGTAAGTGAAGCATTAAAATTGTTAAAAATAATAACTGAATAATACAATGAAAATGTTACAATATTTGGATCAGGCGTGATCGAGGACATGTGGACGCCATACAAGCGTCTGTATCAGATTTGCCAGTCGGCCATAAGGAATCCCAATGAGATGAACCCCGATTTGGTGCAATGCCTCAAGAAGCACAAACAGAATTTTACCAATTTGCTACGCAACCCGGTAAGTGGCATCATCGTACAGACAGTTAAAACATAACCTTAACTCCTCTTCCCCCTTCCCTCGCTGCCACTATCTCTGTTGATCAGCCCAAAAGTGAGAAGAGTCGTGCCCAGCTGGCAACGATATCAATGGAGGGTGTTATGCTCGCCGGTCAGTCGCGAAAAGTGGTACTTTCGCAGGAGCTAATCAATGAGGCCATTATATTGTCGGATATGTATGATCTGGATGAGATAATTGCACTGGAGCTGCTCTGCTCAGCACAACGTCAACAGATTCGTCATCCGGGCTTGCCGCGTGGCCTTGTCGCCGTTCTCCTCTATTATGATGGACGCAAGGCAATTACCTGCACACTGCGCGATATGTTTCAAGCAATGAGCGGCGTCACCTGGAGCACCGAACTGCCCAAGGAGGTAATATAGTTGGGGAAAAAATAATAGCGCCACTCTCAGAAGAAATGTTTTCATAACTAATGGTTTGTTTTTTGCCCTTGCAGATGACCGTGGTGTTCGACAACTATGTGCAGAATCTGGTTGAGGATTCGAATATACTTGGCCGTCTCTTGGAGTTGCTCGCCGAAATGGACACCGAGAAGGAGGTAGATGAATGATTTTGATGAAATATTTTGAAATTGTGAAATCATTTACATTTGCCCACTTACAGATCGCGTTGTTGACAAAAAATCGTGCCTTTGGCTCGAAGCGTCATCAGAATCAGGTGCTGGCACTCTATGAGAGCACACGCAAGGCACTCGCCATGTGCCTGTTCCATTGGTCCGCCCAGCGTGGACTACCCAAAAATATTGCCATACGTCTGCTAAAGCAATTGGCCAACAATACACAAGGGAACACCAGCGAGGTCACACTGATTATGCTGATGGCACTGCTCTATGGCTATGATACGTCCGTGCTGCTCCTTGCCGAATGCGATAATCAGCACATATCACGTCTGCCCATTTTGAGTGATCCAGAGTATGTCAAGTGCTTCTATGAGGCCATCTATGCCCAGACAACTTGGCAGACGCCACAAATGGATGTCATCATCAAGTACAGCTTCGGTCTGACATTGGCCAGTTTGAGGCAGGCGCCCATCGATCTTCAGACAAACGCTGGCGCTATCATCAATTGCGATGAGCAGCTCATCGATGAGGCGCTTGCCGGCAATGTGTTCACCTTCTTCCTGCGTGAGCTGCTCGAGACAAATGTCGTCTACGAGTAAGTATCATTGAGTGCTGTAGAAGGGCTTCGCCTATCTTGAATCAATTATTTTCTATTTTTTGTGTGTTTGCAGAGTTGAATTCATTTACCGTCGCTTGCATCAGTTAATTACGGATTTCATTGACTTTATGCACGCCAAGGTATCGGAGCTGCGTGGCCGATCGGATGAGACGGCCCGTGTAATGCTGAGTTTTCAGAATGCCGGACTCGAATCGCCGCCAAATCTGGATGACAATTTTGAGCTACTGATGCTGTGCGTGGCCAAGTTATATGGCGATAAGCGGATACCCGTCACCCTGTGCAACGAGTATTGGGGACCTACAATTGCCAAAGCGACAACAACGACGCCACACAATGCGGCCGCAAACAGCAAATCAAACACATCGCGTGCCGTCTCCTTGTTCAAGTTCATCCGTTTGGCCAGTGAGTTGTTGCCGCAGATTTTGATGACGCCGTATTTGAAGATGATTGCCGGACTGACGCGCACCGAATTTGCGGCCAGAGCAGCCTTTAATCTGCTCAAGGACTCACAGAATGTATCGTCCACCTATGCGGTCAGCTGGGACAATTTCTTTACGGCCCTCAATTGTTATTTCACGTAAGTGCGCACCAACCAGTTCCCAAGCCGAAACATCTAACAATTAGTACATATTATTATTGTCTGTGTGCCTGTTTGATTTGTTTTTGTACCCTCTTCGGCGCCAATAGCTATTCCATCGATCCAAATTCTTGAGGATTTCTCGAAGGATTGAGGATTATTTCTCATTACCATAAAAATAAAATAGCCATGGCTATTACTTGCTTCAATCGTTTGTCGATTATAGCCGCTGTTCTGAGACCTGGTCAGGTATCTCTGTCCAGCTATGCTTAAGAGTTACATATGATAATGGGTTGACATTTCCAAAATTGATATTTACAGGAATATGCGAAGCGATCAGCAATCGATAGGTGGATCGATCTATCGCAGCCGGCCGATGCCGCGCAATATAGCGCCAAGTGAGACAGAGATAATGATTTCTGTGCTGGGCATTGTGCAGGCCGTTGCCGATAATGATGAAATCTCACGGATTGTCATCTGTGAGCACGTCAATTGGCAGACGCCCCAAGTGCTGTTGGGCCTGCTCGCGTGCACCACATCGGTGGCACTCAAGGGTCAAATCCTATTGACATTGGCTGCACTCAGCAAATCGAAAGAATCGGCACGCTCGATCTGGTTCCATCTGGAGGAGTCACAAGTGATACCCACAATGACAAAGAACTCGTCGGCATATGCATCGTTCAGTTTGGCGGAGGAGATCGTACAGAACGAATGTCGAATGGAGACATACAAGTTGAGTCGTGGCGTCCTCCAGCTGCTCAATACGCTGATGACCACACACATGCCACATCGATTGGGCGCTGGACAACGCAAGGGCGGCTATGATCCGTATTTGCATTTTGTTATCGATAAGATATTTTTAAAGTTCTACAATCGGGCGTACAAGGATCCCGTGGAGCGTTGGGAAGTGGGTGCCAAATGTATGCAACTATTATACTTTCTGCTTGCCACATATCAGCCGAAGGCGGCCGATTTTGATAACGATCGCGATGACTATCCGCATCCAGGCTATCATATAATGCTGCAATTGCAGGTCAAATCGGATATGTTGCGTCTGATATTGCGCATCATTGAGGAGGCACAGGAGCAGCTAGACGATTACAATGAGTTCCGGGGCAAACCGGCGCTCGAGGAATGCGCCCTGTACGCGCTCCTGCTGCTCGAGGTCGCCGTCGCCAAACAGAATGCCTTCTTTGAGGCGGCCAATTGTAGTATTTTATTGATGGGCTTGAATCGTATGCTGCTCGATTTGAATCCGCGTAGCCGTCAGCCGGACTATGTGCACAACATCATCAAGTTTGTCACGTACAACAGTTGGCTGCCCCGTCACACATTGGCCGCCATCAAAATCTTGAGCGGTTTCACCGCCCAGCCCGATGTCGTTGTCCAAATCCTCAATATGTATTCACCGAACAGCACCGAGAAACTGGAGATACGTCGCCAGTTTATTGAATGCCTGGAAATCGATATGCTCCAACTGAGCGATGAGCAACGGCGTCAATATGAGGCACTCGATCGCTTTGGCAATGCCTATCATAAGGATGCCACGGGTGATGCCGGTGATCTTGATTCGAATACGAGTTCAGTATCGGATACGATATCGGTTTCCGAAATGGAAGTCGAAGATCGTCAGCCGATGCGCATTGAATTGCAGATTAAAGAGGCAATTGTGCAACTGTTCGAAGTCAATATCAATCAGCCGTTGCCCAATTTTGTCACCTTTCTGCTTGGCATCGATGTGATGCGTGATTTTATGTACAACGAGCAGATTCAGCTCAATGTCAACTGTTCCTGCATCAATGCGCTGGTCTTGATCCTTGAGCGCCATCTGGAGGTGAGTCAGTGAACTGTTATTCTTATTCAAGAAGTTTTTTTTTACATTCTCTCTCTGCCTTTTTCTATCCTGCAGCAACAACGTCAGAGTGATAAATATTGCGAGCATACGGCCCACATTGTGGAGAGAATTTACAGATTGTTCCACGGCTTCTGCGCTAGTCCTCAGATATCGGAGGCAATATTGCGCTATTTCCGTTTGACATGCAATGATTTTCTGTTGCGCCATTTGGGTGCACTACCCTTCCGCAACAATCACAGGAATCACATGCTGCACGCGATCAGCCACCTGATGAACTGTGTCTCCATCGAGATACGTGTGGCGGCCTCGCATGGCCAAACGACACGGTATACGCTGCTGTGCGATATTTTGCTCGCCGTAAATGCGGATGTGCTGCACAATGGACACAGTGTACCCCAGGAGTTGAGCACCAGTCTGCTAATGTCGGCGGCCGGTAATCAATTTGGTTTGGGTGTGACGCCCTGTCGACAAATGATGCAGACAACGGCACCCGAATTGCATGCGAATCGTTTGCTTGACTGCCTAACATTGGAGACGCTATCGTTGACTCAGCCGGATCTGGAGTTCTTTGACGAACGCTTGGTGTCCACCTTGCTGACGGAGTGTACGGCAAATGCGGCAATGCATCAACATAGTGCTGGCGTTATTAATATCCATAAGCTGCACTGCATACTGATGGATGAACTGCATCTGGTGCAGAGCTCCATTGCCAATGGTCAGCGCAAGGCTGTCATCGATGAGATCACAACACTCATTCAGTATGCCATCAATTTGAATGGTATTCGAATGCAACGGCTCGCCACATACGCCTTCATGAAGGCCTGGGGTAATCTTGTCCAGCTGCTGTTCAGCGCCATGCCCGAAACGGTGCTGCCGGTTGCCGTTCGCAAACAGCATATTATCGATATCATTGAGAAGATAATGTTCAAGGTGCCGCCAACGCAGCCGCTGGTCAAGCTCTCCATACAGGTGACGGAAACGATGTTGGTGCTGCTCGAGAATCTGCGTCACTGCTACTATCATCTGGAGGATCAGCGTGCCCTCGACGAGCATGGCAATATCATCTGTTTAAATGATGCGACGCCCGGTGTGGATGCCACCATCGCCAACAATCAACAGCAACAGCAGCAACAGGCCAAGAACAGTGCCGCAAACAATGCGACGCATGTTATCAGCAGCAGCGTCAGCAGCAACAGCTGCAAGAGCAGCAATCTGCGCTTCATCCTCAAGCAACTCATCGCCTGGATAATGACCTGTGAGGTCAAGTCACAGCAGCTGAGCATCAATCTTTACACCTCGCTGCTCTACTGTCTCCGGATTGTGAAACGTGTGCGCAGCGACGAACAGATCGAGTACAATGAAACGTAAGCATCAATCAATCAATCAATCAATCAAAGCCTTTGAGCAGGCTATACATATATAATAAATAGAGTAGCAGTCAAAACAATAGTAAAAATTCTCTATATTAAATCAGTCAATCAATCAGCGATCAGTCAGTCAATCAATCAAAGGTCTTAAGCAGACTATACATATATCTAGATACATATATAGGACAGATTAATAGTAAAAATTCTCATTATTTGCATAGCCCAATGAGGCCAAGGTAACAGTTTCCACATCTCAATCGGAGTGAAAATTTGTGGTAAGAAGCTTTAAAGACTATTTCTACAATTTTGAGCTTTGGCAGACTGTAAAGAGGTCTCCGACATGGGTTTCTCTAGAAAACTGCCAATACTTGTTGGACTCTAGACACCTTAGTTATGTGTTGGCTATTTCTAATCGAGTAGCCCCCAGGGAAAGCTAAGAAAATTCTGCTACTATTCCACTGGATCCACATAAATTTAGAGACTTAAATACTTAAATTTTTACTTATCTACCGTAATAAATTATAATATTAAGTATTTATTTTGAATATATACATATGTGTATTGGGCATATTACAGGTTAAGAACGCGCTCGGATAGCTGTACAACATTTGGGAATCTGCAGGCGGATGTGGAGCAGGAGATGAAGCACAAAGAAATGGCCGCGGAGATAATCAGTGAGTTTGGTGAGAAACTAATTGATACGATCTGTCACGATGTGACGACGGGACATGCGATGTGCAGCATGCTGGCCCTATCCTGCCTGGACATAATATCGGAGCTGCGTGCGGTAAATACCCTATGCGATATTATCGCATCGCGTGGCTATCTCAAGCAGGTACTCTACGGCCTGGCCCAATCGGATGTGGAGCTGAAGGATGTGCTCAAACCGATACCGGATAGCCTTCGGCCCCTATATATGTACGAATCCCTAATGGCATTCCTAATGCAAATGGCGCAAACGTATTTGGGCGCCACACAAATTCTCGCTGAGGGTGCACTCGGTGTCCTCTCCAATATGCGGATCTATGATATGCAACCGGATTTGAAGGCCAGCCAGCAATTGACATTGGAGCGCAATGAACCGGATGATTTTATGCCAGCGGTGGATGCACGCTTCCGTTCGATCCTGCTGCCGGCTCTGTCATTTTGTGATAGCATCATTGATTCACTTGGCGCACGCAACACATCCGCGTCGACGCAATTGCTCAATTTCCTCTTCTCGCACATTGATATGATTGAAGGCATGTTGCGGGCGGCGACACCGTTCATGGGTTTGGGACATTTGCAGCAGCTGGCGGCGATCACCAATATATTTGCCCGCATCACATGCAATGATCAGGCAATTATGCAGGATCATCACCATCTGGACAGTGGCGCCCCATCGCCGGAGATGACAAATCGATTGAGCCGGCTACGTCAATTGTTGATTGTTGTCCTTGGCCGCTTTACCGTTAATGAGGCGACAATTCGTTGCATGATGCAGCAGGAGCGCCACCAGCAACAAGATCCCACCGACCTAACCGAGGTGGATAAGTGGCAGCATATCAAATACATTCTGGATATATCCGCCAATCTGTCGATCTATTGTCGCGCCGGCGTCACAAGCCATGTGCGAGACGGCATCACCTCCAAATATCTATTGACGACCATGATCAACGATGTGACTCCCCTGTTAGTTGTTGGGATTATTTTTTCTTCAACGAACGAATCTTTAATGTTCATTATTCCATTGCAGTTCGGGCAAAACGGACTCGAAGAAACTGTCCGCAATCATGGTGGTCATATTGAATCAACTCAAAGGCTCCATTGCCTACTATTTGTCACAGAAGGCAATTGCCGACAATCTTGTCCAGCAGCGCGCCTCTCTGCCCAACATTACATTCGGGCCAAGCGGTGAGTACATTTTACCATATGGTTAATATCTAGCTGATTAAACATTTATTGATTTACATGCTCTTCCAGGCAAGAAAAACTATTTAGAATTAAGCCAGCGTCACAATGATAAACGCAGCGAACTGAAAATGTCCGTTTTCATTGCGGAACAGAGTCTATATCTGCTCTGGATCCATGTGGATTTCTATTTTCGCAATGCGGTCATCTATTCCCAGGAGAATCGTAGTCTAATCAACGAAACCTGTTTGGGTATGTTCGACAAGTGTACACAAATATATATATATATATATATTTTGTTATTATTTTTCATTGATTTTATTTCTAATATATATATCTAATCTCGTCCGTTCTATCTGTGACAGATCCAAACAACATGTCCGTACTGAATGCTTCGCAGGATGAGATCGTCCAGTTGAAGCAGATGCTCATCTCCACATTCAACGAACTGTTCTGTTCGCAATTAATCACTGCCAGCGAAGGATATACGACCAAATGCAAGAACTTTAGTGCCGTCCTATTGCGGCGCATCAAGGCGCTTGTTCAATTTGCACCACAGACCTCCTAACATATTTCAACAAAACAAAATAATACTTCTATTTTTTCTTATATTATTGTAAAAAATAGTGTAGATCTAGGTTTGTGTGTTTAGTTTTGAATCGTGGTCGTTAACTTTAAAATCCCTTATAATAAACTAAAGAAAAAAACTAAAAATATATTGTTTAAGCTGATTTTAATTATTATGTGTCAATTTAAAAACAACTCAATAAAAGAATGATAATGAGTAATAAATGAATTTAAAAAGAGCTAAACTGAAATCAATGCTGCTATCTCTCTCTTTTCTATGTACCAATTCCATGAATTATAAATACAAATGAATAAATATGAGTTGGCTGTCTGTCGAACAACGACTGTTATTTTTTAATTTTAAATTTGGAATGTCGAGTTTATGTGGTTCCATCGATACTGTTCCCATTTCGCGAATTTCTATTCAAATCGATTTCCGATTGCAAGAAATGTGACAATTTTCAAAATATAGCCTTCGAATTGAGTATTGACATACTCAACATCTGCGTTTTGGGTATCTCCTAGTCGAGGTCTCCCAACTAGACCGTTCTTAATTTTTAAATACGAATTCAACTCAAGAGATTACCATCAAATCGATTAAATTCCCAAAATTCCACAGCCGTTGATTTCAAAATTTGATAAGAGAGTCTTCGCATCGCCAGAGAAGACTTCAACTTTTTCTGAAGCCACTTAAATTTTGTGTTGGCGTAAGAAACGTAATATGTGATGAATATATACATTAAAGTATTTTCAATGATTTTGAAGCAAACAATAGAAGCTGATATAGTCGATCACAGGAAACGGCGAAACATTTGCAAGGCAAACCCGTATTAACTATGCTCTATGTTGAATGTTGCATTTAAGCATAAATTATGCATTACGATTTTTTTGCCGCAATGGGTTAAAGGTCGTTGGTAAAATTTAAATACAAATTTATTTACTTGCCGCGCACATAATGATATATCGATGAAAGCATTGATGTTGAAACTATATATTGTTCGTGAGATATCGATGTATTTCACATATCGATAACTTATTGCATCCCTATAATGTTGCTTCCTTTTCTGATATCCGGTTCAAGTAATTGGTTCGTTTCGCGATTTTCTATTGCAATTTTATGTATAGAAATACCATTATTTTTGTAATAAATGTAATAAACGGCAACAAATAACTTCCGCTACATATAATTTTCTATCAAGAAATTTATTTTGAAATTGATATTATGCAGAAATGTTGCCGATGTTATGAAATTATTTTGTTTTGATTTTTTTTGTTGTGTTTTGCTTGTGGTGGTGGCGGTTTAACAGTGTTCGAAAATGTTTTGTTTTGTGGTGAATAGCGCAAAATACTGATTGCAGATGTTTTTTTTTCGGTTTTCTCAACAGTTGCTGAAACGAAATGGCGCCCCGCAAGGCTAAAGTGCAGAAGGAGGAGGTGCAGGTGCAGCTGGGTCCACAGGTGCGAGATGGCGAAAACGTTTTCGGTGTTGCCCACATCTATGCCAGCTTCAACGACACGTTCGTGCATGTCACCGATCTGTCTGGTCGCGAAACCATCGCCCGCGTCACCGGCGGCATGAAGGTGAAGGCCGATCGCGATGAAGCTTCTCCTTATGCAGCCATGTTGGCTGCTCAGGTAATAAACAAAAAAGTTGATATATGTCATATTATAAAATATTGAAATCTCGACTCTTTCAAGGATGTCGCTGAGAAATGCAAATTGCTTGGAATTACCGCACTGCATATCAAACTGCGTGCAACCGGTGGCAACAAGACAAAGACACCGGGACCCGGCGCTCAATCGGCGTTGCGCGCCCTCGCGCGTTCCTCAATGAAAATCGGCCGCATCGAGGATGTTACGCCAATCCCATCCGATTCCACACGCAGGAAGGGTGGTCGGCGCGGTCGCCGTCTCTAAAAAACATCGCTCACTGTTATGTTATAAACAAAAAACATATATGCACATGCTATGTATTTTATATATAGCGCTGACTCTTCTATATTTATATGTAGTAATAAATGATTAAAACACGAACAGTATATAAGCACATTAAATAAAAATAATAAGGTCAAGGACATTGAATTATTTTGGTAGCAAACATGCCGATAGGCAACTTGGTCGATATATTAATCGGTGTTTGCATATATGTATTTTCATAATTGGACACGGCATGCGATTTTAGCAAAATACATTCATTTTATTTAATTTAATTTTAGGTTGACCAAATGGTCATGTCGATTTTATTTAGGTTTTGATTTATTGCAAGCATATAATCGAACAGCTGTTCGATACTGAAATGCCACACTGCTTATCGATTGGCAACCACTCGGCCCTGCTCTTCTCCGTGCTCTTCTTGTGCGTGCCAACGCATCGCTGTGACTGGCAGTTTTACAAGAACCACATAGCATTGCACAGATAAAATTCACATATACAGAGACTGTGTAATTTCTACACACAAGAAAGAGCTGGCGAATTCGTTGAAATTGTGCAGCACATTTGCGGATGCAAAAAGAAATTTCGTTAATACTAAAACGAATGTACTAATGCAAATGTACAAATAAATAAATAAAAAAATACGCACCAGACAAGGCTAAACCAGCAAAAGCAACTGATATTGTAATTGGCAAGTTCATTGCACGAATAATATATTTGGTTATATATATATATATATACATATATATAAAAATATATACATTTGTGTGCCTGTGCCTGTGTGCGTGAGTGTGTTTTTTAGTAAGCATGTGTGTGTGAATAAGAAATTTGCAAACCCGATAAAACATCGTGCAAATTGTTAAGTGGCTGTCCAATGTACGTTCCACATATATATAAATATATATATGTATGTGTATGTGTAGTGCATATGTGTATTCATGTATCTCCTGCTCACATAGGATGTTCATAGATAATAAATAGTAGGTCGGGCAAGCAACGTCAGTCAACTGAGCAGAGCAGAAACCGAAGCCCGCAGCGAGCTGTGAGAAGCGGCTTAAAAAGCTGAGCAATATTTCGAGTCAAGTGTTTTAATGTTTTTTTTTTTATGTTAAATTTTCCGTGTATTTCGTTCTTGTATTGTTTGTGTTTGTTTTTCGTAATTCGGAAGTGCATTATAATTTATGGCATGTAAATTGAAGAAGTTGAAGAAAAAAGAGAAAAAACACAGAAAAATTGATTAAAAACGCTAGCAAAATCATATTTGGCAAACAAAAAAAAAATAAAATAAAATAAAACCCGCAGTGTGAAACGAGGCAACAGCAGCAGCGGCATAAGAAGAAGAACCAAAAAAGAAAACTTGTTTGAAACAACGACGACGACGACGAACAAGACGCTAAAAGGCAATCTTAACACAAGCTAAAGCTGAGGCGGCGTGCAAAGCAAAACGCAGAAAACAAAAGCAAAGCAGCAGAAGCAACAAACGGCACTTGCAGTCAGCTTTGTCTGCGCTGCTCCTAGCCAAAAAATCAACAAAAACAATTAAAACAAAAAAAAACAATATCACACGGCATAGTTAGGCGATAGGCGATAGACGATAGGCAGGCAAGACGACGTCACCGATAGATCAGAAGCATAATACACGGCAGCAGTATGGATGAAGATGACAACATATCCAATGCGAATATAAGTGTCGATGACGATGACGATGACGATGAGCAACAGCAGCGGCAACAGGATATTAATCGACAGCAACAAATCGACCTCCTCGAACTCTATGCACAATCGTTTCCGTTGCGAAATGTGGATGGTGGCGGTGGCAACACGAGCAGCGACGGACCAGCTGTCACAGCGGCACGCACAGACAACACAACCGGCGGCGGGGCTGCCGGGTCGGGCAATTCGCCATTTCACGATTGGGACTCACAAAGCACAGCGGCACGTGGTAGCGCCAGCGGCAGTGGCAGCGGGAGCAGCAGCAGCAACAGCAGCGGCAGCAACGCCAGCGGAAGCAGTCAACAGCAGCAGCAGGCAAACGCCAAGGAGATCAATGATGCCAGCGCTACTGCTTGTAGCGGAGGAGGCGGTGGCAGTGGCGGCGGCAATTCGGGTGCTAAACCCAGTTTCTTCTTTGGCACCTCATCGGTTATATTGCGCAGCCGGAAGGAGGTCGCCGCATTAATCAATACGGAATGCTGCCGTGGCAGTCCAACGCCCGATTTGGATTCAATTATGGATACGCTATTCAATCCTGGCACACCTATCGATAATCCCGATAATATCGAATGGATACGCTGGCTAATTGCTGGCGGTCGCACGCCCACGGAATTTGTTAAAATCGGTGAGTAACGCCAAAGAGAGAGAGAGAGAGAGCGTAATAGCAATAATAGTTCAAATTTAATATGCCTTATCGATATATTGTGTTATCGCCAAGCAGCTGATCGCGCAAGTCGTTGCCCCTGAAATTTTCACTGTGTGTGTGTATTGGTGCGCATACCTGTGCGCTGTTGCTTAGTTTTGCTTTCGAGTGTGTGTGTGTGTGTGTGTGTGTACCTGTGTATGTGGTAAAATGGTCGTAGGGCGGCATGGTAGATAGATTTGTATATATGGCACGCAAGTGTGAGCAAGTAAGGTGCAAGGCAGCGTGACAGTGCAATGCTATAGCAACAAAACAAAGCACAAAACAACAAGCAACCACAATAAATATCTTCTTTAATCAACAAAGTACTCACATATATATTTTTATATATATATATAAATAGAGAGAGAGAGAGTGGAGCTTGAGTTAACTTTAGCCCATTTAGCACAAATTTAATCTGGCAATATTATCTATTTACTGCGTTGCTGCCTCATTTTTTCTTTTTTTTGTGTGCCAGGCACAGAGTGCGTCGCAAACATTGACAACCCCAATGCCGATATATTGCTCGTCGTCCCACTTGTCTCTCACACACACATGCGTACACACACACGCACATTGGCTAGCTGTTGCACCTTGTGTGTGGCTGTCAGCTGTTGTTTTTGTTTCGGCTTTGCCTTGCGTAATATTTCCGCAGCATCCGTTCAAAAACACGCAGCTGCTGCATTTGTTCCTTTTAATGCATCTAAATTGCCACCCTTGTCAAATGGCACAATATTCATTCTCTCTTTTTATCATTTACCAACACACACCACGATTGCATGCATGTGCAAAAGAAAGAAGCAGAAGAAAAAAGAAAATCATTTCAAACAATTGCTAAATTGCAAATGAAAATGCTACGTGCTGCTGCCATGGAGACGCACACAAACATATATATATATAATATATATGTATATATTATATATAAATATATATATATATATGTAGCTTGCCCCGGCATACACTGCGAAAAGTTTATTGACCGTCATTGTTGTTGATTTGACAATTGTTGACACGCCATGTTTCATTTGCACAGTGCACACGAAACTGTGAAAACTACATTACAAACACACACACATATAAATATCGCACACAATTTGCATTACAAATGCCGCTGCTTTTGCACCACAGTGTAATCTGCATGCATGCCAGTCTGTCTGTCCGTTCGCTTGCTCTTCTTGTTCTACTTTTTCTAATTTCTTTTTTTTCGGGCCTTGCGTTTGTTCGTGTTGACCGTTATTGTTGTTGTTGACAAAAGCTTACACAGCCACACATTCACACAACACACATGCGTATGCATATTCTATATTCCTTTTGCACTCTTTAAAATTGTTAATCGAAAATTGTCAAAACATGCTCTTCGCTCTGTGCTGTGTGTGGGATTTTGATTTAGGAAGGGGGAGGGGGATATGGTAATGGGAGAGAATGATGGTAAATAGTTAAATGGAAGGCATCCGCAGAGTTGCATGGCAACTTGTCGATCGCCATTGCCAGACCATCAAACCCAAATTGTCAATCAATTTTACTGATTCAATGCGTTAGCGCTTACAGTCGTTATTGTTGGTGTTGCCGTATTTTGTTTTTTTTTTTTGCGCTGGCTTCTTTCGTTTGATTTGATTTCCTTCCGCATTCAGTTGACCTTTTTGGCGAGGCCCAGGCAAACGCAAAAGTCGAAGACAAGTCACGCAAGCAACGCAAGCGCCAACATTAAATATTATGCCAACAGCAATGAGTGCATCATATTTATTTTTGGATTTTAATCAAATCAATAAAAAGATAACACCAGCAACAACAGCGAGCAGATATTGCTTTGCTTGCAATACATATTGTATCATTAACTAACTGCATATATTGTGCATCATAACGAAATAAATGGCTCAATTCTCAATTGCTCATTTCCGTTTGAAGTGAGTATAAATTGGTTTAGTTCCGTTTGCAAAATAAATACCATAACTGTCGCTTTACTAACTCACAACACAGTCATCAAATTGGAAAATTGGTCGTTGTATCGCTGAATATATATTTTTTGTTCGTTCTTTCTATAAATACTTTTGGCACATTGTTGCTGAATTGTCTGTTGTTTATAAAAAATAGTTTGGCACATTTGCTGTTAAGGGTCAAAATGTTAAGGATTATAGATTGTTGCTAAGTTCACGGATTTCAGATCAATTTGAACTTTCCGTTCGTTATCTCGCTCTCTCTCCATCTCTCTTTCTCTCAGCTAAGCAGTTGATTTTGTGACGACAGACACAAATATATAATTTGAGGTCGCACAGTTGACAGCTGTTAAGCAGCTGCTCTGTTGTGGAGGTTGGTCGATACGAAGGATTATGTTGGACAGCTGGACAGCAATCCTCCATCCCCTTCACACTAAGCAAAAAAATGCCCACCCCACCTTATATATTTAAATCATGGCGGTTATCGTTTACAAAATAATATCGATATTTTTATGCTTAACAATTGTAAATAAAGATTCAATACTAATGTTGTTGTTATATGCTTTTCTTTTTAAACAGTGCGCAGCTACGATAACCATGCGAAATGCGGTCTGGTGTGGGTGCCCCATGTTGTGGCATATCGGTGTCGCACCTGCGGCATATCGCCATGCATGTCGATATGTCGCGACTGTTTCAAGAAGGGCGATCATGCGAATCATGATTTCAACATGTTCCTCTCACAGGCAGGCGGTGCCTGCGATTGTGGGGACACGTCAGTGATGAAGGCGGAGGGCTTCTGCAGTGATCACGGCATCAATAATCGCGTCAATCGCGATCCAGTGCCCAATAATCTGTTGGCGGTCGCCGAGGCGATAATGCCAAAGCTCCTCTTCCGTCTGCTGCAGCATTTTCGGGAGCACAGCGATGCTTCACTGCAGCAACAGCATGCGAACAATTCATACTCATGCGAAGCGTTCGCCAATATGCTTATCGATCTGAACAATATGGGCGAGATAATGCGCAAGGTGATGACACGGACGCTGATCAATGCCGATGTCTATTCGTATTTTATGGAGACACCGTGCCAGGATACACGCAACGGACACTTCCTCAAGGCGAATCGCGAAAAATACGAGGATGCCGTCAATCGTTTCCCAAATCCAGAGCCACCCGATGAGTATCGGGATTTGCCGGCGCTCGGCAAGAAACTGGTGCACACCACCTTGCTGGAGGAGTTCATATTCTGGACATTCAAGTTTGAGTTTCCACAGACGTTGGTCTGCTTCCTGCTCAACATGTTGCCCGATCAGGACTACAAGGTAAGCAATTATAGCTCCTTATATATATAGCTCTACATATATATATGTATATATATTTAATTTTTAATTTGCACAGGAACACCTGACACGAACATTTGTGATGCACTACAGCCGCATTCCGTCGGTGTTGGAAATGTCCCGGGATCCCGATACACTCAGCAATCGGGTTGTCCACATGAGCGTTCAGCTCTTCTCCAACGAGAGCCTTGCCCTCAAAATGGTCAATGAGCTGTCGCTGTTGCATGTGATGATTATTAGCTTGAAGCTGATGATGTCCAAGATACTCATACAGAATACGCTGCATGGTAACATTCAATTGATTGCCCCTTCGATTTTAATAGTGATAGCGTAACACTCTCTCAATTTGTGCCTTTTGCAGATCCCATAAAGAACTTTCACTTTGTGATCGATTGTACGCGTCAAGTGATGAAGGATCATTGCTATTGGCCCCTCGTCTCTGATTTTAACAATGTTCTTTCGCATGAATCGGTGGCGTTGGTCTTTCTACGCGATGATAACCTAATCGATATGTGGTTTCAGTTCCTGCAGATGCTGCAGGGTATGAATGTGAATGTGCGAGAGACGGCCTCGCATGTGGAATTCGAGCCGAATAGCTATTATGCGGCATTCTCCTGCGAATTGGAGGCCAGCGCATATCCCATGTGGTCCATCATTTCTCATCTGCAGGATGGCACCCATGCCCATCTAGCCAAGAAGATTATCAACTATTGTGTGACGACGCTGCACGAATGGCTCGATTCCATCTACTTTAGGGAGCCCAAATTGTCTCTGGTATGTCCATCTACATACACTTTTGTGTTGAATTGCAAATTAAACTCTCCACACACATATTTTTTTATCTGACAGGAGGAAATGATGCAGGCCTCGTTTCATTTTCCGCTGCATCGTTATCTGGCCGCCTTTGTCTGCCAGGCAGTCACCAAAATGGGCATCAGTCTCAGCGATGTTCTGCCCTCCCGTCCCGACATCTTACCCCTGCTAATGATACATCCACTCCGTGTCCAGGTGAGTTCAATGATCCCCATATATATGTAAATATATATATATATACCAACCACAACTTTATACACACATATATATATATATATATATATCTATGTGTATAAAGGTGTGGTTGCAGCTCTCCTTAATCTAGCATAGCAGAAGATCTAAATCGAATTTTGTTCATCTGCAGAAGCTTTCGCATATTTTGGAATATAGAATTTTCGTCAATTTATTATGAGATTGATTGACCTCGTGTTTGTTGTATATACAGATATATATATATCTTGTTGAATACAGAATTGGTGACAAGTTGGCAATAGAGTGATTGACCTTTAGCCATTCAAACTCAAACGATTTTTTGTTTACTAAGAGATATTCGGATCACAGGAACAATCAGTTAACTGTTTAAATATAGATGTCTGCAACGGTCCCCTTTTATTGCTTTCCTTATTTTATCAATTGACATACATATAGGAAACGATATATATATATATATATATAAGCGAATTCCAGACTAAACAGTTGATTGGTCAAAATGCAATTGTATGCAAACAAATATGTATGTTCTCATTATATCATAATCTTTTTCTGGTAAAGATGTTTTTCTATGGCAAAAGACTGTTTTTATCTATGGCTAAAATTTTTAATTTATTTGATTTTCTTTTTGTTCGCTTTTGCAGTTGTTGTTTTTGTTGTATTTTGTTTTTGTCACAAAATATTTGTATTTTATTAACAAGTAAGATGAAATCAGTTGTAGATCCTACATAGAAAGCTAGTTGTTTATTATTATTATATATAGCTGAGACACGATGCGCTGCAAACCTAATTTTTCATTAGGTTTTTTTTTTAGTTCGTATTCTTTGGCACCTGAACGTGTGGCGAGAAATCATAGGTGATTATTTTGGGGGCGACAAAGCCGCCGAAGCCTGGCCGTGTCTTATAGTAGATGCCGATGCCAGCTAGTGGCACTGGTGGACTCGAAACCACATCCTGTATATCGAGGTAGGGCACGGTGCTCTGTGCCGCATCCTTATCCATTCCCGAATTGACAAATTCAATGTACTCGTTGTGCTTAGATGCCACCAGCGAACTGACGACCGTACGCGTCGGCACATCCACATTGTGTATTTTCAGTTTTTGTCTGCAAGAAAGGAAACATATTTAAGTTGAGTTTTTTTTTTTGTTTTTTGGGAGATCCTTTTTTTCATTACCTGCGCTCGCCGCTCACATCCGTATTGTCATTCGATTGCCAAACGCTGTTCACCTCCGGCTGAACGAGTTCACCGCGCTTGAAATCGAATTCACTGAGACGCGCCTCCAAATTCAAATGAGCGCCCAGCACCCGGAATCGTACACCGGTCACAACGAAACTATTATCATCCATTTTCATAATATCATCCAGATCGATGGAGCGACTCTCATAGCTCATCGTATGATAGTCCCTGCCCTTGGCCACATTTCTATCAAAGATCTTATAGTCATCGACCGGCTTCCAGGCCAGAGTGCTGGCATTTATGCTGCCGCGTGGCAACAGTTGGCCCTCCTGTATCTGCAGATGAAAGACACGATTCCGCTTCACAAAACGCAGACCGGTGACGACTCTGCCAGAGAGAAAAAGAGGGAGAGAAATGATTAATATCGATAACTCGTATATCTTGTGATATGTAGTTCTCATCACTCACTTGTTTTGCTTGACATCGGCGACGGATTCGCGCAGATTGAAGAAGCGATCCGATTTGATGCCCTGCTCATCGCACAGACAGAAACAGTAGCTGCAGTGCCAGAAGAGATAACGCCACCAGCTATCCACTTTGGTGGTGCCACGCGAGCATGTCTTGCGCTGACCCAGCGTACGTCCATTCTCATACTCGATGTACTCGTAACGGCGACTGCCATTCAATGGCGATGGACAGACCCACATATCGCTATCGACAAACTGGCAATTGTAGATCTTACCCGTACACTTCGGTTGCCTAGCACAATATAGTTCCTTGAAGCAGCTATCACTGCGCGTCGACTGATAGAAATCGCATGTCTCCCGGCACGTATCGTCCGTATTCAGATCGACCTCGTTGACAATGTAGCCCTGGAGTAGACGTGTCACCTCATCGTATGTCTCATTTTTGATATGCTTCTGGGGATCACAGCGATAAACAATTCGATCTGATCGTTGCATCACCTCGCGCAGTAGTTTCAATGTTCGCTCCACTCGCTTCTCGTAGTCGCGACGCATAAGTTCCGCTTCCTGGGTGAAATTGCCCCGTCCATAGACGCGCAACATCATCCACGAGAACTCCATCATGGTGTAGCCCTTGAGTTCCGTTAGCGCAATGTCTGTGTACAGTGAGTAGACAAATTGTTGTGGCGATTGTTTCGTGTGGCACATCTCATCCAGCGATTTCTGCAAGACCCCAAATAAAATGTGTAAGCAAAAATGTTACCTTTATTGTTATACGATGTTGATATTGCGTGTGATGCGCGTTATCGATATCAGCCCATCTTAATTGCACTCCAATTGCATATTATATGATTTACGTTACGTATACGTTACGTGCAATTAAAAACAGATAAAACTTGCAGCTCTCCCCCACCTACCTATCTCTCTCTCTCTTTCGCTCACCCGAGATTTAAGTTCTTAGTTAAATTATAGCAATACCATCAGCGTTCCGTTTCCGCTGTGTGTGTGTAGCTATTAATGTGCGCTTGCCCCAAACAAGCAGCAAGGGTGATAAGCAAAGCGATAATCTACAACACACACACACACACATACACATACACATACACATACACATACACATACAAAAATTGCAGACTAACCACCATTGCCCTGTAGTACATCGTTTGCTTGACCATACAGTATTCAATTTCTTGGAATATTTGCGACATTGAAAATATTTTATCATTGCGCAACACTGCCTCGGTTAAATCCAGAACAGCACGCTCCTCCACATCGTTGCTGGTGGTCGCTTTCATTAGATGATGCTGATGGCGGCGGGGCGGGCACGTGCGGAGTTGGTGATGGAAGGAAGATTAAGAATTTTCAATTCAAATTATTGGATTAAAAAAAAAAAAAAAACAGCACAATTCGCTACTGGTGGTGTGTTGTATGTTGTGTTTACCTTGAAAGAGTAAAAAATACCATTCAAATTCAACAACTTGCTCTCCAAAAGCGCCCATTCGTAATGATGTAAAATTTGATATTGGTTGCCATCGTTAAATGCTCGATCCATTTCCGGTTTATTGATGAAACTGCGATGCGAATCGTACACTTTGCGCAACTGTTGATCCCGATTGTTCTGACTGTTCCCCGTTTTCTCCAAATATTGCCAAAGGTCCCGCACCAAATGGAAATATTCGTTGCGTAGGGCATCCACCCCCAATACGGGAGCTCGATGCACATACATTGCTGACTGCGCAGCAGCAGCAGCAGGAGCAGCGGCCGCAATCAGTAACAATAACAACGATAATAATGGTATCGCTAACATTGTGCGCAGTGGATACTTTTGCGCAATACACAAACTTTAAAACTGGGGATTTCCTGCAATAAGGCTGCTTTCTTGATAAATTCTCCGTTTTGTTTTATTCCGCGTTTTGCTTTAGCCAGAGCAGTTTTGCCATGCGAAAAATCAACTGTTGTAAAGCGTTGCCAGTCTTTTTAAACAAAGACTGTCAGTTATTTCTCTTCTGACTTTCAATACATACACACACACATATATATACATATATATATATATAGATTTATATATACATATGTATATGTATATAGGTAGTCTCTTTTTGCTCGCTTGCACACGCGTGCCGTGCAATTTGTTAAATTTCAATTTAATTTATATGTATGTATGATGCGCCTGTTTCGGAAACAAGAAAAAAAAACTTTATTTTTTTGCGATTTATTTTAATGTTGTTTGTCCATCAACGCTTGTGTCGTTGCTGTTGCTGGTTGTTTTGCTACTGTTTTCTGCTTTCAGCCGCTCTGCTGACTTTTGTGAAATGTTATGTGCTATACGTGTATGTGTTTTGTGTCTGTGTGTGTGTTTGTGTCTCTTTGTGTGTGTGTGTCTGAGAGTGCAAGTGTGCTGCTTTTGACTCGCACTCGACTCGCGTATGTACACAAAATAAGAATTTTTACTCCCGCTCGTTATATGTTCGTTCGTGCGCACCGCTCCCCTGAGCCGCTTACGAGCATGATTTTTTCTCTTTTTTTTTCGTATTGTTGTTGCTTTTTTTTTTAGCTCGTCGTTGTCGTCGCTTCGCATAGAAAATCGTTGACTAGGAGCTCTGGTTTTTTGTATTTGTTGTTTTGCTGTGTAGCCAAACGATGAGCAGTTTAAGCAACCCGCAACACAATGGCACTTCTTTGTGTACGTGTGTGTGTGCATGTGTGAGCGCGCGCGATTTTTAAGCTTGAGCTAAATTCTGGCTATATTTGGGGACACAAAGGCACGCATAATTCTGCAAGATCAGCTGTAGCTGCAGATTGACCGCTGAACAGGTATGGGTGTTATCGATAAACGATATTATGCTCTATTGACGTCACTGCGTAATGTTTCTTCGTGGCTTAACCAGCTGACTGCTGTACTCCTGTACTCTCGCTCACCGCCTACCTTTTCGTTTACCACCACAAGGCACACACTGCAATTAACGAAAAAAGGAAGGAACAAAAAGATGGGGAAAAATTGCCACGCGCTGCACTGCCTCTGCCCTATGCTCTCGTTTGCTGGTGGCCAAACAACTTGTTTCGTTTTATTCTGTTTTCTTTGTTTGAGGTGTTTGCCTTTGCTATGCTTGCGTTTGTTGGGCGCATTGTTTACATTTAGCTGAGACCTTTGACCTCGGCGCGTTTGTAAACACATTGCTTCTGCTGCTTACATACATATTTGTTTGTACTCGTTTACCCTGTCAGATTTTTGCGGATTGGAATTTATGCAGCACCTTTTCCATTTATTGAATAAATGAAATTCTGCTGCCGCTGTGACGCATGAAACGCTAATTCGCATGCGTGCTTGTATTTGTCTATATATTTTTGTAAAAGTGTGTGTATGCGCGTGGTATGTGTTTGAATATGGCTCATGTTTAACTGTGCTTTGTGTCTGTGTTCCGCTCTTTTATTTTCTGTCTGCGCTGCTTAGTGATGAGTATTATCTGCAGCGACGCCGACGCAGTTAACATTTTTTTCTTGGCTTGAGACTTTCTTTTGGGGGTTGCCCAATTGGCGCAAAAAACCAAAAAGCAACAAACACACACACATGAGACGTAAGCGATTAATCGGTGCGACCGGAAAGTCCAGTTCAATTAAGCTGGGCGACTAAGCTAAGTCAACACGGATGATTCATTCATTCATTCACACACATATCTCTATATCATATGCTGGAGGAAAGTGCTACAAGATTTTTGATTGGGTATTTGTTGTTGCATGCAATTCATACATACCTCATAGTTGGACGCAAGTTGGCTGAGCAAATTGCCGGACGACGATGACGAATTGAGAAGCTTTTGTTCCTCAATCTTACCATTGCCAGTGCCCAAGAGCGTCAAATGCAATCGATTCATCAGATGATGCACCGAATATGCATTTGGAGAAACTGTCCACTCAGCGAATGTGATTAATGTGCTTATCTCTAGTTTGTCCTTGTGTGTCTCGTAGCTCTGCATTTGCTCGTAACGCGATGAGATGCGGTTCATTGTATCCGTTATATCGTTCATTTTACTCAATAACGGTACATTGTTGCTTATGAAATTATTAACCGACTGGATGGCCAGCGCAATATATTGAGAATGCTGTGGGGGAGGGCAACGCATAAGAATAAGTATAAGAGTGTGATTCGTATACACACATGTGTATAAGAGAGAGTTGGTGTACATATGTTTTTTGTTTACCTGCGCCTCGGTGTCATCAATATGTCGGCTGACCTCTTTCAAGCGCTGCAAGACTTTGCGCTGCTTTTCGCGCATCAACGGAAATTCAATGCTGGCCGCCAGTGGCGATGACTGCACAATGTCCCAGGCCTTGAGGACACCGGTTGTCACCTCCTTGACCACATGCAACACATCGAGCACATCTTCAATGACTGCCGTCGTTGGTGTTGGTCGCCAAATAACAGTTAAAAGTAATAACTGCAGTAAATGTAATTTGTATGACTGCAGCAGCTGCATTTTTTTTCTTCTAAAAGTGTGTGTTGTTTTGTCTAATTTTATTTATTATTAAAGAGTTGCTGGAAGTCAGTTACAAAAGAAAAGCAACAACAATCACACAGCAACACCAACACCAACACCAAGAAACGCAAAAAACACAACTTTGCTATCTGAAAATCAAAATACGAATGACGGCGGCTTCGTCGTTGTGAGTTCGGCTCTTTCTGCTCTGCGTTCATTAGTTGTACTTCTTTTCCGCTGAAAGACGGTTTTGGTTGTCTGTCTTTGTTTGGTTGCTGTTATTTTTACTGTTGCATGTCAAACACAGGCAGCATAGGTCAAAGCGCAAGAGCGAGTGAGCAAGCAATAACATACATACGTATATATATATATTTTTATGTACAAATGCAGTGCTGCCACCATGTAAAAAAGATGACGTTCTACTTTGCTCCTTACTTTTATCGATAACAAATTGAAAGCGCGGGTTAGGTGTTGATTTTCAATTATTGTCTGTTGCGCTATTTATCGATATATTTAATTTGTATTGGCTTTTTATTTGCAGAGCTTCTTCTACGAAATTCTGGCTGGCAAATGGGTGCGAAATGGTCTGCAGATCAAGGGCCAAGCCATGACCTACATACAGGCGAACTTTTGCAATTCAATGGCCGACATGGATCTGTTCTTTCTGCAAATATGCGCCACAAATCTATCGCAATATTTCTTTCTGCAGAACACCATCGAGCTATTCGATGTGGGCCAATGGCTGGAGACAGCGCCACTGAAGCAGCCCCAGAAGCCGGAGCAATCATCAATGCTGGAGGGTTTCCTCACATTTCTCGCCACCCTGGTGACGAGTCGCACCAATCTGGGCAACGATGAGGCCACCCAGTGCATCATTGAGATCAGTGCACTGCTGGCCACCGAGAATAAGACGCATTCACAGCTGCTCGAACTGATGCCGGAGCGTTCGGGCAATGTGCACACCAAGAATTTCGAGACGTTCCTTAAGAAGCTGTCCGTGTACAAGGCACCGTCATCTGGATCGGAGAATCTCGAACAGGGCCTGTTCACGCCAATCGATGAGGTGTGGGAGGAGTACTATGATCCGTTGCATGTCCTCCTCCGTGCCGTGCATCGTCGGGACTTTCAATCATCGCTGGATCGCTTCACCAACTATGTCAAATCGAAAAATAAGATGCCGGTCAGTGGTAATCTTTGGCCACCGTTTCGTTTGCCGTTGCCGGTGGGTGAATCCTTCACCGATCCGTGTCGCATTCTAAACTCCCGTCTCTTTCACTCCACCATACTCTCGATCTTCTTTCGAGCGGTGCACACACGCGATGTCTCCGAGCATCTGCTCGCACTGGCTGTTTTTCTGCTCGAGATCGCTGTGGAGACGAGTAATGATATTAATGCCGCTGCCGCCGGCGGATCATCCACAGCGTCAGCCTCATCCTCAACGTCGAGTGCGGGGAATGCTGCCAACGCTGCCGGTGCCTTACCCGTTGCCATGGTCGAGTGTGAGCCGCAGCATCATCAATCGGGTTATTATTATGGCGGACAGCGTCGTGAGCCGCCCAAGCTCTTCCAATGCTATCCCACAGACAATCTGGGCTGTAATCTGCGGCATGTGGTGAGCAAAGTGTCGCTAAAATCCCGTGATCCTCAGGTGACCACATCCAGTTATCGCTCGAATCCCTTTTATGCGGATCTTGATTTCGATGTGGAAACGGAGGCGAGACGAATGATTGGCGCCGCTTCCTACGGTTTGGATGAACTGGACGAGACATCCGGTGCGGTGAGTGTGGCACGCAGTGTGGCACTGCAACAGCGCAACAGTGCATTGTCCCGCATGCGAATGGAGGTGGCACTCGTGCCCGATCTATCGGTGGTGGCCGAAACGGGTGTTGTACTCCTCCAGCCGGATGGCAGCGAGGATGGACACGATAATGCCATGGATATGAGTCCGGGGGCTCAGGATTTTCATCATTTCCCGCTGCAACAGATAACGCTGCCCGAGAGCGGCATGGAGGTGGCCATACGCAGAGATCTCCTGCTCGCCGAGACGACGGCAACGACGACGACGACGCCGGGCACGATGCCGGGATCGCTAGCAGCAACGCCAGATGATGAGCGAACGGGACAAACGGGAACTGGCATCGGTGCCAGCGACAATGAAATGTTCTCACCCACAACGCCCACTGGCAGTGGAATGCTATTGCCATTTCAACGTGTCCGTCTGCCTGTGGCTGTGCCCAGCAGCAATATGGATGTGGTGCCATCAAATTCACTTGGCGGCCCCGGCGGCGGCATATCCGGTGGCGTATCCGGCGTTGCCAGCGGTGGTGCAAGGAAACGTGCCGTTGACATTGCAATCGCCAGTGCCGGCAACCGGGATGAGCTGCACATGGACGAGAGCATATTGTCGCTGCTGCTCAAGCTCCATTCGCAATTGAGTGGCAATTTGGATAGCTTTTCGCTGGATGATCATCGCACCACCATCTCGACACCGATGGATGTTGATTGCAATGAGGCGAGCACATCCTCAACATCGACATCGACATCATCGTCGTCGTCGTCGTCGACAGCGTTGGCCGAGCGCTTCCCCAGCTACAGCTATCAGAATATCCACGTGTCGAGTTCGCGGATTGGCGATGGTCCCTTCTTCATTGGCAATCTGTTGCGCAAGATTGCCACACGGGATGCGCAGTGTGCGCAGTGCATCGATGATATACGCGCCCGTTTGTGGCCCAATCAGCGGGAGAAACAGGCGGAGGCACGGGCTCGGGAGACCAAGGAGAAGGAGGAGCGCCGTAAAATGGCACGCGAACGTCAACAGAAAATGATGCAGGACTTTGCCAACAAGCAGAAGCAATTTATGCAATCTGCTGCAGCGGCTGCCAACAACATGGACTTTGGACTGGAGGACGACGACGAGGAGGCGATGTACGAGGAGCAGCCAAGGGAAAAGGAATACGATTGCATCATTTGCAATTGCACAACGGCCAGCACCGAAACGAATCCCATTGGCCTTGTCGTTCTCGTCGAGTCCAGCGGCATTGTTGGCCATCGTCGTCGCATCGCCGATCGCCTTCCGCTTCCCTTGAACGATGCGGACAAGGAGCGACTGAAGCAGACGACCCGCCTGGCCAACGAATTTACGCGTCGCACCGATTTGCTCAGCGACAAATTTGGGCAGGAATCGTGGTATCTGTCCAATAATATGGCCTACGATAATGGTGTTCATGTCCAATCGTGCGGCCATCATGTCCATCTCAGTTGCCTGGAGGCATACCTGAAATCGCTCTATACAACGCAACGTCAACCGGTGCAGGATCGTGGCGAATTCTATTGTCCCGTCTGTCGACAGCTGTCCAACTCGGTGCTACCCCTCAGCCCCCAGCTGGATAGACCCATGCATCTGGTGCGCTCCGGCAATCAACCGTTCGAGCAGCTCGTCGCCGATCTCACCGATCTGATCAAAGAGAACGAAACGATGCCGGTGAGTCGATGTAATCCTTACTTAATCCCTTTCAAGTGTAATGATTTCGGTTCACTTCTTAAAACTTATTTCAATTTGAACTCACTGTGAACACAGCCTTGCCATCTGCTTGGTTAGTGGAATACTCTTCTTCACATCGCTTGTACGTCTGGATTCTGGAATATAGATTTATATTCGATTTAGCAAAACAGATTAGAATCTGTGCCAAAGAATTTCTTACCTTTTTGCTCTTCCAAAGGTTGAGCCAAATGAATATTCCTGTTCCCTCGCGAGATCTACTAATTATTCCTTAAAATGGACTATTATTGAATCAATTGGGGATTCCCCATATAGCTACGATGAGGCACATCTTTCGCATCTTAACTAATATAAATAACTAATCGATTATCTCATTTCGATAGCAACCCACTAAACTAACGGAGGCCATGGGCCATGCCATGGAGGTGATGACGAACATTGCCCAGCGTAAGGTCAAATGTGCCACGATCACGTTCCGCAAGCTGTTCATCTTTGTGACGTCGATAGCCCGCACCAATCTCGAGGCGGAGATCATACAACGTGGCGGCTCGCTGTGCACCTCGAATGCGACGCGGTACAAACCGAAACGGGATTGCATTGTTCCATTGCTGCATGTGCTGTCGGTGCATGTGCGTGTGCTCGTTGAGTGGCCATTGTGGAGCAGCTGGGCATCTCTGGCCGGGATGCCGGTTAACGATACGGAGCCATTACCCGCACATTGCCGGGAACTGATACCTAGTCTGCTGGCGGATCCCATTGCGCTGCTACTCAAATTCATACTGCTCGCCCCGCTCCATCTCGATCAGGGTGAGTTCGCCTCCCTTCCCTTCCCTTTCCCATATATATATATATATATATGTATATCTAAATTGTATTTGTTGTATTGCAGATTATTTCACCTGCATGGTTAAGGTGATGTACAATCTGCTCTACTATCAGATTGTTGTCCAATTGTGCGTCACGCTCACCGAACTCGAGTGCGATCACATCCTGGCCAATTATGGCAGCACAGAAGCAAACTCTACCTCCGCCTCCAATTCCGCGACAACATGCGAAACAGCTGCAACTGAAACAACAGCAGCAACAGCAAATAGCAACAAGAGTTGCAGTTCCAGTTCAAGTTCCAGTTGCGGCAATCGACGCAGCAGCTCAACGAGATATGGTTCACTGCAGAGCTGCGCAGAGTTGGGCAAAGCGATGGCGCTGGTGCTGGAGCAAACGGATCGCTTGACGCATCTGCGACGGGATAGCATACCCAGCACCAGTGCGGCTGGTGCAACAGCAGCAGCTAGTGGTGCTGGACCAACTGATGAGTGTCCAACTGGGGCTGCTGCTGCTGCTTCTGCTGCTGCTACTGAGGTGAATCTCAAGTCAATGGAGCTGCAATTGCAATCGCTGTGTTTACCATTTCTGCGGATTGCGGCGCTGCTGCGTCAGCATTTGTATAGGCACGAGATGCCGGAGATATCGGCGCCCGGTTTGGAGTTTGTGCGTCTCGTTTACTATTTGGAGCTGGTCACCGATTCAATGGACTGGGATTGCTTTAATGCATCGAAGGGATTGTGCTTTATTCCAGGCACGGAGCAAACGTTGCCGCAATTCTGGTGCAAGCAGCTCATGGATGTGCATCCGCCCAGGGACACTGTTCGCAAGCTAATCCTCATGAATCAGCACTCGCTGTGGCAGCAGCCCCGCCTCCTGGAGCTACCCCGCGAATATGAGCGTCTCTTCACGGTGAGATTCAGCAAAATCAACCTAGGCTACATATATATAAATTTGTTATCGTTATCGGTTATCGGTTATCGTTGCAGTACTATCATGAGCGACCCTGCCTCAACTGCTACAAGGTGCCCAAGGAGAGCTCCATTTGTCTGCTGTGCGGCACCATTGTGTGCCTCAAGCAGAACTGCTGTGCCGAAAAGGAATGCTGTGAGGCAGTCCGGGTAAGCCAACCACAACGATTTCTTAACGATTATTTGCTTATCGATTATTTGATTTCTTTCTGTATAAATATAATAGCACACAATTTCCTGCGGCGGCGGCATTGGCATCTTCTTGGTGGTCACCTCAACGTACATCATTGTGATTAGGGGACGACGCGCCTGCCTCTGGGGCTCATTATATCTGGATGATTTCGATGAGGAGGATCGTGATCTCAAGTGAGTAACTCAATCGATTACAATCGATTACAATCGATATTTTGGGACTAATATAAAATACGCATCAATCTTCAAAAATATAATTATTTATGTGAATTTCTTGCAAACTTATTTAGGCTTTCTTTGGAAACAAGCTTCAATTAGCATATATATTTAATATATTCCAAATACAGAATATATTCTACAGTTATTTATTGTTATTTATATCTTTCTCTCTTTCGAATGTAGACGTGGCAAGCCGCTTTATCTGAGTCAGGATCGCTTCAATCTGCTGGAATCACAGTGGCTGTCGCACAAGTTCGCACACACGAAGCACACGTGGGTGTTCCATCGGGATCTCTTGTGAAACATGGAAGACTTATTGCGCAGCATCCAGGAGCTGGTTGGCCAGATCTAAGCGATCGAATCGAACCCGAACCCCCCGGATATAGAGGCGGGAGGAGAAACGCGCACCAAAACGAAAGCAAAAAACCTGCAAACTGCAAACGGCAAACTGCATTATTGGTCTAAAATCCGCTACTCATTTTCATCCCCCGCCATGTCCACTTCCACTTCATTCGCCGCCTCATCCTCCTCCAGCTGCACCCGTATTGTTGTGTTGCCCAGATATACAAGCAAATTCAAGCTGCAATTTGATTATATAAATTTCTATAAATATTTATAGTCGAATTGCTGCTCTGACATATATATATACATAATTATAAATATATATATTTATATGGGCAACTAATAATATAGTTCACACAGAGTCATATTTAACATTAATATTTAGGCAAAGCGACAAAGATATCCACACTCAATATACATAAATATTAATCTAAATATATATATATATATATATATATATATAACTATATATGTTTATGTGTATATTATATATTCATATATATATATATATATACATATATATATATTTGTTATATGCGTAACAGAAAAAAGAACACAATACATACTTAAAATAACTTTCTAAACAAAAACATTGACCTACAAATATTGTTGCGTGTTTTTTGCTCTAATCGGAACTAAAAATCGATATGCCTATATACATATATATATATAAATTATATAAATTGGATATCGATTGGTATATTCATCTATATATACATATACATATGTATTTACTTGAGTAAGTCTTGATATTTGGTTAGGTTTATTTAAGCTACACACACACACTCACATACACACTCACACACTCACTCACACACACACTCACACACACACTCACTCACACACACACAACCTTTGGCCTCATGAGTTTGTGCATGTAAAAAACGAAAACGAAGTAAATAAAAAGTAAAGAATTAATTTAGTTTTAAGAATAAAGAGAACGTAGCAATATGCATAAATATATATGTATGTATATAAAAAATATATAATATATATGTTTACCAAATCAACATATGCAACAACATTTATAACGTAATCAAAAACAAAAAGAGTCCAACACGAAAAACGAATGTTAAATACAAATAAGCGTATTGTGAGAATTGTAAGAATTGTGAGAATTGCTTAGGAAATTAGTAAAGGAACATGGCAGGCGGGCGTGGCAGGAGGGCGTGCAAGTAAGAGAGAAAGAGCGAGAAAGAAAGACGAATGGCGAAATACAGAGAATAGAGGGAGACAGAGAGAGAGAGAGAGAGAGAGCGCTTAGGTAAAAATATAGAATCACATCGATCGAAAAAGGTATGAATTGTATAAAAATGTTTGTGAATTTGTTATCAGTAATTCTAACAAAAATAATTGCAATATAGTATTTGTTTGCTATACAATTGTATAATAATAATTAGTTGAGATCAGATCAAGCAGGATCTTAGCAACAACTATTACAACTATACATAAAAGTATCTTTTTTTTTGTTTATTCAATTTCTGTTTGGAATCCTCAATACTAGAATTAGGTATAAAAACAACAAGTTTTGTCTAAATTGTCAATTCGTGAAAACTTTGTATTTTACTTTAAATTACAGGTGCAATAATTGAGGAAGCACAAAACGATTTATATAAATTTCGTCGGTAATTTTTACATAAAGTTCATTTCCTCTCTGAAGGATGATTATCGGGCTCTCTGTTGTTGTTGTTTCATTTCTCAATGTTTTTTTTATTTGCTTTTTTTAAATATTTTTTTTTACTTCTCGCCTCTAATCTAAATTTATCAATTTGAAAAGCGAGGAAAAGTGTGTGTGTAAAATGATGTTTTTTTTCTTTCAATTTTTTGTTCATTGTTCGTTGATCTTTGTGTTTTGTGGCGTATTATAATTGTAAATATTAAATAGAAACCCAAATTTCAATTATTGTAATAATCATATGCATATATATATATATATATATATATATGTATATATGTAAATGTAAGAGAAATGCATCAAAGTTATTTAGCAAAAGACAGAAAGGAGCAGAAACTGCGTGTACTGGATATACATACATAAATAAATTAATAATTGCATGCATCAAACATTACGTTTACATATTTAAACTATATAGAAAAGAAAAGAAAAACTCAAAATGTAAAAGCAAAAATCGATTATCTTTTTTTTTTTGCTAGTTTTTAATTAATAATATATCGAATTTTTTTGGTTTTGCGTTGATATATAACTAAGTATATATATATACATATATTAATGTATTGGCAAAGGCACGCTATGCAATAAATATTTCGATAAGTGTCGACATATATCGATACCTATTGAACGGTTATGGCTCGCGCAATTCCCTAAATAAATTTAAATTCGAAATGAATAAATGCAAAAAAATGTGTGTTTTGTTTTCATTTCTATTTATTTTCAGATATATCTACATCGATTAATAAACAAAGAACAAGTAAAGCATTTAGATAGATTTCGAATTATGAAGGATCTTGAGCTTTGGACCTACTTACTGAGAGGACATGATGCATCCTTGATTTCGTCGACTTAGAGCTGTTTTTTGTAAAGAAAGTAATGCGACTTTAAGTCGCAACTCATACGTCAGAGCAGTTCGTCCTTGTAGTTTCCGAGAGAAAACAGGGATTCCATTTGCTCCGACAGTCCAAGTGTTTGGGCTCTTAGATGACACCCCATAATTATTGAATGCACTTCGATGGCATTGGTCCTTCACAAATCCATGAATATATTTCTTTAATTGTTTCAGCTTTTTATGATTCCAATCGAATGCTTTCAAACGTTGCATTTTCTAAAATCAATTCTTACATTTGTTATAAGGAACAGGAACGGGAAAATTATAAGTAAAATAGTTTGTCGTTTCACATTTGTGTTTATTTAATTTACATTTTCACTTGCTCATCTTAAAAAAAATTCGACCATAAAAACAAACGATTTATTTCAGTTTTTATTAGCTAATACAAAAAATATGTGTGTGCTTTTGAGTTGTTTTTTTTTTTTTGGTGTGGGCCTTGCTATCAGGATATCAGTGGATCTATATGAATAGTGTGGAATGGAGTGGGTGCGGACTCGGTGATAGAGAAAGACTGAGAGAGAGAGAGAGATAGAGAGAGAGGGGGAGGGATAGAGAGAGAGGGGGAGAGATAGAGATAGAGAGCTCCGATTTGTCGCATATATGTCAAATATATCGCAAAAAAAAAATAGATATATATATAGCTCTATGTGATGTATACATCATGTATGTACAGGGTGGCTGAGTGTCGTATCTGTGTGTGTGTGATTAGCTAAAGCTATGCCTAAATATGCTATACACTTACAGTATATAATTAAACAATATAACGATTTCATTGTCTGTTTTACTTAACGATTAATGGAGATTCTGATTAGCCAGGCTGCGTCTACTTCACAGCTCCTGCTGCTTCTGCTTCTGCTTCTGCTTCGGCAGCAGCCTTAGCTTTATCTGATCATGCTCCTGCTCCTTCGGCTATTTAAACTAACAACTATAAAAATATCTCAGACAGACGACGATTGATGATTGGCGCCTTTTCGCACAATTTATAGCTAGTTTTTGGTATCGTTATTTGTTGTATTCCCCTGCTGTTTATCCATCACCTGCTGTTTTTCCACCACCTGCTCGTGTTCGAGCTCGTGTTCGTCTTGCTCCGTCCTCTTGCTGGTTGGAGGCGTTGTTTGGGTTGTCGCCTCGGCCTTTATGGATGGACTGGCTTCTGGCTCGGCTATGCTCGCCGTGTTCGTCGCCTCCAACTTTCGTTTCACTCTCCCACTACTCTTATCGATCTCGTCCACGGCTATGGGCATCGTCAGATTGAACAGAGACGGCGTCGGCGTTTGGACACTGCGTTTGTCTGGCAACGTTGGCGTCGATTGCGTTGCCTTGTCCACTTTGTTCTCCATCTCCAGATCGAGCTCCACATCGGAGTCCAGTTCAGCCTCTGAGAACGATAGCGAATTGCCCGCCCGATGTACCTGGATGCGACGGCGATCCTGCAATCAAACACAATCACAATTGATGAATTGATGATACTGATGATGATGATGTTGATGATGATGATGACGAATACTAATTGTATTTACCGTATTTAAAGTGGTTGGCTCGGAGATATATCCATCGAAATCCTCATCCTCATCCTCGCTAAACAGATCCGGTGTACCCAGCCGCACATATGTCTCGGGCAGCTTGCACACGATCTGTGCCAGATCGATGAACGTGTATTCGTTGAGGGAGGCGTGATTGCCGCGCTTCGGTGGCTCCTTATTGAACCACTGATTGAACCGACCCAAGCGGCCCGCCTTCGCCATCGTATCGAAGTAGTTCTTACCAAACACATATCCCACGTCCCGAATCTCATCGAAACTGCCAAATGCAAGCGTTTTATATTTATCTATCGGCGGTCGTATATACTCGCAATAGTCCGAGTTTTTCACTTCCTGCAACCGAAGAGAAATCAAGGAGAAAAACATAAACAATAACAAAGAAATTAACCCATCAATGGATAATAAGATAAACTCGCAAACAGGCAACTAGTGAATGATTGACCCATCTTTATCTGGCAACAGATTTTTAATTGTTATTAGAAATACTCCTGCTGTACGCGGGACGAAATTTGCAATATATTAAAATCATGTTTCAATCATAATTTACTATTTCCATTGCCGATAACCGCCGTCAAAATCGAACAGAATCCACACAGATCACAGTGAGTTAACATTGTGGATTTAAATTTTTAATTGATCACTTTTTTTTGGGCTTGAAAATAAAATTTGAAATTTTTCTAATATTGCTATATATCCTAGTATCCGAGTATAATTCATCAAATTGTAAATATAGTAAAATTTCTATATTTTAAATATATATATTAAACTATTAATGTATAGATGACAAATTGAATTCATAATGTGCACCTGCTGGGCAGGTGACAGTTAACAGTGAAAGAGTGAGAGAGAGAGAGAGAGAGAAACTCACCTCCAATTGACGAACGCAGGAAACGTAGGCGAGACGCGATTGTATGTCGGGCAGATCAGGCACTTTGACCGGTGAGGTGAAGGGATTCCATTTCTTATAAAGCAGCCACCAGCCGCTCAGATCATCACCATAATTGGTCAGATCCGTGTCATCCTGTGAGCCCACATCGATGGCAATTATGTGTGCGGCGCCCAAATTGTGCATAACATCAGCTATGTTGTTATTGTTGTTGATTATGTAAGATAACATATGTATAAATAAGTGTTGGCAACAATTGTTAATGTTAGAACAATAATTTGTGTTAATCGAGATGTGTCCAGTTGAGCCAGAGTGTTGGATTCTTTTACCCGTGACTGTTACTGTTACTGTTAATGTTACCTGGGACATTGTTCGTATAGCATCCATCGAGCAGCAGGTGCCCATCGCGATAGTCACAGAAGGGGGGAAAGACGCCGGCAATGGACATGCTGGCGCGACAATAGCGCCACAGATGACCTGAACATAACGGTATCACGCAAAAAGGACAAGCGCACAGTTGTATGTATATATATGTGTGTGTGTGAGTCGACGTGGACAAGGTGTATGTTTGTTTGTTTTTGTGGGTAGGAGGGGGGCGAAGGGAGGTAAATAGAAAGAGAGAGAAAGAAAACACAATTTTATTGCCATTGTTGTGTGTGTCTACGTATGTATGTGTGTGTGTGTGTACAGTTAATTTTTTCCTTTTGTTTACTTTAGTGCAAAGATACGATGAAGATTCATGTTAAACTATTAAAATAAATCACATACAGATACGAAATAGATAAAGTTCAAAATCAACTAAAACGATAATAATATACATACATATGTACATATGCATTATTAGTGCATGTAAACAGTGTAAGCAAATACAATTTACAAATCGAAAAGAGAGCAAATTTAAATTAATTAATTTAGATCTGTGTTCTGTGTGCTCTGTTTGCCTTTGTATGTGTAAGTGGGGTAGGTGTATATATATATATACATGTGTATGCACACGTATGCGTATGTATGAGAAAATGCGTGAGAAACAAAAACGAAAACAAATGGCTACTTTGGCAATACGATCCACAGACTATTCTTATCGGCAACCGCAAGAATAACAGAATAACAACAACAACGACAACAGCAAGAGGAACGTGTGCGTGTTTGTAAGGAACGAGGGCGAAGGAGAGGGGTCTAGTCGAATAGAAGGAAACGAGTGTGCAACGCCAACCAGCATGGCTAATTAACAGTTAACAGTTGCAGTCAGAGACAAACATTAAATCCAACACTTTCTGCGCTCTCTATATTCCGAAAAATTTGATATTGAAAGATATGATTATCATCGTTGTGTTAGAGGAATCAAGAGGTGGTGGAGCGTTTGGTAAGGAGGGGAGGGGGGAAGGTAGGTAATCGTATTTCTAATTTTAGTTGCTAGTTGCTATTTACCTGGCAAATTATTAACATAGCCGCCATCCAGCAGAAGATGTCCATCTTGTGGATCGCATAACGGCGGCATATAACCGCTGAGTGACATTGAGGAGCGCACAAAACGCCACAGAGATCCTGAGACAGATTTTTTTTTTGTTTTTTTGTTTGCAAGTGAGCGAGCATTGTTATGTAAATGTTTGTGTGTGTGAGTGTATGTGTGTGTGTGTGCGTGTGGGAAGAGAAATAGAGAGAGAGAGAGAGAGAGAGAGAAACAGCTTTGAGTTTTGAGTTTGGTGAAGGCGAGCGAATGAAAATTAAAAACCAATCACATATCACGTTCATGAATTAGAATTTGTTTTATATTATTTTTGATCGAATTGGCAGCAGCAGGTTAGTTCTAGCCAAGAGACACCAACAAGAACGCACAACATACATATACATATATATGTAGAGGACAATGAAAGAGACAACGTGGAGGCCGATAATAAAAAAAAAAAAAACACACACACACAGACAGCAATAACATATTGGGGAGAAGCTCAGTAAGTCTCCAATTGGGCGACACATGAAGGAGGGGAAATTTGTCTCTTTTGTGTGGAGAGTGGAGTGCGTCAGTGCCTCTCTTTAAAGTGTGCAGCAAATGTATGTACGAGTGTATGTATGTATGTATGTATGTATGCATGTGTGTGTGTGTGTCTTTGTGTTTGTCCTACAAGCTACATACACACATACATATGTATACAGAAAGACTCAAACACCAAACCAATAACCAAATATTATGCACAAACTATAAATATATATATAATAAAATTCAATAAACTAAAACAAAACAATTGAAATAAAACAAAAGAAGCAAAAAAAAAAAACAAAAACAAGGCATCATCATTATAAGTGAAAGCAGCTTAAACTAAAAGAAAGCGTATGAATCTTAATTAAGCACCTAAATGAGTTGGTGTGCGAGAGAGATAGAGGGAGGTAGACAGAGGGAGAGATAGCAACAGCAGATGGTTGGAGATGTGTGGAATGATGAATGGATGCAGCACTCACCATTGGTGTGAATGCGATGGCAGCTGGCGGTTATGTCGGTGGTGAGCGTAAAATACGGTATCCATAGATCCTCGATGGTAACATCTCCAAAGGTGTCGTGTATGGTCTTGTTGAACTCACGGCCAGAGAACATCGATGTGATTGGATACGTTAAGTCCAACAGTTGAAGGAACCATTTTGTCATTTTCTGCATAAACAACATACATATAACAATCAAATTGATAAGTTTTCAACACGGATAAAAAACAGCTAGGAATGCATAATATATATATATATATATACAAGCAGGCTGTTAACCTACTTTTGATTCAAAAGGATTTAAATATGTTTAAAAAAAAACAAATAACATAATGCAATGATTATGTTAATGCTAATTTTAACATAATCATAAGCAGACTGTTAACATACTTTTGACCATTCGCGCGCCTTTTGCGTGACGGTGGTAATGTTGCGCTCCGAACACCAGAGGGCGCCCATTAGGGCGCCAATGCTTACACCTCCGACCATATCGATCGGTATACCCGCCTCCTGTATGGCCTTGAGCATGCCGATGTGTGCGGCGCCACGTGCACCGCCACCGCCCAAAACGAGTCCAATCGAATTGCCCGTTAGCCAGCGGGCAAGACGCGAGAAATCGGAATGCATATTGGGCTCGGATAGCAGCACGCGACTATAGAGATCGTTCTATAAATACAGAAAAAGCAGAAGAAGAATAAGAAGAGAAGATGAGACAGACAAATTTAAAAAGGATTCGATTCGATTCGATGCGAGTTGACTTACAATGCGATATTGGCTTTTGCGTGTGAAGATGCGCTTCACGCAAAGGACATGATGATGCTTGGTCACCCAGGGACGGGCATTTAGCCAGCTGAGCGTATTCGCCGGCTTCGCATTCGTCGTCTCCGGATAGAGGAGGACCAGTTCCTTTTGTGTTCGCATCGCCAGCTTGTCGATCTCGCGCTCGAATTTACCAACCAAATGCGAACGTTCCCCGAGACCAACAATTAAAATGACATCCGCTTGACGCATGCAGCGCTGTGTCCATGGACTCAGCGAGCTGTCGCACTGATACAATGTGATTATATTGCGATCCTCCTGCTGGGCCAGCCACGATGTCAAACGGTATTCGTTCGCCGTATCAAAGATGTTGACGCCCAACTGTTTGCCAACCACTTCTGAGGTCAGACGTAGCACAGGACCTGCAAATCGAATCGTAGAGGGAGCACACGACCGATAACGAAATGGAAATGTGAAATGGTTATGTTGTTGTTTTCTTTTTTACTCTGGTACCGACGGTGCTCGCAAGATTAAAACCAATAGTCCGGCTGTCCGTCCCCGATAAATCGATAATGCTTATCTGCCTCAATTTTAAAGATAGAGTCACCAAACTTGGAAGGTATATTTCAGACCACGCCCATCTACCATCTCTAATCAGAAATGCACGCATTTTCCACAATCTTTAAGCTCGGGCTCCCAAAACCGTTATACCTGGTTTATAACCATATATCTCACATAATTGGATAGCTAGTACGACCAAATTGGAAATTTATACTGCTAATAATACCCGCTATTTCAGACTTAAAGCTAGCTTAAACTTAAAAGGCAATTACTAGTAACCTCCTCCGGTCAAACGTGGAAGGTAGATGACTAGGAAACCCATCCTTCACAGATGGGTATTTCTTCCCCTTGTGCTGTTGCACCTGGTATGAGAACAGCTAGTATTGATGATCAGTATTAGAGTGCTTACCAATGGCGCACAGCGAATGGTATAGCTCGTAGGTGAAGGGCGTGAGGGGCACATCATCGGTGATGGGCACCAGGGCGACCGTGGAATACTTGTGCGTGACCGGATTGGCCTCGACCGGTGTACCGTACGCATTGCTGCCTCGCGTCTGCATCGAGCCGAGAAACCGATGACTGAGAAAACTGATCAGACGGGTGACGACAATCGGATAGCGCAACTTGATCGCATTGAACAGTCCTTCCGGCAGCTTGGCCAGCTCCGAGTCCCGCACCGCCATCACTGTCGTCGTACGCGATGTTTCCGTTATCATTTCGACAATGCCGACGAGATCACCCTTGCCATATTCACCGACAATTTCCTTTTTGCCGTTCGGTTGCGTGATGACGGAACGCATGCGTCCGCTTAGCACAATATAGGTGCTGTCACTGCTCTCGTCCTGCCGATAGACGGCACGTCCCGACTCCAGGAATATCCAGTCGAGGGCATAGTCACACTGACGCACCAGCGGCGACAGACGACGCACAACCCCATTGCCCAGACCGAGAACGATGCGCGGCCGCTGACGCATTATTCTGCAAAAGAGATGATTGAGCGGATATCGGGAATGAGACGAGTGTAATGGACAATGGGGAACTCAATTGGGGATTCGCTACTCACTGATAGATGGCGGCACGGCGTATAAAGGCAACGCGACTATTGTTCCTCGAACGGATCGTATAGGCGCTCGCTTCACCGGTGAGCATCGCCAGGCCACCGACAATCTCGCCGGGGTGCACAAAATGGATGAGCATCTCAGGTTTGGCGTCCTGCTTGGCGCTGGCACGCGTCGCATCCGCATTGCTCTGATAGACGGCCAAGTTGCCGGTCATAACGAACCAGATGCACACATCGTCCGCATTGCCCTCGGTGATTAGAGTCACGTTCGGTTCGAGTTCGCGGACAAGAACAAATTGTTCTATGATGTGGGCATCCTCCTCACCGAGTCCCAGCTCCCGACGCAGACTGTCAACGGCCGAGGATTGCACCAGCCGCTGATCGATCGTAGTGGGACTGGACGCTGTACTGGCTGCGGCAGCTTCACTCACATGCGCCGTAGAATTGCGTCGTGGTGAATTGAGGGATTGTTGCTGCTGCTGATAATGGTATAGATCAATGTAGGGCGCATCGCCATGCATCTCGTGATAGTGCAGGTTATTCGCATTGGGATTGGGATCCGGATCGGATAATGTGTGCTCCTCGCGCGACAAACGCAACATGGGCGATGTTGGTGTCCTTGTCGTGCCCGACGGACGTGACTGTGTTGCCTGCGACGTCTGCGACTGCACGTTGCTAGTTGTTTGTCCAGTTGCCATTGGATTGCTGCTATTCTTGTTCCGCATATGGTTCTGGACGAGCTCAGCGTTGAGGCCCAAATAGTTGCGCAGTGCTGTGAAGAGCACACGCTGCAGCCGGATCATTATCACCTGGATGACGCGGATCATCACATCCGGATTCTCATCAAACACCTCCTCGAAGGCCTGCCCCAAAAAATATATGCATATAATTGAAGAAGAAGAAGAAGGAGCAATTAGTGTTCGTACTAGTTTAATTACAAGCGAAAAACTTGAAAAACTCTTCTCTTTATAGCCAATGAAACTATCGCAAATGGTTACAAAAGGGTATACAAGTTTTGTGCCTGAGTATGTAACAGGCAGAAGAAGGCATCTCTGACCCCATCAACTATAAACATATATATGTATTCTTGATCAGGTGCAACAGTCGGATCTCAGAGACTATACTAGCTAAAGACTTCATTCTGAATATATGTTTTTGTATACCTCGCACAGATCAAGTTGGGGTTGACGTCTTATCGTAATCGTGATCAGTCTGACTACTGAATTCTTACTCTTCTATTCATTTCAATTTGAATATTGAATTTTACTTTTTAAATTAGTTTATTTTCTACTTTTTATCTTTTTTTTCTATTTAGAATTTAGAATTCAGTAAAACAAAATAAATACATGAATGATGCTGTTCGAGCGAGTTCGACTAGGACATACCCTGGGAAAATTAACTCGTCTGCTATACAGCTGATGTGGTCGGCTTTCTTTAAACTGTTACATACTTTTCGACAACTTCAGCATACCCTCTATTTACGCCCAATTTCAATGAGTACAGGGTATAAGCAATAGTTTGAAATCACGAATGAAATCCCAATGGGAATGGGACAAAGCTGGTCGATTGTCTTACCTGCATTGGCAGCCGAATGACGACGGATTTCTCGATGGCCTTGGCCGTAACGGTTTTGTAGTAGCTTGAGTTGCCCGACAGGACATCAATGAAGCTGAGGAGCGAGGTGACAGACTCACCCTTGCGCACCGTTTTCAGTGAGAGTGTGCTGCCATCGGCATTGCAAATGTACACATTGATCATACCGGACTGTACGATATAGACACTATCATCGGGATCGGTGATCTTGAACAGATAATCGCCGGCCATTAGCTGCAGGATTTGGGTGTGTTTGCAGAGCTTCAGAAAGATCGGCTTCTCGAAATGCCCAAAGATGCGTATACTCTGGAGCATATAGAGTGCATCCGGCGGCACACGATCGCTGCCCTCGATTGTCTCCTCCAGATATTCGGCCGGTGGCTCCACCGTCTTCATCTCCAGCGGCCGATTCTCGCGCTGCAGCTGCAGAATTCGTCGGGCGAAACGCATTACGGCCCGCCGCTTGTAGCCCTTCCCGCTGCTGTACATCTGTCCGCTCACGTTCTTCATTTTGCGCAGCATCCGGCGGCCATAGAAGAGCATCTTGTCACGTTTCCGAAACCGCAAGCCTCGATGATCGACACCCGTCGCCGCCGAGGTCACCGCACTCAGCGATCGGGCAATCTCATCCCGGAGACGGAGACGTGCCAAGCGTTTAAAGTACAGGAACCACACGAATAACAACACTCCGAGCAAAAACAGAGCGCCGTACCAGTACACCTGCAATCGATATAACGAAATAAAAGTTATCGATAACAATGATAATGCACGGAGTGTTTAAGTGTGTCTCTCAGAAATCGAAGAAGAAGACTAGAATCAGTGTTAAGGCATATTTGCAGATTAAAAACAAAATATCGTTTGTGGAACCTAAAAAAAAGCTTGCAAAGATCTGCTGAGTGCCAAACAGCATCACTTAATTAATTTTCCCGCCGCTACACTCTTTATTTAAGACACTTTTTACTTTCAAATCATTAGCTTTCCCACAATTTACATTTGCAATTTCGATGCACCTGTTGTTTTCATGTGAATTTCATGATTAGATATTTCAAATACATTATTTGTACACCGTCGGACAACTGTTCCCAAAATCCACACAGCTTAACAGTGGGTTAACAGTATGGATTTCATTTTAGCGGTCTTTAAGCAAAACCAAAATAAGACCATTTTTGCAGAGTGGACCAATTTTATAGTTGAGAAAAAACCCATGCATTTAATATCATTGCCTACACACATAAATGATAGTCATGTCTTTTAAATATGAAGCTTCAGAACTAAGATACGTGAGTATTTCAACTCGACTGGGCTGATATTGATCGGGAATACATATGTATGTGTATATATATAAATATATACATATATACACATATGGACTTTAACGCGTTACACATTTTGTCACAATTTTGAAACACCTGCAACACTCTCTATACACAACACACATACACATGCATATGCATACTTGCCCATCTCTCATTTCAAGCACAAGCTAAAATTTATGCATATGAGCAGAGCGCTTTAACAGCCTCACTCAATCTTACTCAATCACTCTCTTACAAGCGCACACTCAAACTCTCTCTCCCTCTCTCTCTCTCTCTCTCTCTCTTTCTCTCTCTCTTTCTCTCTCTCACACACACACACACATACACACGTCTTCCTTTGAATTGACACTTTTTTTGCATGCAGTCGCTCAATGTTAATGTTAATGTTGACGTCGCTTCGCTGTCAACACTTGCTGTTGTTGTTATTGCTTTTGCTGTTATGCATGCCGCTGCCTTTTCCGCATTTGCTGCTGCTATTATAGTTGTTGTTGTTAATATTTGTTTATGGTTTATTTTTGTAACAGGTTTCAGTGTTCAAGTGCGGCAAATATAAATCAAAACAACTGAGGCAGAGGCATAGCAAATTCAAATTGGAATTGCCGTAGACGCAATTATAAAACAACAATGGCACCAACAAAGATTGATAATTTTGTTGCCGATGGTCTTATTTTCAATTAATTGCAAAAAATCGTAACAGGTGCTTTTACCAGCTGCTGCTGACGTCCCAGTCACGATAACACAATTTTCTAAATAACTGCGATTTCTTTGTACAGTACATAAACACATACATACATATGTGAGTAACTGGTACGCACGTATCATGTATGTGTGTGTGAAGTATGCACACGCACTTGCCATCAGTCTTTTTATTCCTTATGCCTTATACTTCGTCTGTGTCCAGTGAAACGGGTATGCCAAAGTTATGTGCATGCAATAAGCAGAACAAACATATACATATATATATATATATATATTCCACATCAGCAAAACAGCTAGAGATTCGAAATGTGAATATAAAAACAAAATTGAAATTCTTGGTTCAATTGTAGGGTATTTCATGGTCATACACCCAACAACAAAAATGCGCTGTTGTTGTTATTATTGTCTTTTTGGATCAACGCCTGGCAACAAGTCACAAGGCAAGAGCAAAGCACAACAAAAGAAGTAGAAACAGATAAAAAAAAAAGAAGAAGACAGTTCCCAATTGATTTGGCCCCAAGGGGTTAATTGAATTATTGTAAACTGATTTTGACTGGAGCAGTAGGGGATTGTGGATGGTGGTGGGTGGTTGTTGGTTTATCTACACGCGCACATTATTTAACGGAAAAACAAAATCCCAATGACTAATCAAAATTGTAATCAGTTATGGGCTAAGCACTCTTGATGCGCTTTCGGGGTCAGGCTTTAAGTTATTGTAAGATAAGAAAGAAAACACACACACACACACATAGATAGAGAGAGAGAGAGAGAGTCAAATCTATGCATGCATGTGCGAACGTGTTTACATAAGAAGGTTTGCAGCTTTTTTTTTTGTCTGCGAATCAAAATCAAAGCAAGCGAACGTTTATGTTGACGGAAGTGTGCGCAAAAAAATAAATATGAAAAAAAAATCCCAAGCAGACACACACATACACACACACACACACACGTATATGGCTTGCGCGTGTGATAGCCTAAAAGATCTTTTGTATCGAGATGAAATGATAAACACTTAGCAGCAACAACTACAACTACAGCTAAAACTATTTCTTGGTACACTGGCAGTAACAAAAATATGTTCATCCATTATGCGATGTGAAATTTTGAAAAGTAAATATTTAAAAGTGAGAACTTTGCCAGTTTGTAATCAATAAAAAAAACCGCGTACATAATTTATAAACTTCACGCATGGGTGGCTTATAAATGTTTAACATAACAATTGATTATCCTTTGTTAAATAAAGAAGTCGGATTTAGGTACATGTGTACCACACTGTGTACATGCCTATGGGAAAATAACAGTAACAGTAGCTGTTAAGGCACGTGCAATGATCAGAGGCCTTTTTTTTCTTTCATTCGTCAAGACACAAACCAAATATCCTGCCCTTAACATGAGTCATGACGAGCCCATTTCCCCCACAAAACGCAATCGGTACTATGACAAATAAACAAAGAAAAATACACAAAACGATGTTTGCTTTATTTGACAGCTGCTCCGTACACACATGTGTGTGTGTGTGAGATGTGTGTGTGTGTGTGTATGAGTGTTGTAGACTTACCGCTGCTGCGATTTGTTTGTGCACATATTGATGCCAGGCTTCGGAGAATATTGTATTATAACAGCCGGTGGCGCTCGCACGGAGCAGCTCCAGGACATCCATCTGTTCCTCCTGTTCTTATTGTTGTTGTTGTTCTCCTTCTTTGCACGCCTAAACGGGTCGCCTGAGTTGTTATTGTTGATATTGAAAATGCGGAAATGCTTTTGCAATAGTTGTTTGTTGTTGGTTGTTTTCCTGTTTTTTCTTTTTGTTTTTGTGACCACCCCCGCCAAATCGCAGTCGCAAACAAAACGTTTGTCAGTAAGCAAGCGGGAGATAGACGGAGAAAGCGAGAGCGACAGACAGAGACGGAGCGAGGTAGTGTGACAAGAGAACGTTTTGTTATTGTTGTTTTGCTACGTTCTCGGCTGCGACCGCTGCAGTTGTTGTTGTTGTTGGTTTACTTTGTTGAATGCTGTGTGCACTTGGGTTTGTGCATTGGATATTAGCTGTGTCCAACCCCCTCTTGACACAGCACACAGTACACAATTGTAGATTTGAGCGTTTTTTTTATATGTATGACGTACATATACATAAGCAAACACACATACGTATGTGTGTGTGTGTGTATAGATTATTTATTTGCTTTGTGCAATTCTTGTTTGTTTTTTTTCATTGTATTGCACGCGCCATCCTCTCACGCATTCAATGTTGGTTGTTGTTGTTTGAGGCGTTCCCCCGCCCCAACACCCCTTTCCGGTTGGGCTGCTTATCACCGAAAGTGCAACAAAACAAATATTTAAAAAAAATATAAAATATTTAAAAAAAAAATATGTTCGACAACGATTGTTTGATTGTTGTTCTCTTTTGGTTGTTTGTTGGCCCTCTTTCTCACTCCCTCACACTGCCGCGTTGTGAGGTAATTTTGATTTCTAAATTAAAGTAAAGTAAACTAAACTAAACTGGCCAAAACAGAAAGAAATCAGCGTCAAATGCGTATTTTGTTCTATTGAAAAACGTTGCAAGTAGTTGTTCTGGGTGCCCACAACACAATACGACGCACAACGTACACCGTATCCGCCACACACAATATAATTGGGATCACGAAAAATTTCAGATTTAAGTTAACTTAAGCATTATTCTGCTTCGATTTTGATTCGCGTTGTTCTGTTTCTGGCTGTGTGACCAGCCTGTCAACTTGACTTGCCTGCTGTGCAACAGCTGTTAACCACACACGCACACATACACTCACACACACGCCCTCTCACACACACATGCATACAGGCATTCACATTAACATTGGTGCTGCCAACTTGGTGACAAGCGCGTTGACAAGTCTCTGCTACAAATTCGAAACGATTAACAGTTGACTGCAATTTGCTATTTGTCTTATTTTTTGTTGTTTCTCGTTTGGTTAATTTCTTTTAATTGTATGTATTTGTTTTTTTTTTGTACAGCTCATAATTGACTTGTTTAAAATTTCTGAAAATCACACGGCATGCAATGCACAAATACTTTAACTTTGAAAATATGCAGTGATTAACAACTGTAACATTTTTGTGCATATGCTGTGTGTAAGTGCGTGTGTGTGTGCGTGCGCGCGCGTGTGTATGTGTGTGGGCTATTATAAATATTAATGGATTGTTTATTTAAGGATTTGGTACGGCTAAGCCGTCTGCAGCGCAAAACTCCGAACGACGGTGAAATCTGCAGCTGCACTTTTAGAGATGAGCGAGTGACACGACAATTTATATTTAATAATAACACAATTAACAGAGCTGACTTAAGCAAGAAAATCAAGAGAAAACAACTAAAATTGTGGAGTATACATTTTTTTAAAATAAAATATTAATACGATTTTCGTTTGCATATTCAAATAATTCAATTTACAAATTGTGGGTCGTGTCTGACTCGTGTTAAATTACAAAACGAAAAAACCACCTTTCGCGGCCATTTCTAGCTTGCAGACATTCAGACATTTTGGCTTTTAACACACTCTCATTACGTTCGAAAAGTCCGAACCGAAAAGTAACGTGCCAAATGGATGTAATGAAAAGCAATAACGCTAATGCCGAGTGCATCCAAAAAGAAATACATATGTAGATTGGATGGGTGGCTGGATGGATGCATGATGCATTCAAGAAATTAACAGAGCATGGCGCCAGTTGAGTTTGCCAAGCATGTTAAGTAGTCGATTGCAGTTGGCACGTTAGGCTGGCTGGCTGGCTGGTTGGCTACTTAATCTACTAATTTGGCTTGTAGGGATAGCTGTAAACCAAATGGCGTGGCGTCAGTTATCTAGCGGCAATTCGTCAAGTTCAAGTTATGCGCATTTCCTTTGCCCATTTACCGTTACAAATGTTGTATTTATTTATTTTTATTTTATTTTTTTTCAAATCAACGTCCTAACAGCACTTTCGCCAAGTTGGCAAGACTTGCCACAGTGCACAATGTTAATTAACAGTCCAATATAACATGTGTGTAGAAGACACTGTTAATTGGCGTTAGCAGCATCGAAATGAGTTTGCAAAATTGCGAATACGTAACTAAACTTACTTGTCTCGTTTTTATGCTAACTCTGCTACGCGTCTTGCGTTTAATTGTGAGGATTTTTCTTATGCATTGGCTCTTGTAAATGGCATACATATATTTGTGATGCTCAAAATTGCGTTAACAGACATGCTGCGCTAACAGCCCATTAGCATTATGTTAGAAAGCGGTTCGATTTAAATTGTATATGGCTCTGGCAACGGGTTTTCATTCCAATTTGAGAGCAAGTCGTGAGCGGTTGTGTTCTTTATCCGAATTATTGTGGTCCTATTTGTGCGCGCATGCGTCTGTCAGCTAATTTGAAAAAATCGTGAAAAAATCCTTTTGCCATACAAAAAAAAGAAACGCACACACACACGAGTGTGAACAGGCGCGCCAGCAGAAAAAATCAAAACCATTCAATTCGAAAAAAAAGAAACAAATTAAATACTGACAAATTTAATTTACCTGAGAAAAAGCAATCAACATATATATATTTTTAATAATTATCGTCTGTGATTTGTTTACGTTTTTTTTCTGATTTTTTAATTGTGAATGGAACTCGAACTGCGGCCAAACTTGTTCATCAATCCAACTAAATTCGTTTTGGAGAAGTGAAGGGTGCTACAGACTTACACACATATACACACGCACGCACGCACACCAAACACACAGAGAGACGCGCGAATACAACTCTACACACAGACGTAGTAGTTGAAACACCGGCAAAAGCAAAAGAGGAGCGCAAATAGAAAACGGCAAAGAAAGAAAAACTAAAGCTTAACGAAAGCGGAGCAAAGATAAAGAGCGTCAAGGAGACACAGAGAGATAGAGAGCGAGAGAGAGACCGGTCGTGCAAAGGATAACAAGCAGAAACGACCATTTAAAACGGTAATTTAACAACAAGAAACCAAAATCCAACAACAACAAAAATATCAAACATTAAGCGAGGCTCAACGAACAGCAAAGAAAGTAAGTGAATTCCTTTCAACATGCCTTGTCCCCCAAACATGGCACCAAATGCACTCCCAGCCCAGCTCTTCTTCTCTTTAACACACACACACATATATCTATATATACATACACACACACTCAACACAGAGACACATGTATATACATACATTTCTTTCTCGTTATCTCGCTCTTGCTCCAGTTGCAGGTGTAAGCGCTTCAAGTTTGAAGCTTGCTTCATCTTTGCTTTTGCCCCGTCATAAAATCTATGGCAGCTTCATTTCATAGGTTTTGATTATCAGCTTCTCCTTTTCTTTGGCTTCGGGTTCGTCTGCTGCTGTTGCTTCTTGGTTTGCTGTTGGCATTGTTTTTTCCGCGCCTCGTTGTTGACTTTTCCAACTATGGGTAATTGCTTTGACATTGGCATTCACTGCCATCATTAAGCTCGCTCTCCCGCTTGCTTTGTCTCTCGCATGCTCTCTTCTCTGTGTGTCTCTCTGTCAGCGTTGGCCAGATGAGTGATGATTACCTGCAAATTTCTCTGCTTCTTGTTCATCATCATCTTCTTGCTTTCTTGTTCTTGGTCTCAATCAAAGACAGCACGCAAAAGCTAACAGATGTAACACGCACCCTAACACCGTTCACGGCACACACACACACACATATTGTATGGATGTGTGTGTGTATATACATTCCTAACTGTTCTTGTCAATCAATTTGTTGGCTGGCGCTCTTTAACCGAGACATTCGCATTTTATTAACTGTAGATTGCGCTGATTCTGATTCTCAATTGCAGCAGCATCTAATGTCAACTTTCAGTGCTGAGCGCTTAGCTTTTATTTCTCTGGCTTGAATTTTTAGCGTTTTCTTTTTCGTGCTCGTATTTTCCTTTGTTCCTTTGGAAAAAAAACAGGAGAATTTCGTGTGTATCTCTTGTTCTCCATTCTGCGCCTGCTGCCATTGCTGCTGTTGGGCGTGTGCTTTATGCGACGACACCACGCCCACCCCCTGCTGCTGCGTTTTCGTTTCAGCTTCATTTTGCACGCACGCCGTCGTTCTCCGTTTTCCCTTGTCTCCCCCATCCTGTCACTGCCGCGGCTGCTGCTGCTGCTGGCAAATCAATAACTCTCCAACAGGATTTGCATTCGAGCCATAGCAATTAGCAATTTGTATGCCAGACAATAAATGCTGCGCTACCTTCACCCCACTCCCCCACCTTTACTGAGTCACGTTCCCTTATATATATATATATATATATGTATACATGTGTATGTGTCTTCGACTTGAGTTTGGATTGCATTGTCAACCCAACGATTTTAGCTCGAATCGAATGCTTCCGTTGTGCGCCGGAAATCAGGTATATATATATATATAAACACATACACACGCGCATACGCTTCACTTGACTTTAGTGCTGGAAGAGAAGCCCCATTGTCGCCAGACACAATCGTCTTCTGGCTCAAGACAATAATGCACAAGCCATATTACAGTGGACCCTCAATAGAGTGAATCATGAATTGCTTTTGTTTCTTTTTTGTAATAAACACAAGTGCAGCTGTGCATTTAAAGATGAGTCTATTTTCTCGCAAATAAAATGAAATAAAATGGTGAAATTATATATTTTATTTTTTATCGGAAATCTTTTTACCGATGAAATCTAATAAATTAAGTGACAGTTTGAGTAGACAGCGCTTTGATGAGTCATCAGAAATTATCATTTGTGTGAAATGAATGAGTAAGAAATATTTATAAGATTTCTGAAAGTACTTAAATGCAAAATAAAAAGCCGAATCAGATCGAAACAACTCAATTTTCACATTTAAATTAAATGGAATTTTGGGCGTGGTTCGAACATTGAATAATTTATCAATAATAATTAGGAAGACGTCAACCAGCATTCATTTAGCATCCACATTTGGTGGCAATTATTTATTTATCGATTCTTGGGCTTATCATGGACAACATGGACAAATATCTATTTCAACTTTTTCCATTACTGTTCATTTTATGTAGTGCACACTGTATGCAATGCATATGTTTTATTTATACATATGTCTATTTATCAACACCACCCTCCACCCCCATCCCACTGTAATGACAGTTTTGGCCATCAAGTGCAGCTGTCAGCTCAACAGAACAAAAAAAGAAGAAGAAAAACAGCAATAAGAACAACAACAAGAACAACAGCTGAAATAACCCAATAGAGCAAAACCGAAACGTGCATTTTACGCACAGTTTTTCCGATTACTTACAACCCGCATCCCGCACCCCGTTTCCCTAAATTACGTCCCCTATCCGCATTATTATTTTCTGTATGTTGGTTTGATTAATTGCATTTGATTTCGCTTTCGATTTGCAAGCACATGAAATATGTATGCTTATCTTAGCATATTTGGCATGCATTCGCATAACTTTTGAACTTTTTTGTTGTTTTCTTTACACATTTTTGTGCGTCAGTGCAAAGCTTTTGGCTTAACCCTTTTCTCGTTTGCTGTTTTTCTCTTCTTTTCATTTCTTTTCTTCTCTATTGTTTTCTTTTGTTTTGTTTTGTGCCCGGTGGGTCTCGCTATCCCTCTCTTGCTCACACCCTTTCGCTCTTTGTTCTGCTGCTGCTGCTGAGTCACGTCTGGCTGTTGTTGTTGTACTTTTGACTCCTTTTTTTTTGCCATTTTCGCTTTCAACACCGCCGCAATTGGCTTCAAACTATGCTTGTGATTCATATATATACATATATATGCATAATTTAGTCAGATATGATTGGTTTGTGTCTTTATCAATGCAACAACGCACTTGCTGCATATCAAATCAGTGGCGCCTTTTTTTCATTGAATACATTTGTTGTGCTATTTTTGGATTATTGTCGCAGCCATCTTTGTTGCTGTGTCTTTGGCTTCCTTTTCCTCTTGCTTACAATAATCATAATAATTGATATGCTTTATGCTGCTCTTGCTGCTGAACTCTGTGCGCAGTTCAATGCACCGCAATCTTTAGTGCACTTTACGGCGTTGCCAGGCAGCATCAACAACCAACATCAACAACCAACAACAACAACCAACAACAACAACCAACAACAACAACCAACAACAACAACAATTTCCGTTTGCCGATAAAACTCAAAAACTCTTTGACTTTTCTTTCTTTCTCGTTTCTCTCTCTCCCCCCTCTCGCACCCTGAATTTTAGTGCATTATAGCTGGCAGCTATGGCACTCGTGCGCTTTTGATTTATGCGCCCGCTTTAAAGTGCGCCCGTGGCCTTTATTGTCGTCGTCATCATCGTGATCTTCAGCTTGAAGGAGGTGTCGTTGTAAATTCATTTTGTTCAAAATTTCCACACACGCACACACACATGTGCAAGTGCAAGTTCAGCTTAAACGGGTTAAGCTGTTTCTTTTCAATATTGCAATATCGATACTTGTCTGTCTGCGTCTAAATATCAAGCAGCCTTCGTCTTCGCCTTGCCGCCTCCTTACCCGTCATACGAAAAGCTGTCTGCTATGTTATTTGCGGGGCTACAAAATATTTATGCTCATTGTTATTAAATATTTTTATACATTTTCTGTTACGCCTTTTATTAATGTGCATGCCTCCGCCTGAAGACTTTCTATGTGTGTGTGTGTGTCTCTACGTAATTGATGCATAAATCATACCGAGTGGTAGTAATTTCAACGCTGCACAACAGTTAACTGTTTTGCTACAGATGTGTAAGTGGTGTGGAATAGGAGGGGACGGATGGTTTGTATAAAGACAAAGAGAGATGTTTACATTTGAACAGTGCAACTCGACTAGAGTTATTTATGCGCTGCGTTCAATCAACCAAAGCAAAGCAAAACCAATCCAATCCAAATTACATACAAGATGCCAGCACCAACAACAATAGCTGAAGCGCAAAAAGATAAAAAAAAAATAAGTAAAACCCGAAACCGTTTTTGTTCGCTTGCCCTGGCCATTTTTAGTGGCTTTCATTGATTTCTCTAACTTTTTTATTTTAAGATCATTTCATATTGTGTGTGTTGGCTAGCCTTGTTGATATTGATTTTTTGATTGTTTTCAAAGATCAAACTCAAGCAAAACTAACTGTATATGCAGAAAATAAAAAAAAGCTCCGGTTTGCTATCTCTATCTCTTTCTTGCTCCCATGCACCTACGATGCCGTCGTTAAACAAGTTCATTCACAATTTCCATTACAAATGAAGCGAACGTTGTTCTAACGGTTTTTGCCAAAAGTCGACGCTCCCTCACTCTCTCTCTCTCTCTCTCTGTCTTTCTCTCTCTCAGTGCATCTGTTCATTTTTGACATCTTTGAAACTTTTACTTTTTTCCTCTTTTTTTCGTCCAATCAAAAAACAATTTGTTGATTCGTCGCGTAATAATTGATTACTGCACTTGTTTTAGGCGCTTTCTAAAAAAAAATTGCTGAAAACAAAACATGTTAAAGTGGTCTATGTGTACGTGTGTGTGTGTGTCTTTATAATTGTACAATTTGTAATTATGAAAACAATTGGAAAGGTGCTGCTTGCGGGCAAAAAAAATGATTGCACCGTTTTTACTGTTTAATTGCGAGTCGATGGCTTGCTTTTTTAAGGCTTCAATTTCGCCGCCGCAAAAACCGCAAGCCTGCATTATTATTTTTTTTTTCTTCTTTTTTTTGTATATAAATAACAAGCATAACAATAATCAAGCAAAACGACAACAACAACTACAGCCTCGGACTAAGTATTATTAATCGCCCACAAGTTGTTGTGCTTCTTCTTCTTCTTGCTGCTGCTGGCATCGAAAATCTTTTGCATTTAACGAGTACTTTTCAAGTCTCGACATCGTTTTTGCATTCTTGACAGCCATAAAAAGTCCCAGTCGCAGCCATAGACACACAGCAATATGACCGAGGAGGGAGAGAGAGACAGGGACAGGGCGACACGCCCAACCCGCACAGTGGTGCCGTGCACCCATATATTAACTGTGTACCCAATATTTATCTATGCGTGTGTGCACTCAAGGGCAGAAAAAAAACTTTTATTAGCCAGCGGTAATAAAATCTTAAGTGGCATGGCGTACCCGAAAAAAAAACTAAAATGCAACTGAACCCAAAATACTCTAAATTCTAAAGAAACATAAAATATATTTCCATATTTTATAATTTTACTTATATTTGATCTGAACATGGTGAAAATTGCATAAAGGGGGGATTAAAAGAATTACTTTAAATTTATCCTTATGCACAGTGTAAAACTCTGTATTTTTCTAGGTGTTTTTCGATTTGCAAGTATTCGTTTATTTATGATTCTTACAAAGTACCGTAAATTACATGGTACATTTATAGAATGGGATTAATCGCAGAAGCTGCTTTGTGGTGGACCAGTGTGCAGTGTGATCCTTCTGCCTTTCTTCACCCCATTCTGAGGCACCTGCACACACACACGTACATATACATACGTATGTATATGAATGTGTGTATGCATGAGTGTATACAATGCAAATGAGACGCTCTGCTGAGCAGCAGCAACAGCAGCAACTTGAAAGTTAAAAACGAAGACGTGGGCCACTCTAATATTTATATCTGCGTTCCTCCTTTCTGATGGCTCTATCTGTACATCCGTACGTTTTTGTGTGTGTGTGTGAGTGAGTATTTTTAGAACGTTGTTGCTGCCTGCTTAAAAGTCGAGATTTGGAGCGTCAGCATGTGTTGTAATTTTTTTTTTTATAATACGCGACGTCTCGTGAGACTGGCCAGCTAAGCTAACATGACCATTGACAGCAAGCAGCTCACAATAAATTTATGTATGAATGTTTGTGTTGCTGCTGTTTCTAAGTCTTCTGCTTCATTTTCTTGTTGTTACAGTTAAAATATACCGTATGTTTTGTGCAGTAGCAGCAGCAGCAAGCAAACATTGCAGCAGCAACAGCAAACATTCATACATAAATTTATTGTGAGTTGTTTGCTGTCATTGATCATGTTAGTTTAGATGGCCAGCCTCACGAGACGTCGAGTATTAAAAAAAGTATTAAAAAAAATTACGGCACATGCTGTCGCTGATTTAGTTCAAATTGTATGCAGATTAGCTCCACAAAGTTTTTCGTTCTCCGTTTTTCCCCACTTCAACCTCTCCCCCATCCCATTCACCGTTTTCTAATTCCTTTCTTTCTTTCGCCTTATACAACATATGCATAATTGCAGCAGCAGCAGCAGCAGCTGTTGATGAGCTCGCATTGTTTGAATCTGTGCGTGTGCTGTGCGTTTATCAGTTTACCGTTATCATTAACAAGCTACACACGCAGATGAGCGAAAGAGTGAGCGAGCTAGCAAATGAGCTGAGGCCACACATAGTACGCAAAAAATACGAGAAAAAATGTTGCTGCCTGGTGAAAGGTGTGTGCGATGCGATAAAATTTCATTAGATTTTACATTTTCATAATTTGCTAAAAGCTCGTACACACAGTCGCACGCACACACCCATAAATATATTTATGTACGTATGTATATATGTGAGTATGTACATATGTATATACATGCAATCAATTTCATTTAATTAGATTGCGCTTAATAATGCCACACATGCTCCGTAAATATGGCAAGAGCCAATAATGTAATTTAATTGATTTGTGAGCAGCGCAGCAGCAGAAGCAATAATGTATCAAAGAAGAAGAAGCGGGCGACAGCGGTAAACTGCCCTAGCACTGATGCCACTCAATTTGATTGAGTGTATTTGTGTGTCTGTGTTTGTGAGTAAATGAGTTGTCGACTGTTGATGAGCTGAGCTCTACTTGAGGATTGCAGCTGTAAGCGCTGTTTTTCTTCTTTTTTTATTTCTTTTTGTTTCTTTTTTCTCTTGTTGGTGTTCTTGATCTCGATTTTGTTATGACTACTGCGCTGCTTGTTGGTGTTCCGCATGGCCATTGTTGCCAACACCATTTGCAGTAATTGGCGCTGCTGTCGGCTCTTCTTCTGCTAAACGAAATGCAACGGTGTTTAAACTGTTTGCGTCGCCACAGTGCCTTTCTTTCCATTCTTGCATTCGTACACACATATGTACATACATATATATTTGTTTCATTCCTGACTGCATATGTGTGTGTGTGTGTGTGTGTGTGTGTGTATGTATATGTATGCGCTGCTCAAATTGGCATATGCACAACTAAGTATGATTTAATACCCAGTAGGAATTCAAATAGTGTTAAGATGTACTACGACAGGAGTATCACTTAAAGTTACTTTATCTTTACCGTTTTGCACGGGTGCAAAATATCGATAATAAAATATTGCTGAATGTACTCTTGGGTATAAATTAAATGTCGTCATTTGTATACTTTTTTACAATAAACATATATTTTTATATGTGGTTTGCTAATTAGCTGTTGTACAAATGATGTGCAAATTATCATTTAAAGAAAGCAATTAATTTTCCAACTAATTTCGACTATTTGCGAAACAGATTTCTAGAACTGGCGCTATCGCATTTCAGGTTAACATGAAAATAGTATACATAAGGGGGAGGGGGGATTTCTGCTGCTGCTGACGTTACAAGAAAACAGCGATCATTGACTTCACTTTTTGCCAAAGCGTGAAATGTGGAAAGAGAAAGAAATCAACACCAACACACATACAAATGCAAACACACACACACACAAGTGTGCACACGCACACAGCGTTTTTTTATATTTCTTTTAAGATGCCAGATTATCATAATCCATTAAGGTGCAGGTTTTCATTTTCATTTTCATTTGCGTTTAATGTGATGGTAATCTGCCATCCGATTTGCCTTTGGCAAACATTTACCTTTTTTTCCGTTTTGTTTTGCTGGCATAGCCAACGCCTTATAATGAATGGAAATGAAAATCGTTTGGCCAAAATGGTCAGCCAACGCCTACTAAAATGACAACAGCAGCAGCAAAACAAACAAAAAGGAGTCACACTTTGGGCGTCGCCTCCTTTATTTATCATGTACAGTGCATATTTATATATATGTTTGTTGTTTTTTCGTTTGCTTTTTCTTGCTGCTGCCAATCAGGCACTGCAAGCAGCGCTCTCGGGCTTGGCTCGTTTCCCTTTTCTTTTTTTTTTTGCAGAATGAATGAGAAATGAAAACTAAGAACTACAGCAATATAATACAGCTGCGCACCTTTTGCCGACAGTTGTTGTCGTTCTCTTTGCCCACAATCAGTGTTGATCATTTGGCTTTTATTTTGTTGTGCCAAGTTTGGCTTGAATATTGCAGTTACAGGTTGTTTACAAAAATAAGTAATGAATTCAATTTTAAAAGAGATTCCAAATCAATTTGGTTCAAGATAAGAATAAATGATTTTGATTTGAGTTGAGCGGCAAATTTGGCTTGTTGAAGTTTGACTGTTTCAAGGCTGTTGGCAACACTGGTGCACATCAATAGCGTTTTTTTTTCTTCTGTTAAGTGCGCTGCCTGTGCTCGCTCCACAAATAAAAACGTACATAACTATCTGTTCCTGCATCTGGGCCGGCCCCACACACATACACACATCAAAATGTGAGTAACTTTTTACTGTCTCAGCCTGTCTTTAGCGTGTTTCTTCTTTTTGCGGCTTTTAGCCGGTTGAGTCATTCGAGTGATTCGCTAGCTCTGATTAGCAGGCACGCGTCACGCTAATGAGCCACACACTAACACACACACACACATGCATACAAGCATAAATAGCAGCAGTGATGTTAATAAAGCAAAGCTGCTTTCCAAAATGTTCAACGTCCGCTTTGAAATTATCGAATTACTCTCGTATCGATTACACGCTTAACATCGATGCTGTGGCAGTATCGATTTTTATTTAAATTGACGTTGTCATGTTGACTATTTGAATTTGCCGTTTCTGCTGCTGCTGCTGCTGGAGTTCATGTCGAAGTCGAAATCGGAGTCAGATCTGGCAACATGTGCCGTCGTCGTCGTTGTCAGCGTTGTTGTTGTCCTCGCTTCATGTAAAGTCAACAGCCAAAGTCTGACAAGAAGAAGAGAGTAGAAGAAGAAGAGGCCCATTGGCTTTATCTACGTTTCCTGTTCGACTTGGCGACATTGAATAAATGGCAGACCAATATCATCAGCGGGCCGCAGATATGTGCATACACACATATAAATATATATAGATATATTGCCTGTTCTGCATGCATGGCACACATGGCAGTCAGACTGGCAAGCTGTCAGGCAGCCCAGACACTCTCACACACACACACACACACACAAAATGCATATGTAATTTTTGTCGTCTGCACTTTACAGTGCCGGCAAAAAACAAAAATGACAAACAATGAATTCCGTCTTATTTAAATCTGCTTTGCCTTTCACATCTCTTTTTGTAAACCAATATCTCAAAAAAAAAAAAATATATATATATATATATAAATTTAAAATTAAAATTAAAGTTAAAAAAGAAAGCAAATAAAGGATATAATAATCAAGCTGAATTTAAAAAGGCAAAGATTTTATGCCTTAATCTTTTGAGGCCAAACAAAATGGAAGGCCAATAGTAACAGTAAAACTTTATTCATTAAATCACATTTCTACTTTTCCAATATTTTCAGACTTTTTCAAATTAGATTAGTGAAATGCCAAAAAACATAACGTGATATTTTGGGTTATATTTCAAATTACACATTGTCTTATTGAGAAGAAACTCTACCACAAGGACACACTTCTATTTTGCTATTGCTTAGTTCATGCAACTATCTATAACTCTTTCTAATTTTTATTTATCTATTTGTTTATTCCACAGCAGAAGCCAACAACAGCTGCGTTTGAGTGAGAGAGAGAGAGACAGAGACAGAGAGAGATATATATAGATTTTTACCGGCAGGTGCCAATTGATAGAAAGTGACGGCATCACCATTGCTCCAATAAGTACCATGAACGGCCAGGGCTGTGAGCTGAACCACAGCAATGGCGACATCATCTCACAGAACCAACAGAAGGGCTGGTGGACCATCGGGCTGATCAACGGCCAGCACAAGTATATGACGGCCGAAACGTTCGGATTCAAGCTCAACGCGAATGGCGCCAGTCTCAAGAAGAAGCAGCTCTGGACACTGGAGCCATCCAACACCGGTGAAAGTGAGTTGATTTAAAAAAAATAATGAAAAAAAAACCAACAACAAAAATCCCGATTAACCAGCCATGACAACTTAACTCCACACTTAATTACACATTGTAAATCGGAATGTCAACAAAGTTTTCGTTATGAAATTTCATACTGTCAAAAAAAAAGAAAAAAGAAACAAATTAGTGAAGAGTAATGTTCGACTGGAAGATATCCTGAATCCAACTGTATATATAGTTTGCTGATTGTAGTTTGTTTGATATGAAAAGTTTTACACAAGAGCTTTCAAGAAAGCAAGTAAAAGTAAAACGGTATATTTGAGCGTCAATTTGTTTGGTGTATAATTTGGACATGATAATCGAGCCAAGAATCGCGTTTCCAAATTCGAATGTAGTTTGGATCTAAAAGTCAAATCATGATTAAAAAGCTTTAATTTGTACAAATCTGATCACGTATGAGAAAGTTTTGGCTTTGAAATAGTTTTGAACTGTAAGAACTAACCTATTTTGGGTATATCAATTTACATAGATCGGTGAATGGGGGTAGAAGCCAGCCATATACATGTATATATAAATATTCCATATTTATGTATATATATAGTGCATATATATATGCATATTTATAGTCATTTGTATCTTTGCTGTTATCTCTTTGCCCATTGACTGATAAGCATATTAAATGAACTATCAGAAAAGGGAAATGGAAATTATACGTGTTGATTACAGTTGCCATTGTTAGTGTTGTTGCCGTCGTCTTCTTCTATTTTTGCATCATTATCAGACTGGCATTTATCAGTTTATCAGACTAGTTGCATTGCCATGACTCACTCAATTGGTGGCCATAAATCATTTGGCTCGCTAATCACAATGATCATCTCTGTTTTTTGGTTTTTGAATTGCTTTGCTTTTCATTGCATACCCTTACGTTGAATGTAGCAGTTTTTCCGTATCGTATGTGACGCATTAATGGATATATTTCTTGACGAGTTCCCGTTGTGAATGGCAAAATGATTTAAATAAAACAACTGATCGGTTTATTTTATTATTTTTTTTTTTTTTTTGCGAAATGAATATCAAAACAAACACAACCAATAAATAAGAAACAAATGTAAGCAACTCAAAGTAGTTGTATTTCTATAATTAGCTTTCCGCATTTAAATTAATAATCAGTTATAATTGTATTTTAAAATAGCCGCTTAGCTTTTTTACAATGTCAGTTGAGTTTGTCGCATTAATATTGCCATACTTTTCAAAACATCGATATGGTAATCGATAATAAGTCATCGCAAAAGATACGAAATACTCGAAACGAATCTTTCCCTTACGGGAAAAGAATGTAAGAAATGTTGACAGTGGAATCTTTTAATGAAATTCCATTCCACAAGTGTATTTGAATGTTGGTGTGCGTCGTGTGTATTTCACCTTGTGTTTGTGTGTGTTTTAAAACACATAAATCATTTGGGACTAGCTTCAGCCACAGCTGCACTAATTTGACGTGCAGTTAAAATACAAAAAGAAAACACACAAAATGTAGAAGAAGCAAAAGAAGAGGAGGCAGCTTAACTGTTTTCATGGCCAACAAAGCTTACCAAGTGTCTCACGAATTTGGCATCATTTATCAAGACGCCACGAGTTGCAATGGCCACTGAAGATTGCAATTGGAGTTGGAATGGAATTGGGTTTGTTATACGTATATGTATATATATATGTATATATATATATATATATGTATATATGTGATGGCCATGCGATCGGACTGGTGCTGGTGCTGGAGCCGTTGACTGCGTGCTCGCCGAGCAAATATAATTAAAGCCAACCCGTTTGCCACTTGCCGCAACCCGTTGCCAAAAGGCTTTTGCGGCTCTTTCTCTCCTGCTGCTATTGCTGGTGCTGTTTGCTGCTGGCAATTAATACGAAATGTTTTCTCGAACGGTCCATTAAAAAATAGCTCATCCAAATTGAAAATTGAAACGACTGGACTTGGCTTGGCTTGGCTTGCCCAGCCAGTCAGCCACATGATACAATGTTAATATTAATGATAACGATCAGTTGCTGAATTGCTTAATAATCCACTTTTAAGCATACAAGAAAATAAAAACCAACCAGCACGCATAAAAACGACTGATTCGACCGAGATACTTTTGACCATTTCGCTCGCGCGCATTCTTCAAACGGTTTCGAACTATCGATAGGCAATTAAGCGTTGCATTGCAGCATTGCCAGCTGTCATTGTAGCATCGACATCAATGGCAACGCCATCTGACAGCTAATTGTGCGCAACAATTTAAATTCAAAGTGCTCTTCGATACAGAGAGCGACATCTAGCGGAGCGCATGGAAAGATGGCATAACGGTGACAATATTGAGTCCACAGGGGTTATGGCAGCAGTAGCAATTAGTGACTATTTTTATACACAACATTTTTGGGAAATTAAAAAAAAAAACAATGACATTTTCCAACTTGTTTCAAAAAGCAAGCAATCAGGCGCTGGTCGCACCCAAGTCTTTAACTACCATCTTAAATAATAATATTTAAACTGAGTGTAAGAAGTTGCTAATCATGTGTCAATTTGTTGTTATGACCCACACAGGTATTATCTATTTACGATCTCATCTGAACAAATATCTATCGGTCGATCAGTTTGGCAACGTGCTCTGCGAGACGGACGAACGGGATGCGGGCAGCCGTTTCCAGATCAGCATCAGTGAGGATGGCAGCGGTCGCTGGGCGCTTAAGAATGAGTCGCGCGGCTATTTCTTGGGCGGCACACCCGACAAACTCGATTGTACGGCCAAAACGCCAGCCGCCGGTGAATTTTGGACGGTACATTTGGCTGCCCGGCCCCAAGTGAATTTACGTTCGATTGGACGAAAGCGATTCGCACATTTGTCTGAATCTCAGGATGAGATTCATGTGGATGCCAATATACCCTGGGGCGAGGATACGCTCTTCACTCTCGAGTTTCGTGCCGACGAGGGCGGACGCTATGCCCTCCATACGTGCAATAACAAGTGAGAGAGAAAGAGAGAGAGAGAGAGATTGATTTTGATTTTAATTTTAATTTGAATTTTATTCATTTTTGCTTTCGCAGATATCTGAATGCAAATGGTAAGCTGCAGGTGGTGTGCAACGAGGATTGTCTCTTCAGTGCCGAATACCATGGCGGCCATTTGGCATTGCGGGATCGTCAGGGTCAATATCTGTCGCCGATCGGTTCGAAGGCTGTGTTAAAGTCACGCTCGTCGACGGTGACACGTGATGAGCTGTTCTCGCTGGAGGATTCATTGCCGCAGGCATCGTTCATTGCCGGTCTCAATTTGCGTTATGTGAGCGTTAAGCAGGGCGTCGATGTGACCGCCAATCAGGACGAGGTCGCTGAGAATGAAACTTTCCAGCTGGAATATGATTGGTCGGCGCATCGTTGGGCATTGCGCACCACACAGGATCGCTATTGGTGCCTGTCAGCGGGCGGCGGCATTCAGGCCACCGGCAATCGTCGCTGTGCCGATGCTTTATTCGAGCTAATCTGGCATGGCGACGGCTCCTTGTCGTTCCGGGCCAACAATGGCAAATTCTTGGCCACCAAGCGTTCGGGCCATTTGTTTGCCACCTCCGAGTCCATCGAGGAGATAACCAAGTTCTATTTCTATTTGATCAATCGGTGAGTGCCTGCCTCACAGTAAAACAAGTGAGAATATTGCTGATACCAATAAGTAATTAGTAATAAGTGGATATAGCCAAAAAATTCCCATCTTTTAGGCAGATTTTCCTAGTATTCTGCCTTTTTTTATATTGATCTTTAAGGGGAGCTAATTTGTGGAAGAAGCAAGCAGACATTTCCGATATTTATGGGCGCCAGTTCTGGGCGTGGTTTGAGAATGCCTATACTACTAGACTAACTGTGAAAAAGGTTGTCAGGAAGGAAGCTTTCAAGTTTGGAGACTATATCTTTATCGTTTTTATCGACTTACACTGTCAGCGATAACGCCTTTGGTGATTATGGGGGCTTAATGTTAATATAGCTAGCCATTTCTGATTTTTATGGGAGGACCTGTAAAATTGTGGGAGATAAGCGGCTTTATCGATTTGCAATGATCGATTTTATAGATATGCTCGTTTCTAGTAGGAAATGGACGCAGCAGCGGCTGTAGAGGAGAAGTGTTTTCCTAGCTTAAGGCTTTAAGGCAGACAAACAGACAGACAGACAGACAGAACCACATATATACTTTTGCTAGTAACTTCGCCAATTTGACTTACCTCTGTTGTGTGCTTGGTGTAATAGACCTATTCTAGTGCTGAAGTGCGAGCAGGGCTTTGTCGGCTATCGCACGCCTGGCAACCTTAAGCTGGAGTGCAACAAGGCCACGTATGAGACCATCCTGGTGGAGCGCGCCCAAAAGGGACTCGTCCATTTGAAGGCACACAGTGGCAAATATTGGCGCATCGATGGCGAAAGCATCTCCGTCGACTCGGATGCGCCCACCGATGGTTTCTTCTTGGAGTTGCGTGAGCCAACAAGGATTTGCATAAGGTAAGAGACGACCCCCACCCTTGGAATAAACATTAACTGTACTCCTACTCCTAAATCTAAAACGAATTTCGAGAAGAATGGTTGAAATCACAAAATCTGCCCTGCCCAGTTTGGGTAACATTTGCCTCCAATATTGAGGGGCAGATATGGGATTCAAATTTGGTGATTCTAGTTTACAAATTATATCGATTTGCACTTATCGATGTTATCGATTTGCTTGTCTTTGAATTTGAAAAATTGACAATTTTCTCCATCGTTAAACACAGATCGCAGCAGGGAAAATATTTGGGCGCTACCAAGAATGGTGCCTTTAAGCTACTGGACGATGGCACCGATTCGGCCACCCAATGGGAATTCTAAGTTCCAAGCATCCTTCCAATCTCCAAACTCCAATCCTCAATGATGCAAGAAGCACGTGTTTAGCAACAATAACTACACCAACAACAACAACAACAAGAACAAGAACACGTATCAATTTCCAGAGTTTTAATAGCGTGTAGACTATGTCAGAAAAGAAGAAGCAATTTTTTGAATGAGAAGAAAACAACCAATCAAATATAAGGAAAAAACATGAAAAGATCCTAAAGAAAATCGCACAAAAAAAGGTGTATCCTACATGCAAATTAAAATCAAACTGCATGTTTATATATGTACACACACACACATATACACATACACACTCATATATATATATATATATATATATACATATATATACACATGCATATGTATATGTATATGAAAAGGAATAATATATATTTATATATTATATTATACACATCTAGTTGACGAGACAATTTTTTAAACAAGCCTATTTAGCTTTTTATACGTTTTTACAACAACAACAACAACAAACAAAAAATTTAGCGTAGACAACAACAACAACAACAACAAGCAGGAACTGGAACTGGAACAGGAACAATTTGTCGCGAGTCCTTCCGTTTTTTGAAAATATCAGCAACAAGCAAAGCAAAAAAAAAAAAGAAGTAAATCATTAATTAATAATTATGGCAACATACATACACATCATACACACACACACACACACACACATACATATATTTATTCGATTCGTAAAGCTTTTAAAAAGGGCCGCTTAACTTAAAAAAAAAAGAAAAACTAATTTAAAAAAAACAAAAAGCAAAAAAAAAAGACACAAAAATGTTGCCTAAAAACCAACACATATATATTCCTATAAATTTATTTATATATTTATACATATTGATATATAAACAATAAAAACAAACTCTCTCACACACACACACACAAACACACACACATTCACGCAATTTTATCATATATGCAAAACTTATTTTTAAGCGCAATAATATTATAAATAATAATAAAAATCAATCAAAAAAAAAAACCAACTGAAGAATATGGAAAACTTTTGCAATATCTGTTTTTTAAGCTAACCAAACTAAATACATAATACATTCATACATACATACATACATACATACATACACATACATATATTTATCACTTGTCATTATTTTTTGTTAAATATTTATTTTGATTATTACATAATAATTTTTTGTAATTTTTCTTTGTCACACGTTTTATCTATATATTAATGTTTTTTTTTTTTGTTTTTACCATTTTGCACTCAAAGAAAACTTTAGTCGCTAAAACTAAAAGCTAAAACAGAAATGAAATCATGTATGATAAAAATGATATAATATGAAATATATACATAACATACCTATATAACCATTTACGATTATATATATATTTATTCCATCCACCAAAGTTTCAGCGATCCAAACTAAATTCTCCAATCTGCCAATGCCAATTTAGCTCAGTTTACGAGCTTTATCTACATGCATACATACATACATACAAACATATATATACTCACACACATGGGATCGATCAACTCACCGATTATTATCTGTTTAGTGGTAGTACTTGGTAGTACTTGAAGTCTCTCTGTCTCTCTGCCTCTCTCTCTGCCTCTGTCTCTCTGCCTCGCTCTGTCTCTCTTTCTCTGTCTCTGTCTCTGCCTCTCTCTCTCTTTCTCTGTCTCTGCTTCTCTCTCTCTCTCTTTGTCTCTCTCTCTGCCTCTGTCTCTCTCTCTCTGCCTCTGTCTCTCTCTCTCTGCCTCTGTCTCTCTCTCTGCCTCTCTCTCTATCTCTCTGCCTTTCTCTCTGTCTCTCTCTGCCTGTGTCTCTCTCTCTCTCTCTGTCTCTGCAGCTAGTCGCCGCCATGCTCCAAATAGCACAATTTGAACAGTTTCCCGAGTCAGCCGTTGCAAAGGCAACCTCCTCATCTCTGTCAATCTATTAGAAAGGAGTCATCTGCGAACCCATAAACCATATATAAATATATATATTCCAGATCAGCATCAACTGTCTGTCTGTCTGATAACTGCGCCCGTTTCGCGACTATTATTGATCGACTGTAAGAGCTACAAAATACAACTTGTCGTAGACCAGTTGCTCAGATCGATAGCTTTAGAATAGAACTGCATTGAAATCTGAAAAGGTGAAAACTGAAAGCTGGAAAATAAAAAACTGAAATATGGATACATACTTACGTACATATGTATGTAAATATGCTAATGATCATTTTTTGTTATGTTCTTCTTTTTAACTCTTTATTTAGTTATTCTTTCAGAGTTAGCTATGTAACGGTGTATGACAATAATTGAATAAGAATAATTGAAATCGCCCATGCGCCATTCTGACGAAATTGCTGCTCTTCACTGATGCCAAAAGTAAATGATCTGGCCGATGGCGTTCAGCTGGGCTGGATGATATCACAGCGGCTTCTTGCATTCATTTTATTTCATTAGGGCTCAATGTGGGTTATTTATAGCCGCCGTTTTTGGCGAGGCCTAGCGAGCAGCTGCATTATAATGACCGACAGATGGCGTTGCTTGATTTATTTGCACTGCAGCTGACGCAACTGATATCTTCGTGCAAATAGTTAAAAGCACTTAATGCTGAATGGTGCTCATTAGTACCGGACAAATTTGTGCTAAACAGTGATGTTTTTTGCGAGTGGAGATATTCTGCAAAGATTCCACAATGGCAAAGTATTAAGAATTCTGCTGTTGAGGCTGTATATGCGACTTTCTCATATACACATATCAATATTTTTTGTATGTAGATTGCAATAATACTAGAATGTGGATATCCATCTTCTTATAAATAAAAACGACTGATCTGGAATTATTTGTAAGTAATTAAGCGAATAACTCACTTTTGGCTTGAACGTAATTTTATTTTTGCAGTTTGTTTCTTTGTTCCTTTTATTTGTTTTATTACCATTTCCTTATTATGTTAATTGAGAATGATTATTATTTATTATTTATTTTAAATACACAATCGCTTCAAATATATACATTGTAAGCATTAGTAAACAATTTTGAAAAATTCGTAATCGGTGCATCGATACATCGATGTCATTCTCCAATAAACATCAAAACATCGATGTGGGTAAGCATCAATGTTTCTCCGACACTAAAGCTCTTCCCCACATATGACCCGACTTTGTGTGACGCAATAATTTAATACATCAACGAATCAATTGTGTTATTTGCAGAATGGTTCAAATGCTGTTTGCAGTGAATGATGCATAACATAACATTAACGCTTGTGACTCGAACCATAACATTACGTTCACTCCTCTGTTCGCTATTTTTTGATATTAACAGTGAGCGAGCATTTGCCGTGCGTCTGTATAGAAAAGTTAATATACAACTGAGGTAAGCATGATAGATAAAAGAAAAGGAGGATTGTTGTAGTCGATTTAGTTCGACTACAATATACTGTAAGTCCACATGTCAACTATGTTCTAATATTATTACCGAATTTCCCTTTAAAAGTTTTGCACACGATAGTATACGTAGATTGTCTTTAATTTTTTATGACAGGCACTAGCACTGCAGAACAAAAAATACAAAGGCAACGCATATTTTTATTTACAAGCCCAAACTGAAATCCTCTGGTTCCGATTAACGCGTGCATATCCTTACATACACACCGACACGCAATCGTAGGTAACGGGGCACTGCAGAATACACACAAACATAATTATACTTACGTCCATTAAATACCGACCCTTTCTCACACATGAACGCGCTTATTTATGTATATTATATATTAATTAGTGCATATATATTATATATTAATTAGAATCCTCTGCGTTTACAATTTGTATTTATATTTGCGACACGGTTATGAATAAAATGAAAAACTTGATCTGCAGGCGGTGTAAGAGACCCTATATTCCAAATTGGAAGTCTCTAGCTCATACCGTCTCGGTTTAACAATATATATACTTTAAGGGGTTACAAATGCCTCCTTCTGCCGTTTACCATTAAGCAATGCAACACAGTACATTGTCTGCTTAGTGCTTCCACATACATTTGCGCAAAACTGTTCACTGAATTTCGATCGATAGTCCAAAAATATCGTATGTTAATTGTGAAGTGTTAGCGATAGTCCAAAACATACACTCTTTTGGCACTGTTGGGCCAGTTTGATTTCCTATCGATAACCCACAAACATTGTATGCTCATTTCGATTTCGATGCGCTAGCGATACTAACTAACCACTCTCGGCGGCACATCTCGAAGCATATACTCCCTTGGACGAGTGTGGTCATTTATGATTAATTTTTTAAGGCATGGAATTTGGTTTTGTGTTTACCAACATTTAAGTGTAACATAACTCGTATGTTAAATCAAATACATATGTACAATTGTGAGTATATTCATGCACATAATGCCATTAAGCAATGTGGTGAAAATGGCTTCTTTGCATATTGAATTTGGTGCCATGTTTACCTCCAAGCAAATGTAAGTTTACCGTTTCGTAAAATGAATTATATCTATACAAATGTGAGTATATGTAGACTCATATTTATGCAAATAATGGCAATAACATACACATGCACATAATCCAAAAATGCAGATAGACTTACACATAAATAACCATTGCATCATTGCACACTGAGCGAGATGGAAATTTTTTTTAAGTACAAATTCGAAATTTGGTTGGAAATCAATCGAAAATTGATTTAACTATTTTAAGAGAGCATACCCTATTTATAATAAATTCATTAATATAATCAACCCCGGATGTTGGCCCGTTTGTTAGACCGCTCTCTTCGAGCTCTGCCCGCCAGCATAAGAGAAATAAATTTCTGGCCGTTTCGGCACTAATTCCTTTTATTAACAAATTAACTTTGATAGTTATATGTATATGTATATACTCTACTTACTATATGTATATTATTATTATATGTATATACTCTACTCGCACTTGTGCTTGGTCATATCAAATTCTGCAGACTCACTCATCTTTTGCACAGATTGTTCCTATGGAAGCTGTATGAAATGTTTTGTACAAATTTAAAAATCATATTAACGCGCAAAATTAGTTTGATTAGGACATATTGTTAAACAAAGAAGTTATTCATGTGAGAACTAATTGTCTATAAAGGGAATAAAATGTATATAATATAATATATGTATATAGTATATAACAACACGCATATCTAGTGAGTTCTGTTCGGATATCTTGCAAAAAAAAAAGCAGATTTTCGTTATATTCATTTCATTTATAAAATAGGCGTCGTATTATTGTCATTTAGTGCCTATTAGATATTCCAAGTAACAATTGTGTAACAACATTTTTCTAATTATTTTCAAAAAATAATTGTCGATCTGGTCCATTGTGCATTGCCGCAAAACGAAGAGAGCAAATTTTTAGAGACAAGAGTAGAAATTACAAACTCATGATTTTCGGCATATATGATTTTTACAATTACATACATACATAGTTGAGCATTTTGCATCTCTGTTATCGATTCAGCTGTTTTTGACGTCAATGTAGAGCGCATAGCGCATAGGGTTTTTGTGACGTAGATGCGCAATACAGCGCCATGTTAACTCTCGACTGCGCAGTCTGATTTCTTTGATTCGAGACTATGTTGTATATCCAAGTATCGATATCCACGTGAAATTTGCAAATTATCGATACATACGTTTTGATAATTTTTAGCCATCCTTGAATGTGTTATATATCACCATTAAACCAAAAACAAAAAGTGGAGATTAACTTAAGTCGGTGTTGCCTCTTGTGGTATATCAAACGGTCACGTTTCGAAAGAAGCAGCTGTAAGAGATTTGCATTGTGATTTAGTTCGATGCACTCCGCGGCAAAAACAGAAAAGTTGCATTGCTTGTCGTCTAGGTCTGTGTGATATTTTTTTTGCCATTTATTTGTCGAGTGCAATTCAAAGTAACATGGAAAAGCAAAACAAAAAAAGTGATGTAAAAATCAATAATTAGAGCTCCATCGAAATACCAAGTAAGGTAGGCAGTGGCAACTCAAAACAAAAAAAAAAAAAACAATGAAAAACAAATTAAGTACATTGATGCACATGTATATAGATGAATATGTAAATTTCCGTAATTATGTATACACATACGTGTGTTTGTATGTAAATTTGTGCGTGTAGTGAAAGAAGCCTACGCAAAATTAAATATTTTATGAAAATAACGATTATGTCCATGTGAGCCACATACATATGTAAATGAATTAAAATCACGTTGATGGCCGTCGTAATAAGTACGTGTCTACAAAGATAGTTTCTTTGCATGAGCAAATGTATTTGTTTCAATTATTTAAATGAATGTTTCGGATAATCGATACAGTATGTAATAAATAATATCTTATTATATACATCCACATACCCAAATGTAAAAAAAACGTCCATATTTTTGAAAAATTGTATCAAAAGTATATGGTTGAAACGACTTTTTACATACTGCAGGCTGGGCGATAGAACCAAAACATACTGTATTTATGTGAGTACATATGTAAGCAAATTTCTATCGACCTGCCTGCGTCGACGTACTCTCTTTAGTAAATACTTCCGCATAATACGTAGATGCTGCTGCAACTGTCTCTCTCTCCAAGCGAGTTTGAGAGACAGAGAGAGAGAGAGAGGCAAAGCTGTTCTCTCGTGTGCGGCTACCCTTAACACTTCAAAGTTTTCACTTTGTTTTTACACATTGAAGTTACGTATGAATTTGCAAAGATGCATATGTATGTATATATATATGAATGTTAATATGTATGTGTAGATGCATTTTTAATTTGCTGCATTCCACTAAAATGTCATTTAGTCATTTACAAATTAAATAGTTTTATAACTTTTTGATAATGATGTCACGTGATGTTTCAGCAAACAACTAAAAACTGTACAAATTACAAATATATTAACGTCTTGCCATACTTACATACTTGCACAAAAAATAAAAAAATAAAAATAAATAAAATTAATACACCATTTCAAAATAAAAAATAGACTAAATACAAAATACCTTTTTGAGCTTGCCCGATTTAATTTACAAATGCACAAGTTTTTATGAAAATATATAACTTATAATTTGTACTTCGATTAACTGTTTTTTAATTTACAATAATTAGAATTCACGAAAAATTCAAGAGCGGACTCTTTCCTCTATAAAATTGCAGTATTAGAAAACTACAGTTAAAATTACAAAGAAACCATCAAAGTACGTGCAATTCCAATTGGAAAAAATCATGCCATACAGCGCCAATAACAATATTGAGCAGCATGTAAGTAGACACAAAAATATATTTCTATTAAATCCATGACTACGCTTATGCTATTTATTATTGCAAGAATCATTTAATAAACTTGTGCTAAAATGCGTATTTTCATTATTATTATTAATGCAATTCACTCCCATTACTTGATGATCTTGCAATTTAAGATAGAAACTAAATCAGCTTCAAACTTCAAACTTCTAGCATAAGCGTGGTATGCATGCATACATTTAATATGTATGGTGTATAAAATCAAATTTGGAATATTTAGATATATGCACAAATGCACAATTTGAACGTGATTCGATAATATTGTACATATTTCGCATAGTTTAGTTTTCTTTTGAATGAAACTTACAGTTGTTTGTGCTCACATATTTTGTTGTAAAGTTTATGTAACTATGCTCAACTATGCACAGAAGCCAAAGTTTGTAGAATCTTTCTGTGTTTCTTTCGTCTGTGCTTGCCTTTTGTTTATTTATTATTTTTGATTATTTTTTGTTTGCAGTTGAACAGTTATGCACATTGTAAAAATATTATTCTGAACTTTAATTAAATATGTATATATTTGTAAAATGCCGGCAACAAATTGACATTTCAATTGAGAGCTATAAAAAAAGATAACATCTGTCTTTGTTATCTCTGAGGTTAGTCTTGACACTTAAATGCCTCATCAAGTTGGTAAGAAGTAAGCAATTTATTATTGACAAGGAAGTCAAGTCGAGTCGAGTCGAGTCGACCTAGCCATGTCCATCTGTCTGTCGCCAATTTCAGAGACTCCAAATTTAGAACATAAGTGCTCGAGTACTAAACGCAGATCAAGTTAATTTTTTTTTTTAACAAATTATCGAAAAGTGTGCTGTTTTTTAATTAGATTAGATCCGGCACACAAATACGTCTACACGCTTGAAAAAGTTAATTTTGCGCAGGCTCTCCGCATTGCCATTTAAATGTCAATGAAGTGTCACTATGCCAAATGGCAGCACTCGGCCAAGAGAGAAACCACAAAAGATTTTCTTACATTGAACGGTTGACGGTAAGGCAAGACAATGTTTCACTGCCCGTTGCCCGTTGCCCGTTGGTGAAACATTACAAAAGCATCATTGATTTAGTCGGCGTGCCAAATTGTTGATGGGCTGCCTATAACTGAACACGAAAATACTACAAAAATCCAAAGATTTCCAAGCGAAAGATTAATGAAAGTTAACGAAATAACGAAAGTTGTTTTATTTTGAAAATTGCATTCGATCGTAGTGTAAAAATAACATTATAGATGGAAGACCGTTGAATAGGGTTATCAGACGTATATGTTGCTTCGTACGAGCCCTTAAACTTTTAAATTCCTATATTTAATTGCTCTTAATATTGGAATAAAACTATTCACACTAAACTGTACTGCAGCATATTGAGCATGTATAGGAACAAAAGGTCGGTTTTCGAAAGTGATTATAAAATTCAATCGTGGACAGCTGGTCGGGCTTCGGTCTTCAAAGAAATGTATTTCGAAGATAGCTTTGTTGCTTTTTTTTAACACTTTACACATTATTCAATTGTATTAAAAATTGTTGAATTAAATTTCGGAGTTTAGTAGTAGTTTCGACATGAAATCGCTTAAATTGTTCACCAACCGTCGAAGCAGTTTCAATGTTTTGCAGGACTTTTGGTTCGGTCAATGTTTTGGGGCGCTTGCGTTTTTCGCATTCTGTGAAATGCTCTTTTGCACAAGATCTAAAAAGACAGGTGCGTTGCCTGGCTGCATTTGTTGTCTAATTTAGTATAAACTTATTGTTAAGTCATTTAGACGAACAGACGGCTGTCGCTCGGTTGACACTTGGTGTGCAGGTGCATGGATGTGTGGTTGAAATGCATCGTAGCATAACAACAACATTATTAATGTACATTTTCCGTTGGTCTTATAAAGCTCTGCAGCCCTTTACTATTCGGCCCGTTCAGCTGTTCTTTTATTTGATTGTCCATTTTGTTGTTGTTGTTGTTGTTATTGTAAATTCTTAAATTAGTTGATTTTATACTTATACGCAATTCAAATTAAATTTAGATTCGTCTGCAATTCATTCTGAAAAAACATTGTATACTGGATAATTGCAAAGAAATAAAGGCTTACGTTTATACTTTACTTTGTGGCTTTCAATTTTTCAAGTTTAAATCTCCTTTTCATTTATTTATTTGCAAAATGCAGTAGCAGTCGCATACTTTTATACCTATGTCGTATCATTTTTGTCGTCCCCATTTCTTACAACTATTTTCTGAAAAAGTTGAACTTCTATCGTTTTTGAAATTTAGCACATATCCATCTCGGACCGAATCGGACGTATATATACCATAGCTCCACACTGCCTGATACACTCGAACTTCATATCTGTTAAATAGTCAAAGTCGTAAAAACAAAAAGCATAGAAATAAAATGTTCCTAACACATAAACATAAACCTAAAACTTTGTAAGATATTAGCAGATTAACCCCGGCCTAAGAGGGTATGTACTTTTCGGTATGTACTTTTTTGCCAAATAGAGGACCCTTATTTCAATCAAGAATATAAAGTTAAAAATATTTTGCTGATGGCTGTTTCTTTGTCGTTGTCGTTGTCGCTGTCTAAAGTTTCTCCGGACTGTTTCGATGCACACTGTTAATTAGTTTTCGTATATTTTTCGTTGGCACTCTGAATGTTTTATCAACCGAATAGCATCAGCATTTGCTATACGGTTTATGCTAAAGTGCACTTAAAATCATTTGGCCTGGTAGGCTGTCTTAGTGGTGCTCAACCTGCCTGCTATTCATACAAAAAAAAAAATTCTTTATGTCTATGTGTATGTTAATACTTCTCAAATAATTTTGTTGTGCTTCAAATGGATTTTGTGCATTTTGATTTAATTGTAGTCAGTTGAATTCTCACTCTCAGCCGAATAAGTCGCTTTTATCCGCTTTTATCCGTCTTTCTTTTGGTGTGTGTGTGTGTGTGTGTGTGTGTCGGTTCTACTAATTGTTCTTATCGTTGTCATTGTACATATTACGTTTGAGAACAAAAAAAAAAAAAAAAAAACAAATGTTTGCTGAGTGTTATAATGCAAAACGTATGTGTTGTAAAATGCATTACCGCAGCATGAATTTTGCCAAATCTGCAATTTGCTATCAGAGTCGCCACCTGTGCGCAGATTCCAACTTTCAACGGGGGTTTTTAAAGCGATGTTTTGCATTACCAACCCTGTCGAGATATAAAGTGAGTACGGCAAAGTGACTAATAATAATAATAATAATAATAATAATAATAATAATAATAATAATAAGCTCAAGTCTAATGTATATGTTATATGTGGTATGAGTTGGGTATTATCCGTGTACGGGCTTTTCTAATCCATCTGTCCATCAGTCCATCAGTCTTGACCATATCAGTGTTGTAATGTTTTGTAATCGTTCAATATGAAAGTGTGTAAACGGCATTTTTATTGTCTGTGTTGTGTAGTAATGCTTTCATCTCTCGAATATTGAAAAATCTGTCGTTTAAATAATGTTTAATTAACTATACAAATTTTAAACTACATATTTTTTTTTTTTGAAATACTCAGGTGGTGAATTCATCAACGGAGGAGAATATGAACGGCTACAATCGGAAATCACCCCAAAAACGGCGCTATGATATGCCACAGTATGCTGGTAAGTAAAGTAAATTGAATTTAATTTGAAACAGATATAATCGAAATCTTCAATTTTATATTTACTAATATTTTTTCGTTTTTTATAGCGTCACCAAAAAAGAAATTATGCAAGGAGCGCGTACCACAACCGAAGAATACAGTAGCAATGCTGAATGAATTGCGGCAAGGACTGATATACAAATTAGAGTCACAGACTGGTCCGGTGCATGCACCGTTATTTACGATCTCCGTTGAGGTTAGTTAGTCCAGACGCTCATATTGTCCTGTTAAGAGTGATGTTGTCGAGAGAAACGGGCAAATCTCTTTTAATAATTCATTCAAATTCATGTTCAATATTTTTTTTTTGTTACCTAATCGAATGGGTTTTCTATATTTTCAACACTCGTTGTGCGATTAAGAAGTTTGTAACAATTATAATTTTTATCTAAATGATAAAACTCCGAATGTATGAAACATACTTTCCAAAACTTTCGATTTCCGGTGGTAGTTTATTTGATACATTGAACTGAACCCATTCAAATGGGCAAATTGTATTAAAAATCGATTACCATTCGCATTTTCAAGGTGTTAGTTTTGAACATCTGCGATATATTTGGGTATATGCTAGTCTCTAACAGATTTACAAATCATTTACAATCGCTATTTATTGACAGGTCGATGGGCAAAAGTACATGGGTCAAGGGCGCAGTAAAAAGGTAGCGCGTATTGAAGCTGCAGCCACAGCGTTACGCAGTTTTATACAATTTAAAGACGGCGCAGTCTTATCACCCCTGAAGCCTGCTGGCAACTTGGACTTTACCAGTGATGAACATCTGGAAAATGGTATTGAAAACGTGTCCAACGCAAAATTAGTCGAACTTGTGATGTTGATGTTGCCTGAAAACAAATCCAACCTTACCTCGCTTGAACAACCCACGTTGCGCCCACAAGTCTTTTGCATGAGCCACAGCAAGTATTAGAATTTTATGTTTTTTTTTTTGTTTTTTTTTTTTAATTTTTTGCGTTAATTTATTTATATTTATTTGGTAATTTTAACTTATGTAGTTGTAAAGTTGTATTTGCGGCTCAATGCACAGTGATAGTACTTTTTTTTTTCATGTATGTGTTTGCGTTACTTAAGTTCTTAGTAAAAAAAAACAAAAGGGCTTTCATATTTAAAGTCCACAAAAAGTTGTAAAGAAACTTTCCCTAAAAACTCGTTCCTCCTAACGCTAATGCTTTTGTGATCCACTCGAACATCTTCTCTTACGCATGATATTTTCCAATAAAAGAAAACTATTTTGAAAACATTTTTTTTTTTGACAAAAATGATTTGCGCTCAAATAATGTATGGAAAAATGAGTTTTCAAACAGCCAGCATAGCTTTGGAGACACTTTCAATAATCTTTGAGTTTCAACGACTTTTTTTGTTGTTTTTTTGTTGATTTTTGTTTTATTTTAAAAGCCTTAAATACCCTTATTATTTTAAACGTTAAATAGAAACTGTTATAAATGTACATGTTTTCTTAGATTAAATATCTTAAGCTAGGATTTGTGAGCCATACGCCATATATATACAATATACAATAAAATCGGAACAATTAAATTTTTTTTTTAATTACTAGATGCGTCAAAAAGCGCGATATCTGTCGATGGACAGAAAAAAGTACCAGATAAGGGCCCTGTTATGTTATTATACGAGCTATTTAATGACGTTAATTTTGAGTGCATGAATATTGACGGCGCCCAAAACAACTGTCGCTTTAAAATGACCGTCACTATCAATGATAAAAAGTTTGATGGTACTGGTGGGTATATTGCTGTTCAATTATTTGGTATAATTGCATTACAAATTAAGGCTATTTAGGTCCCTCCAAGAAGCTAGCAAAAAATGCAGCCGCCAAGGCAGCGCTTGCCTCGCTGTGCAATATCTCATATAGTCCAATGATGGCACCGCAGAAGAACGCACCGTTGCCCATTGATGACAAATCGTCGTCAATGGAATTGCCGCAAATACACGCAGATACTATCGGACGCTTAGTGTTGGAGAAATTCATGGAAGTTATCAAAGGTCAGGAAGCGTACTCGCGACGAAAAGTGCTGGCCGGCATTGTTATGACAGACAACATGAATTTTTGCGAAGCCAAAGTAAGTATTGAAATTATACCAGTAATACCTTACCCAAAATATGGCCTCCTTTCAGGTTATATCGGTTTCGACGGGCACCAAGTGTGTCAGCGGTGAACACATGAGTGTTAATGGGGCTGTGCTTAATGATTCGCATGCTGAAATAGTGTCCAGGCGTTGCCTCCTAAAATATTTGTATGCACAACTTGATCTCCAGTGTAATCAGGGTATGGTTTAATACAATATTATGTTTCTTTAAGCGTAGGTTATGCTGTATATATTTTATATATAAATATATATATGCTTCAAGTTCGAAGTTTCATATTTATTAGATTTATAGACATCATATGTATGTACATTTTAGTACGGCTAGTGCGGCTTTGCTGTGCTGTGAAAATAGCATGCATCTAAGTAGTTTCTCTCTAACTCCATTATTTATTAATAGCATAATTGAATCAATTTTTGAATGTCAGAATTGCTTATTGTGCATATTACGCGGCATAGTTATAAAACAAATTATGTAAAATGATTGTTGAACTACTCTACTTATATGTAGCTTAAAATAATATAAGTTGATAATACAAATTGATTAAAAACGTGTGCATTTGGTCGTCAAAAATTGATTGCCACTAACCTATGAATATGGTACAAAGACATAACGAGTGTTCACAAAAATCAACTAATTTTTCTCATGCCAAAATATAATTTTACTTTTATCAATGTAAAATTATGGACTTCCTCCGGTAAAATTGGTTAATAATAGTCATTAAACGGTGTCATTGTTGGCTCCCAAGAAAAGCGAGCTTTAGTTAGTAAAATTGCACTTTCTCGGTTATTTTTCATTTAATTAGAATTAGCTTACAGTGTGCGCCTCTTCATTTGATTGACTTCGCACATACATGAAGATGAAGGTATATAAAATCGGGCCTGGGTTCACCATATCTCCTCAATCGGAGCACTTTCGACTAGTTCATTCATACGTATGATTTTCTTGCTTTGGGCCATTGCTTGCATTGAATTAGTATAGTGTGTATATAATAAAAGTGAATTCTCTGCGTACTATTTAAAGCATTGTTTCATACATTCAAACAAAAAGTCATTTTTACATGTTTCAAATTAGGTACGTAAGAAAAGATAATGCGCAAACGTGAATGAACTTGTTTTTGCATATGTATATTAAACCAAAATATCTAATTTTAATTACTTAGCCTTACATTTTCGAAGGAATTAATTTTAACTTTTTTGATTTTCAGTAAAAATGACACAGACTCGTCACTCTTAGCATTTTATTGATTATGATGTTTTGTAGTTTTTTTTTTTTTTTATATTACAATAAGAGATCAACCTTATAATCCTTATTTATAGCCTTATGAAATGTTAATTTTCTTTGGGGACGGATGCTGCTCTGAACCTCCATATTAGCTATCAATATTCGAAAAATATGATTTTCAGTTGTCCTTGAAAGTAATTTTTAAAGACGTTGTTCCTGTGAAATTTATCCGTATTCAGATTTTTAATCTTAGATAATAAGAACAAATAAAAATATCTCAAAAGTCATATATGTATATGTGTATATATATGTATGTGTAATCATATGTACATATATATATGTATATATGTATATGGTAATAAAAACCTTAAAATCAATATATTCCTAAAGCGCGACCAGCATCAAACTGAAGCTGCAAACTGCAAAAACCTAACTTTTATTTATATATATATTTTATTATTCTAATTTACTCTTTTCTGAATTATAGCAACAGCATATCAGTCGATTTTCGTGAGGAATACAGACGGGCAATACCCTTATAAACTAAAATCCGGGGTACATTTCCATTTGTATATAAATACAGCACCATGTGGGGATGCACGGATATTTAGTCCTCACGAAAACGACACTGGTGTTGATAAGCATCCAAATAGGTTCGTACAACAAATATCTAAATATTTCTACTACTAAATCTAAAAAAAACAAAAAAAAAAAAAAAAAAAACAAATAAGAAAGATCTGATTTCTTCGGCAACCCGAAGATTACGTACCTTTGCAGATTAGAGTTCACCTGCGCATATTTTGATTTAATTATTAATACAAAATTTCGATGTTGATAGTTATTTGTCAACATTTATGCATCGCAATAGCGCTTGTATATTTTGTTAAACACGAACTAGTTTTTCGACCACGAACAGTTCTGTGGCAGCAAAATTTCAAGTCATGCATGGTCAAGAATGTATGCTTTAATATACTTTTTTGGGTTGGAGACGTCTCCTTTAATGCGTTTCACACTTAACAAGAAATGTTAATTTCCATGTAAGCATTTTAAATAGAATTCTCACTGTGTTTTCTAAGATACAAGATACAAAAAGTTGATTATGCAACAATTTGAGCTTTTATTGATTTACCGAACCAATAAAACACTCATCATTTTGTCTGACGCAGACATAATGGAGTATATATTCGATATATATGCTTCAAGTTTCTAACTGCAAGTGCGTCAATAAAATAGTTGTGTTCATTCGGACTGACTGCATAAGGGACATTGCACACAACCGTTAGTATATCAGAGTTCAAAGCAAACAATCTTTAATTTCATTTTTTACCTATATTCTGTGCTGTACTATATTCAAGTACAAAATACAAAAATCTTTTAGGAAAACGACATCTGTATAAAAAAAGATTTAACATATACAATTGACTTTATACTCACATGTGTAACAAATAATTTAAAAGTTTTTTTTTTTTTTTTAATTGCGTCTGTAATTTGTAATAAGTATTGCCTTTTTTCGTCTTTTTGTGTAATCGACGAAAGGAGGACAATTGAAACGACAGCAGAAGACACATGCACGAATGCTGTGAGTTAACAAAATTTATCATCTGTTCCTGTCTCACTCTTTTTTGTATGCGTATGCGAACACTTAACACTTGGGCCTAGTGCGCGAAAAGTCGTCCGCCTTTTACTTCGACTTGGATACAATTATCCAAAAGCTCCGATATAGTGGTAGTTTTATATGCCAGCCCGTGATCAATCACCAATCACCAGCAGTCTTACAGCAAAGAAGTGATGTGTCATCCAAATGTGGTAGTGTGTGGGGCAGAGTGTGTGGCAATCTTATCTGCGGGACACATAAATGGAAATACCTAATAAATATAGATTGATCTTTGATTAGCCCCAAGTTTGCTGACTCTTCAGATGAAGAATATGCCGATTTATCAATTTACACTTTCAGATATATTCATTTGGGAGTCGAGCGTGGCCATGGCCATACTTTTTTTTTTTATCGATGTAATATATACCTTCCAAATTTAGTGACTCTAGCTGAAAAGCTGTGAAGTATATAGTGTATTTTTTTTGTTTTACTTTAAAGGAACTGGGCCGATGTCGATTTTTAGGGGACATCATCGCCAGCAATCTACAAACCAAAATTGGTGACTAACTTTAAAATTGTGGGATATATGTATGTAGTTTTATCGATTTAACCAAAACTTAACACACTGCTTGACGCGGACACATACAAGTTATATACTGTCCAAGCTTCAAGTCTCTAGCTTTAAGGGAACAACAGAAAAATGTATAGAGACTTGAATTTGAAACGACGCTCACGACGTATACATTTAATCGATTTCGAAATATATCAACCAAATACAGCTGAAGACTTGACTATTCCATAAACAGACAAGCGATCAGTGTTTGTATGACCTGTGAACATTTTCAGTTCGAGTTATGAAGACAATACTGTATAGAATATTGTTTCTAAACTCTCTTGTTGCCATTCCAGTTACAAACAAAATTCCATTCGTCTCACGGAAGTCCGAGTTAAAGAAGGTTGACATAAAAGATTAAAGTTTGCAGGTGCATACTTACATTATTATTATTATTATTATTATTAGGGGGGAAGCTGCACCGCGACCTATTTGATCTATTTGTGCCCCCTTTCTGAGCCTATAGCTCTTCCATCAGCCCCATCTCCCTTACGAACGTGAGGATCTTTGTTGGGTTGAGGTCTACTATGTCTTTGCAATTCAAAACATGCGCCCCTAGGATGCTGCTTCTTCTTCTAATTAAGGCGACACATTCTGCCAGGATGTGCATCGAGGATTCCTCCTCTCTTTCACAAAACCTGCAGAGATCGCTACTATATATGCCCAATTTTGTCAGGTGACTCCTGAAGGACTTTGGGCTGGTAATGTCTTTCTTCCCTGCCTTGGGGATGCAGATTACCCTAGCTCTTCTCCATGCGCCCGGTATGTATCCGAGGGCTAGGCTACTTACAAATGCTTTCCTAATACGGGAGAGAAGTATTTCCTGTCCCGTTTGAAGGAAGGCTGGCGATATGCCGTCCATTCCAGGGGACTTATAGGGTTGGAATGTTCCAACTGCCCAATTAAGTCTCTCCCTTGAGACTGTCGACTTGGCGCATGCCCACCTTTGCCGCTGCCGAACCGTGGGCAACGCCCACAACCTCCGGGCACATCCTCTTGGGGGTGGCCACCAGTGGTGTGAGATTGTTGCTACGCCTTTTTAGAGCTGGCGTAGGTGCTGCAACGTCCTCCCTGGGCTCTTTGGCCTTTTTCAGGGCTTCATCAGGGGTGAGTCTCTGCTGGAGGTACCGATGGTACCACTTGACCCTAGAACCGCAGAGATTTCTCCGGTTTAGGTCATCCAGCCCACAGGGTTGACCCCTTGGTGGCATGAACTCTCCTGTCCTTTTTGAGCGCTGGGCGCCTTGCTTCGCGGCGTTCGGTGCTGGGAGCGGTGGTCTGGGTGTACCAGCCAACGGTCTCCCATGCCACACAGCCGGAGTTCCTTGTGCCTGTGGCACTCTCCTGTTTGTTGCTGGAGCAGCACGGTGTGGAGGATTGTCTACCACTCAAGAGGGTCGTTCCCCATCAGGGGCATGACCTTCCAACTGTCTTGCGACAAGTTCCGCAGGGAGATCCTGCGTTATTTTGGCATAGTGTACTTTTTTCATGGAATTCCACGAGCTGCGGAGAAATATGTGTCCGCCCGGGCAGAGATCCGCAATACCCGGGCAAGGCTAAATTAGAACAGGCGGTCGCCATTTGCCTGAGCTCACCGTTAGAGACTGGGCTAGTTTTTGATCCGGGCCCCCAGCCAGGCTGACTCTCGGCACGGTTCGAATGACGCCTTAGTCCGGTCCGGAGTGAGATGAAGGGATAGGATGTGGTGGGTAACTATGTTGGGAGATAGGGGGGATGTGTGAGGCTATACTTTGGAAGGCGGCAACACAAGCGCCTTGTCGGTACGATAAACATTATCGCACCCGCTGTTTGTCCGGGACTGCTTATTTACGAGAAATCTCGCATTATTCGCAGCTAGCCTCCCCGAGGGGAGGCCGTTCGCCTGGTGGCCTCAGCTCAGCCCCATCCGAACCATCCCACAACTTACATACATAAATACAAATTTTAATATAGATTACAAATAATAACACTAAACAGTGTACTTTTCGTGTTTGCAGATAGTAGACACTTAACAGATTGTTGTTTGTTACCTTAAAAACAAAATAAAAAAAAATACTTTTTGTGGTGCCACGAACTATCCAGAGAATCAGGTTCAATTTATAATTATAATTTACTCTTTTGTCATTTCTCGGCTTGCCCATAAAACATGCAACTAACTGCTTTTGGACTTTCACATAAACGTTGTATATGTTGATATACTGAATTTGTTGAATCCCGTGACATAACCCATTACACTGGGAACATACACATTACTCACTACTAACGATTAGGAAAGCACGCGGGCAATTGCGTACGAAAATCGAATCGGGCGAAGGCACCATACCTGTGAAAAGCAGCGATGGCATACAAACCTGGGATGGTGTACTGCAGGTAAGTGGGCTGGGGTGGGTTGTCTCAAAACGCTCAATTCAACTGATACTTTCATTAAATTGGGTATTCACAGGGCCAGCGTTTGCTAACGATGTCATGTTCAGATAAAATTGCGCGCTGGAACATTGTGGGTATTCAGGGTTCGCTACTGTCTTCCATTATCGAGCCAGTGTACCTGCATTCCATTGTATTGGGCAGTCTGCTGCATCCAGAGCACATGTATCGCGCAGTGTGCGGCCGAATTGAGAAATCTATACAAGGTCTACCACCTCCGTATCATTTAAACAAGCCTCGTCTGGCTCTGGTTACTTCTGCAGAACCGCGCAATCAGGCAAAGGCTCCAAACTTCGGAATAAATTGGACCATCGGTGATACGGAATTGGAGGTGGTAAATTCTCTAACCGGGCGAACAATTGGTGGTCAGGTGTCAAGGATTACGAAACAAGCTTTCTTTGATAAATATGGATTTTTGATGAAAAACTTGCCTGGCATGCCAAATCGCAAGGTCATCAAGGACTACGGCGAAACAAAGGCGGATGTCAAGGACTACCAGGTTGGTACTTGTTGTTTATTTTATATATATACAGCTTTCAGCATATACATATACTCATTATTCTTTGCAGACGGCGAAGCAGGAGCTGTTTTCTGCATTCAAACGAGAGGACCTTGGCAGTTGGTTAAAAAAGCCAATTGAGCAAGACCAGTTTGGAAATGTGGAATGACTGCATTCAACTCCACCATCAACCGGATACATTTGTACCACAGCAAATTTTTTAAAAAAAGACAGCAACAACGGCAAGCAATTAATAGATTTAGATAATTTAGCTCATATAAAAACTTGCAATTTAGACTGCAATTTTATTTTTGTCCAATTAAATCGAAACCAATTAATTTTAATTAGTAACCTGCCGATGAAGCATCGGAACAACAACGACAGAGATATAGGTTCAAATATTGGAACGAAGAGATTTTTCAGTAGAATATTTCTAGAATAGAATGTAGTTTTTATGCTGGATCTAAGTAATGAAGTATTATGGCGTTTTACTTAAAATAATTGATTTTACATAAATTAACTAAGACCTGTACCTATTGAAGGCTACATCAATAACATGACATGACAAGTTTTTCGAAATTAAAATTTCAGGAAAAATAACCACTTTGAGTTATATCTTGCTCTCTTTTACTTTCATTGAAAATCGGGCTAGACCCAATTTTGTATGTATTACTCTTTATAAAAATCAAATAAAACAAAATATACATGCATATATTTATACATAATACATATACATACATATATTTATATATGTATAAATATATAATTATGTTATATATAATATATATGTATAAATATAATACATATATTATTATTATTATCAAATTTAAGCATGTATACTTACATGAGTTATACTAGCCTCTACAACAAATAATTAAAATGTAAGTAGTAAAATAATCACAAAAGCAAGTGAAAATATACATATATATATATGTATATAAGTATGTGAAAACTTCACATTTAATTATTTGTACGTAGTTTTGGGTAGACCATTTTCTGAAAACAAAAAAATGTTCCAAAGATTATAATCACTATTTAAATTAATTTGCTAGCAGCAACTCATTTATTTATTTCTTGCTTAAGATATTTGAATTTACTTTTTATAAAAATATATTTAAATATAAAACACCCAATCCCAAAATGAACAGGGGATTTTAAATTTGGGTTTCTTGTCCATACTTTTTTTTTGTACACAATATAAAATCAATTATATGGATTAAGCATGCCTTTACTTTTATTTGAGTGTTAATATTCATTTCCAAAAATTCACTTTTAATTAAATATAATAGTTTTAGGTAACTCTTGAAACGAGCTACCTTCATAATAGTCAATTTAATTTCCCACAAACAAAAACTGCCTGAATACCTCAAAAAATCTTCCGATTCAGTGCCATCTTGTTATACAACTTTTGGGAAAGGTTAGTTAAACATAATATCGTTTAATGTGTTTGAAGTTAATGTGATTGCAGTAACTTTAAAATAAAAGGCATAAGATTCGAATCTTCCAATTGTGAAAAAGCTTTCCGTCAGGAAATATGTAAAAACATATTGTTTTTAGGTCAGTTTGCAAAGATCAAAGCAATTTTTAAGTCACCACAAAAATATTTTTTATAAGATAATTGCCGAACATTAAACACACAGGCCTTAGTAGTCAATTGGAACTTTAAAGACTTAAAATGAATTAATTTAAATTATTATGTTATGATTTTTCCATTGATCTTGTCCAATGAAATACATTTATTGTATTAATTGTATTATTTTTAATAAACGATATGGCCGAAAGTCCAATTTTGATTTATACGTCATTGCATTTAATTTGATTTGAACATTATTCACCTCCATTTATTCAACTGAGTGTTTGCAAAGGTTTTCATGAAAATGATTGGAAATTGTTTGACGTTAGATACAATAATAAGAGGATACTTAATTAAGAGATACCACTTGCACTGTTCTAGAATGCTGCGGATTATGTATGTATAAGCGTAAATTTAACGGTATATACCTACATACATATGTGTATGCATGTAAACTCTGAATAAACGCGGTCCGGAAGAAAAGTTCATATTAGTCTGGGATTATGCAAATGATTCGCTCTTTTTTTTTATTTGTTATTTAACTGTTTTTGTGTTATAGAATATTTAAAGGTAAACAGCGATACAGCTTGTATTCAAATAAAGGCTTTAGATAATGAGAAAATCGATTCTACTTGGTTTTACATTTATTTTCTATCATTCGTCATCTGATGTCATAAATCAACAATAAATAAAAAGATTGTTCGGCACCCCGAAGATTATATACCTTTGCAGACCCTATGGCAGCTACAGCTATGACACAGTTTTCCGATGTTAATAATTTGTTGTCAAAACATAGGAACGCAATAATATATTACAAAAATGTTTATAGCGACTAATTGCCTATCAGTTAGTAAGATCGTTCGGAAGGAAGGTACTTCATCTACTGAGCACTCGTGCAACTTCGGCATGTGTATGAATCTATACAAAAGCAGCAATGCAAGTTATAACTTCCAGTTGTTTCATTAAAAACTATAGAATGAGTAACCCCTTATCAAAAATGATCTTATTAAATTATTGTTATATTGAATAAAAACTGGGAAAGATTTGTGTTGCTTCCATAGAAGGTTGGCTCTGCTGTTGCTACTAGTCAAGTACAGACGTATGTATGTACTTTATGTACTTTATGTGATCGGTATGTTGTCTTCAATACGTTTCACATTTCATTACAACATTTTAATATCGCATACTGACGCTTCTCTTCAAAAGTAAGACAGTCTCCACAATTATGAACAATATATATATATATATTTTCTATTTTCTACAATCAGATAAGAAATGATTACAAACTGACGCAAAAAATAACAACGAGCAACATTTGTATAAAATGTTTTTTTTTTTTTTTTTGATAAGGTATAAGTACAATCGAAATAGTTTACAAAATTATATTTAAATTACTTTCCAAACATACTGTTTAAAGATTCCTCGAAGCCATGAATATAATAATAATACAATGTTCAAAATACCAGCTGTTACGCTGAAGCCGTTAGTTCCCACAACCCAACAAATGAAATTCATGGGGGTCCCTAGCCATGTTTACATTAACGATAAGGACCGTGCCAGCAGAAATGCCAAAGCATCAATATGTGACTACTGTTTCTGACTTTACATATATGAAAACACTTTTAATAACCAATTACTAATAGTTTTGAACTAACATTCTGTGCCGTTCCCCGATTACAGAATCACACATATATATACATCTCTATAAAACCATCTACAATAAAAAAAAAAACAAAAAAACAACAACAAAAAATATCAAAATTCCACGTCAAATCCGCGCCTCACACACATAACTGTGTACCATAAAAAAAACAGTTTTCCAGTTATCAATTATAATGCTATTCTTAGCCATAAATATAAACACTTCTTATAATAATAGCTGAAGGCCATTTTATCTCAAAACTGGCTTTTATGTTTGGGTTAAGCTTGGCGCACTAAATATTTAAAAATAATTTTAAGGCATGTCCGACATTTCTTAATTAGTGAATATACCATGCCCGACTTACTTTCTGTATAAGCACATTGATTTCAAATGCTACAGAGCAAACATCAAAGTGGCCCTTTTGGTCTCTGTTTTTCACGCGGAGAGGAAGTTTCTTTAGTTGGGCAAAAGGACAGTGGCGGGGTAAGACACTGCCTGGATAAAAGGGCGTTATGCATATATATTTAAAAGACATTACGAAGAATCTCCAACCCCATATATATAATAAATTTATATACATTTATTATTGATAATTAATGGTCGAATATCAAAAGTCGAACCGATCTAGCCGATTGTTTACTTATATACGAACTGATCCCCTTTAAAATGAAACTTGGATTAAACTTAGGATATCTCCTTCACTTTGCCGAAAAAATGTACAATTTTTTTGCTTCATCATCAGCATATTCTCAAAAATCTTCTTTTGCTATAAGTATTATTATGCTTCTTAAATTTGGACAAGTATCATCCATATCCTATATAAACCTCTATAGAAACAATCGATCGGTTTTTTTAATTTATTTAGATGTCAGCATTGGGTATGTAATCTTCAACGTGTCTGAGATAGCCGTTTATGAACACATATTAATTAGCAATATATTTATGATTTAGTGAATCAACTTTAAGATAATTATTGGGCTTAAAAAATATTATAAACTTTTTGAGTTTCCTTTTTTGGTTAAGAATTCGTTTGGTTATAGAATTTACACAGAAAACTAATTACCTTCTTTAGGTTCTCGTAATACTTGTTTCATTTGAGTTGCATTTATGTATCCAACAATAAAAATGCTACTTATGAATATTGACAATTAATGTTGCATAACAATAAACATACATATAAAACAAAATTTGACCTTAGATAAAATACTGTGATACTAAATTTTACTAGCACTTCCAGCATAGCTGCATTTTATCCATTCTAAAATATTATAAGTTGAAAGTTACACTAAAAAGAAACAACTAAATACAATAGAGCGTTAGCAGCTAGCCAAATTATAAAGAGTTGTTAAATATTGGTTTAAATTACTTTTTGACTAAAGATTTTGACATACTTGAATTGGAAAAATTAGCCATTCATATAATTTTGTAGGAATAGGTTTTCTCTTCAAAATTGGTTGCGAGGTGTGTTAAAGTAAAATATATATGTATGTATGTATGTTATATATAAATGCTCAGCAACGGTTAAATAGAACTTGTGTATATATTGTACGCTTTCACACCACATATATTAAGTTCTGAAATGTCTTAAGAATCAAAATCAAATATGGATGTAGAAATCGATTATAACTCGTTATAAATATAAGCTTATACATATGTAATGGAAAGCTTACCTATATATTATTGTCAAATAATATTATCCATAAAAAATTCTTGGAAAATTTGATAACAATTTCCGTGTTTAATATCATTAGAATTAGTTTAATTTAAAGTCATATGGTCTGCGTATACATGTATACGTAAACATAACTATAAATAAATTAATAGTCGATGAACTACCCCTAATTCCAATTATTTTCAATGTTCTCAATTCCGAGGTCGACACTTATAAAATGGGTATAATACGTTTTATAAAAATGATCTAAATAGAGACAAAACATCATTTACAGAAATTTAACCAAATATCGTAGATCAGCATCAACAGTTGACCTAGTCCAGCTCGTATAGCATAGTACATATATACATACGGAAATTAAGCTCACTAAAAGTTTTTGATAGAACCGTAAACTTCTCAAAAAATTATTAAGAACAACGTCTACCGTAGTACATGTATTTTTTCGCATATCATCTCTATATCTTGAAAATTGCATCATGATTGGTTATAAGCATAATTGTTATACAAATAAGTATTTTTTATGTGAAGGGATTTATTTGATTTGGATACAGGGTATCAACGGAATTCCTTGTTTTATTTTTAGACAGATGCAATTTGTGAAAAACTTCCTAACATGAAACGATATCTTTCCCTAAACGTTGACATATTAAAAATAAAAAAAAATTATCACTTTCAAAGTTTCAAATTAATAAAAACTATTTTTGGAAGCACTGATGTGCAAAATAAAACAGTAAGATTGAAGTTATATAGATACTTTTGAAGACAAAAAGTATGCTGATGAACCATATCTATCAAATTTTCAACATTCAATAACTAAGCTTTAAACTGTACATTTAAAAACTTTGAAAAGATTAGTCATATTTCTTCCGGCAATTGCCTATATACAGGCAATATATAACTTGAAGCCGGTCAATTTTGATCGAGAATTATATGTAAGAGATTTCTGCACCAATCAGGAACGTAAGCTCACATGATAACAAAAGCCACATACACTAATTTACTTCCAGAGCATTTAAGTTCTTATATGTATATGCAAATGCATGTGTCAACATTCAAGTAAGCTATCTTTACAAAACCGTATAAAAAATGTTATAGGGCGAATAAATTCGTAATCTATATTTTAATAAAGTTACATATTTTTAACAACGAAACTTACAATAAAAAAGCTGCATATAAAATTGTATATCAATATATAATGAATCACATAAAAGACGATAACATATTGTAGGCAGATATGTATGTACAGCTAGTTTGCACTTGTTGTTAAAGTTTGGTTAATGCCAATCTACGTATTAAAAATTAATAGAGTGAAGTTAATAGTGTGCCTATTATATAGGTGATTCAATTTTACATAATGAATAAAAGATAGATGAACAAGAGATCAGCTTTTATGAACGTCTAAGATCGATAACAAAACCAAACCGATATGTGCTACGGTTAATTGTATCTAGTGCCATACGTAAAGCTGTACTCTGTTTAATAGCTTTGCTTAGCTTGCCTAATTGAGTATTGCCTGTCAACTATATATAATGTAATAACTATATACATACACATATATCATCGAAAATGTTGATAATATTATTTATTAATAACGTTTCTACTGATTCTGTTAGTTTTCAATTAAAAATAATTAATGCCAAATAATAAGACACACAAAATTCATTTTTTTCGTTCTCCGTTCCAAAATGTAACAAGAGAGAACGTTGCAGTCGGGCGTAATAACAAAGACCAAAGAAGGGTGAAATTATGGAGAAGGTTCCTACAAATCTTCCCTCCAAGCTAGGCCTTTATCATTTTTGGGAGCGGGAGTGGGTGTGGTCCAACATATTTTTAAAAAATATTTTTTGGGTGGTGTTACGAGTAAAATACCTTTCAAATTTGATGACTCTATCTTTCAAATTGTGTGAGATATATGGTCGTATCGATTTACACTTACAGGTGTCTCGATTTAGGCAGGCGGAGTGGGCGTGGCCATTCAATTTTTATCGATTTCTTAGGGGAGTTACCAGTAACATGCTCTCAAAATATGGTGCCTAGCTTACAAATTGTGGAAGACATGTGCATTTCCGATTTCTATAGTCAAATTTCCTGGGCGCAGCGGGTGTGGTCTGATAATTTATATGCCGATCCTCGGAGTAGGTTACCAGCAAGTTACTTTCCAATCTATCTTTAAAATTATGTCGATTTATACCTTCCGAAATATCGGCATTTGCGATTATGGGCGCAGTTATGGGCGTAGCTTTAAAAATATGTTATCTCTGTTGATCTGTTCCTCTGTCGCTCTGAAAGGCGGCTACCAGTAATATACCTACCAAATTTAACGGCTCTAACTCAGAAACTGAGGAAGATATAGCCACTTAAAATGTGTAGGGATGGGAGGGGGCGGCGGAGGTGGGCGTGCTACATGACGGTCTTTGAAGGACATCGCCAACAACTTACCAACTAAATTTAGTGACTGTAGCCTTAGCGAATATCGATTTTATCGATTTCCCTAGTGGACGTAACGCTCCAATTTTTACACTTTGTCTGACGCGGGCACAGACCAGAAAGTGTTCCAAGTCTTCCAAGTTCAGACAGCATGCGGACATTGCACGAAACCAATATAATATGATACCTTTGGTATCAAGGTATAAAAAGGCCATTGCAATATTATATATATATATATATATATATATATATATATATATATATATGCAAATTAAATTAAATATAGATTAAATAGTCTTCTAAGAATCATAGTTTAAATTAACTACTGACTCTATATTTACTGTTTTATGTTTAATGTTTTGTGTTTTTATTCATAACAGGTGTAGAGCTTTTGTAAACAAACATATTGCAATAAATTATAATACTTATCTTTGCATTATTATTTAAAAGTCAAAGTTATGAGTGTATTAGAAATTTATTTTGCTTAACTTTTCACAAGTACCATTGTGTATCTTTAAAAAGTAAACAACTCTTTAATGGAATGGATTTTAATTTCATTGGGGAAAAAATGCTATAATATTAATAAAAAGTACACTGCGAAAAATGAAAACTTTTAAAAAACAGGTAAAGTATTTCTTCAATTCTAGATTTGAGTTTGAAACCGAAAGGATTAAAATAAAAAAAATATATTTTAACTAAATTGCAGTTTCATAAAATGAGTCTTCAGTTCAATTAACATTATTTTCCCTGCCCATGGTCAACATTCCCCAAACTATTTTATTTGAATAATCCGAAAAATGCTTAAAGGCTTTACAAAAAATTAATAAAAATGGCAAACATAATTATTAATAAATATTATTATCACTCCCACCCACTTTCAACAGCATCCCTCTAAGTGCGTTGAATTGGATTTCAAATATTGTCGTCGAATATGTGAATTCGAAATTCCCATTGCTGTTGTAATAGTTTCAATAATAAATACTAACAAAAGAAGAGTCAAACAGTAAGGCTAAAAATAATTTAATAAAAAAAAAAACATGGAAAATACATTTGTAAATTTGAATCCAGCACAACCTAATGAGCCTTGGCCTTGTATGTTACTTTCCACACTTCAAATAGACAAATCGTGGAATGAAAGCGATAAAAAATCGCCAGTGGCATCGAAATATGTGTGATAATCGTCCATCCCCAAACGCCGAAAAACTCAAGGTGCGATTCACGAAACACCGCTCTTCCTTTGATAAGCGTGTTGACAAACCAGATGGCAATATTTGCGACCAAAAGGAAGGTAATAATCTCGCGGCCGGGTTTTCGTCGGACCTGTTTTGATCCCTTGCAGCGTCGATGGCTAGCATGTAGTATAAACATAGTCTGCAGAGATGTCTGCACCACACCAAACACCTCCGCGATAATGCCTTCAACTCGATCCGGTACGGTGTCCCATTTAGCAAAGTAGCTGCCAAGTATGCTGAACATTCCATACAAGTAGACGCCTGTCTGGGCCACTACCAGCAGGAGATTATCCAAATCCATTGAATGGTGTTCGTCGCTCGTATCTTTTACAAACTTTAGATCACGCATTAGAATCATGCCTGTCACGAAACAATTAAGATAATATATGTAGTTGGTTGATTTTGTTAATATACAGACCGGTTATTATTGCGGATGCGCACATAAAGTACATGAATGTTTCCCAGAGTGTAACTTCCTGGGTTGCGATGAGTTCGTAGCCGGGTTGCGTATACAATACAAAGTACATAATCATTGAGATTATGGTCATAACAATAATAAGTATACCGAAAAACAGACCCTTGTGCGATTGGGAGCAATCGACAGAGAAGTGATGTGCCGGCTTCTGCGCAACTGGCTTCACCGAGTTTTTACGTGTCTTGTCTATATCCGGTATAGACTTAACGGTTTTCCACATCTCGAATAAAATAACTGCACAAATGAGCGAGTATTCAATTGTGCACGGAAATAGAAACGGAGACAGCTGTTGAACCAAAGCACCCATGATTGTTGTACGGGAACATCCAGTAAATGGGGCATAAGTCGGTTCTGGTAGTACTGTGGTATTACCAACCGTCGCCGTCAAATTTACTAATATCTTGTGAAGCGGTGAAGTGGATTGGTTGGCTTGCATAGTTGATACAGTCTGATGGGGATTATGCAAATGTAAGGAATCATTAAGAGCCGACCAATCGGGACCGCCATGTGTACCGTTATGTAAGATCGGATCTTGGCCCGCATCGTGGTGGCCAATATGAAATATTTCGTGCTTTGTTTCCTCGACCAGTACGTATAACCATTCACACAGGTTGGTGGCCACCATGTGCATAAGTCCGAATCGCGAGGTAACCTTATGACGTGCCATATCCATATACGTGGTGTTGAGAAAGATGAACTGTACCTGTGCAATGCACAAGACCATGCGGCAGATAGGAGTGATGGCTACAAAGACGTCGTGACATCCCGGATGACCATTCAGTTCAAAGAATTGACCAAATTCCAAGCCCGAATACACCATTGTACCAATTGCGAAGGCAATAGCACCTACGCGTAGGTAGAAACTTCCGAAGTGAGTCACTTTGTGCTTTAGGTGTATATTGCTATTCTTCTCATCTAAAACAATCAAGAATTAAAACAGATTGTCAAGCTTAATACGTAAATAATGACGGCCTTTTCCAGTTTCACAGCTTCAAATTTTCAACATTAATCTATAAACCTTTGCACATTTTTATCATAACTATTTTACTAATTTTTATTGGGTTAAGTTTATAGGAAGGCTATTTAAGCTATGCCATTGCAGACATCTGTCCATCTTCTGACAACTGACATCAATTTCATTATAAATTAAAAAAACAAAAACCATTTGTATAAATTATGGTTGCAGTTATTTAAATATCTATTGATACAATATGATATCTTTACTATGTACAAAACCTTTGGCCATTAAGCAAATTTAAGTCAAGTCATATTGGTGTGTGCACTGCCATATTGACGCACTCAACATTTTAAGTTGGGCTGACGTATGTGGAATCTCTTAATTGGTGAGTATCAAATACACCACTCTTACATACAAGTGTATTTTTATTCTTTAAATAAAATCTTTCACATTAAAAAAAATTAATATTTGAAGCAAAAGTGAAACGGGAAATATATATTTAAAATGTAGAAATTATTATTGGACTTACGAAAATCCTTGAGTGCATTAAAAAGCGATCGATTTCGAAACGCACTTATGTAAACAAATATCACAAATAATATGCTACCGGCATATAAATAAACATAAAATCCTTGATAAACATATGTCGGTATTTGATCTGAAATGACTTCAGTAATAGGTAGGCATACACCTAAGAGCACTAGTAGCTTGCAGTAAGTGGCAGACAATGCCGAGCTGATGGCATCGCTATAAAAATGAGAAACAAATGTATCTTGCATCATCTTAGGTTAGGCTAAGGACTTTCTTACTTGCCCGTTCGTCGGTTCTTTTCTTTCTGTTGCTTGGCCTGAAAGCTTTTTGCACCGCTGTCATAGTTGGCACTCGAACCATTGCGAGCACTGGTAGATCCGCTTTGAAAATTGATAGTCGCCGTACTGCCATTAACCGTTCCATGTGGATTTCTTAGTTGGAAAAGATAAAAGAAAAAGAAAATGAGAAAGATAGCGACTTCTTAACTTAATTAGTTAATAATATTTAACAGGCGTACGTATATGTAAATAATGTAAAGACCAGCTATACCCTGAATTTTTGGAGTTGCGTGGATGAAGAAAATTACTGGGATCCTTGCGTCCAGCACCAGGGGGTCGCTGGGTGAGGATCTCTTGCAGAAGTATTGAAGGGCGGCGGGACACTTGGAGTGTGCAAGCTGAGTCATCACGATGCATACCAATGGTTGGCAGTGGTAAAAGTGTCTGCCGCTGCTGGCTACTTGGATCCATCAGCTCCAAATTAGTCTGCGATTTCGCTAGCGGCGATATTGGGTGTGACATAATTGGTATGTTATGATGACCGCAGTGATCACATGCGGTACGAGCGTACCGTTTTATAGAGTTCGAGGTAGCGGCAATCGATGAACTAAAGTTGAGTGGCGTTTCCAGCGCCGTTGACGGAGTTAGGCGAGAGAAGGATATCGATTTTTTCGGCCTTATTGCAATAAATTGACAACTGTCGTTAAGTATTTGATTGCTGACGTAAGATCGGGTGTGAATTCAACAATTTTCGTGAAAACTTCGGAATGCAGTTGCGCGCACACACAACTATTGTAGAAGCACAGTAGACACGCTGGGAAATCCCCAGCTCTGTTCAACTTCAAATTTTAACATCAACTAACATTGCCGTAACAAACTTCTGGTTATTGTCAACTATGAACGCGGTTTTTCGTCGACTAATTCAAAAGATGGATGTGGCCTCACTGGTCAGTATGTATTATCTTGAGTTGCTGATTGGTTTTTGATTGATTTTGTCAATTAATTTTTTTTGTGTCTGGCTTTGCAATGATTGCACGTTCATAACGGAGTTAGCATTGGTAGGACTGAAGCACACCTAATTAGCCAATTTAAGACCAGCACACGAGCGGTGAACTCTACAAAGCTATCACCGACTGATAACACAACAAATAAGTAAGTCTGTATCCATCAATACCATGTTGAATGTCTGTAGCTTTTGTTGTTCAAATCAAAGTTATGTCATATAATATATTCCAATTTTACAATTAGCGTTTCGCCACTTATCAATTATTATTGTTATTAACAAAAAAAAGTGGCAAATTGTATATCTTTTGGAATTTCTGTAGCTGCACATATATAAAGATTTGCGAAAAATGTATGAGGTCCATTAGTCGAGCAGTTTACTTTACTAAAGCAGTGAGTAAATCATGTTTTCTTTTAATGAAATGAGCAATTTGATAATTACGCTACTCTTTATTTTCCGTTTTGTATCTACACTCAGAGAAAAAACCGCCCCGAAATTTAGTAATTATGTAAAACGTTTCTATATTTGAAATCTTAAAATCCACTAATGTTCAATAAGAAAAATAGCTAACAAAACCCCCAATATAAGAATTATATATGTATGTTTGCACATAGAAACCAACAGCAAGAAATTAGGCGCATTTTTACAAATATTAGAAAAATCCGTGCTAAAATTTGGAAATGCAGACCCTGAACCCCTTGAATTCATCTAGTATATAACTGTTATCTTAATATACCTGCGGGCCTATATATATTCTGATTTTTACAACTCCTTTCATTTTTTTTATTATAATATCAAAGCTCAGTGGACTTTTTCAAAAGGGCGAATCATAATTCGACGTGCAGTTTATTTTTATACATATAATGTACATATGTACATATGTACATAAATATGCGTGATGCTTATAAAAAGCAAAACTTTCCGTGCTAATTTTACACTAATCAGCTTTGTATGCGATTAACGGAGAGCAGCTAAGTGAAATATCAAATATAATTCTGTGCTGAAGTAGCAGAAGCTCCGGTGAAAACAGTTCAAGGTATAAATAAATACTTATGAATCGATGTAAGTGTTATGTACGCCTACATATTATGCTCAATTGTTGCTATTGGAAGGAAGTTTGTTGCATTTTCGGTGGCAACTAATAGTTATATATTTCTGCTATATTTCACTCAGTTTTAGAGCTAGAATCTCCAAATTTGTAATAAATAATAACCAGAAAGAACGACCACCTTAGACCCGCAGCTGACTGATATACCCTTGCTGACCGGAGTCCATCAGCGATCATATGAATTGCATTATTTATTAAATTTAGCGATTGCTGCTATGGAAGCAATATTAAGATATATGTTAATAGTTCTTTCCCGTATAGCTCTGTGGGGAGTAACACATCTCGCGATTCGAATTGCAGTGAAAAAGCCTTTTCAAATTAAATTATATGAATTTATTAACAATCAAAAATGTGCGCTGGAATTAAGAAACAAAAACTATGTTTTTTAGAACGACACAACCATACATAAAAAAAAAAACTTTCTGAATAATGAGGTGAGTTATGCTTGGCGCTAAAACCATAATTTAGCCGCTGTCATAAATAAATAACATACACGAACTACAGAAATGAATTTAATTGAATTTCAATAAGGGCTAAAAATAACTTGCTGGCTCATATTAACCATGCCGTTATCGGTAGTTGCGTTGTCTAAGTAACAAGCAGCAACAATATATATTTTGTTATTGTAGTAAATATTTTTATAGATATCAAATCAAAATAAATAGTGTAAAATAAACACATTATTTAAAACACACTCATCACACATTCACACACACACACACACACTTTAAAGGTATTTGATGGTTTGGTTCTTTAAAATGTGTGTGATTTGAATTTGATAACAATAAAATGTATTCATTAACTTTGAGTAGAAAACACAAACTTTTTGGCACGCGCCACATCATCTCTGTAATGAACGCGTTGCTTTGTCTTCCACAATAAAATCGGCTCTTCATAAAAGCCATTTATGTTTAAGTTAGTTAGCGACATAATAAAATGTTGTTGGGGTAAGATTCAAAGAGCAGACTCGAAACCAATCATTGGTGTGAAATGGTTGACTATTGTAATGACTTGACTCCGCGACTCTGTAGCTGATTTTCCTTTGTACAGCTATACATCAGTAAGTTCTCTATGACACTGAATGCTTCAAATATTTGTGGCAGTAACTTAAGCTGGCAGACAACGTTTGAGTAGTTGATTAGCGATTTTGTGCTTTCTTTGTCTGCCGCTGTTAACACACAGATTAACACAATTTTCAATATAAGACCAACACATTTGGGACTGGGTACTGAAAAATAACACTTGAAACTTGTGCAACAAATTTAGTTTTAACAAGACAGAACTTTTGTAGTCGGGCGTAATCGACTGCGAAATACTTTGATACCATAAGTATAACAAAGATCGTTATAGGTGTAGCCAAGAAGTACTGTCCAAGCTTGCCTGTCAAATTGCGGCATATACATATAAGCTAGTAACGTTCCGTCCAAGTTTTACAACTGCAGTTCTTAACTTGCGGCAGATATAGGCATCTGGGAATTTTTTGGAGGCGGAATCGGAGTACGATCTTAGTAATCTACAGTGTTATAATTGACAGTAGATATTTTTATTTTATTGATTTAGGAACTAATACGCAAAACAGACATTCAGTCTGAAGCGAGTATAATAATAATAAATATTTGTTTCCACACTTTATGGCAAAATTTTAAAATTCGTTAATATTTTTTTCATTTGATGTTATATACTCGTATATATAAATAATGTTGTTTGAACTAATTAAAATTATGTGTGCTAGGCAACTAGCATTCTAATATTATTTTTATAAGTAAAATGTTGACTAAAAAAAATCAATTATTCTTACCTAAATGTGACAGATGGCATTCGTTCGTATTTAATCAAGATGTTCGGCTCAATCATTAATTCAAGTCAGAAAATGTTTTTAAAATAAATTTGGTCTTTATAAAGTAATCACAAAACAAAAACAGTTCTTTTTTCAAGGTGGGAAATAAAAGTGTAGGCGCCACTGCTGTTGTAAGAAAACTAAAAAATAAATGTCTTTCGCACTTACTTCTTATCGCTTTGGTTAGATAGTGGTCAGAGTTGTGTATAACTCGTCATATAGTATGTGTAATTTGTTTTTTAGTTAATGCATGGGTATTAACTTGGGTTTCCGATGTTCGCGGCTGTTGTCAGTGACAAATGGTAATGGTTATTTATATATTATTATATATTTGTGCATATATCCTCTGTGCTATTAGAAACTCTTATTTTAATATCAAAAATTGTAATGTCTAACTTACAATGAGAGTAATTTAATACATTCAAATTCTATAGTATTTCATACATATGTTTGTACTTTAATTTCATTACACACTTTTACAAGTTCTGTAGCTATATGTATGGATGACCTATATATTTGTAAAATAGTGTTTCAGGTTAGAATTTTTTTTTTTTTTAATAAAGCTTAGCATTTACATTTTTTAGAAAAATATTCCTTGGTAATAGAAAATATTATCTAAGAACCGTAAACGCTTTCGAGCTCTTAGGCCGATTTTCTTGCTTTTAGAGCGACTTGTTTTTTGAGTGTAGATACAGCTCATTTCATATTTGGGTACGATAAGGCCTTAGGGCTTAGGTTTCATATTCTACCATTACTTTCATTATTTACTTGATAACTAAGCGATTTCATTTCAATGTTTGTATTTGAATACACTCAGAAAAAATCAATCTAAATTTTAGAATTTGGCGGCAAGGGTAACCCAGCATATTATATATAGAAGGTATATTTCTAAAATCGAGGGTTTTTATTTTCTTTCTTCTTTTTGTCTAATATCCAAGTGTTTTTTAATATGTGTACCCAAACTTTTCCATTAGATTTTCTGTAATTTATATTATTATTATTAGTACATTAGTATTTTAAGATTCTACATGTTTAAACTTTTTAGATGGCTTATAATTTCATATAATTTAATTTGAAATAAAAACTTACGGCTACGATAAGCAAGGCCATTTTAATTAAAAAGATTTTTTTATTGTATATTTCAAAATGATTTTTAAACCCTAAAAATCTTTCTAGTTTTCAGAACGGGTTTCATTGTAAAGCGTTCTTCTTTATTTCAGGTCGATTTTGTCTTTTTATTCTGAGTGTACATCTTAGGGTGGTATTATCGATTATTTTTCTTTTTATCACTGACATTAACATTAACACCGATTACGACCCATTCACAATGTATGTACATATATATGCTTATATGTTATTATTTTTTAAGTAAAAAAAGTTTGAACGATGCAGTTGGCAGTAGCCTAGTAGACTAGGTAATGTATTGAAACAATGGGGCTAGTGATACATATTGTTTTAGAGAAGGATTCCAGGAATCTGCATTAAAAATGTTTTATTCTAGCAATAACAATATGGGCGATATTTATGTATGTTCATCGATATGAAAGGTAGGAGTACGTCTGTCGGTTTGCTGCACCTTGTCAAAGTCATGAACACAAAATTCAAATAACCTCCACAAAGCAATAACATTTTGGATTAATTTCTCCCGTCCCCGATGGAATATCGAAGATTCCCATTAGCACATTTAAGATATATACTTTGTGATTGCTCGACTGGTATTACATATGTCCATTTAATTGATCAGAAGCGGAACTCGTTGACTCTCCACACAGTATGCAGGTTTCGTCGACAACGAACTTGTTTTTTAGTCATCACAGCCCGCTGCTGACGAAACCCGAGCTCAATGTGGAACACACTACAGACCTCGTCGGTTTTCTCAAATATACAATATAATATAATATAATATAATATACTTTGCCTGTGGCACTTTCCTTTCAAAAGCAACTGAGAACCTCTCGAGCACGCTCCCGAAAAACGTTTAGGCCAATTATCAATTGCGAATTCAACTGTGCACGCATTGGTCCATATTATCTGTAAGAAAATAAATCAAAAATAACATATTATATTATTATTGTGTTATATACATATACATATATATATAGCAGATATATTATTGTGTAATATACACTTATCTTATCTTATATATTGCAACCAATAACTTTGATTTTGAGACCGTGGTACTTTTATTTTAGCAAATTCAAAAAGTATGAATGCGAATCCTTTGCAAAAAGAAGACCAAATACTAAGTACACCAAATATTAAATTTTTCTAAATGTGGTGTTTTCTCATAAAAAACATGAAAGAACGATCTAATAGAGGGAATTCGAGCAGAAGATACTCTGAGCCCAAGTCTTTATATATCCAACACTGTGAAAAAAGGCGCACACTTATTGTTTGGATATACTAGGATAATAATATATATTAGGAGTACAAAATATTACGTTATGTTCGAGATAGGGTTTACATGGAAACTCCTCTTTCGACTGATTGTATCTGTGGTAACTATATAATATACTGGTCCGATCCGTTTATCTCCGACTTATGTAGCAAAGTTTCATCAAGATTATTTTTAATTCCAGGCTTACAAAAATTTGACAGAACGAAATGGCTGTAAGGACTCGGCTAATAAAGTAAATATATATAATTTACGGTGCCGGAGACGTCTCTTGTTTTGCAAGTCCAAGAACACAATTAAAAAACCTTTTAGACAACTATATACGCACAGCCATATGATTGTTTGACTCCTAATCGAATTGCACCTGAAGAATAACAATTAATTACTAATTTATGCATACATATAAATGACAGTTTGAAAGCGAAATGGGTTCACAAGATTGGAAAAGAAGTGATTGTGTTTTTATCAATATGCAGAAAGTTCGCCAACTAACTTGCTACTTGCTATAAAGATCCTTTGCAGAATATATATGCCAATCATCGCAAAAAGAAAACGTGAAATATGAAAATGTTGGCTGGTAAAACGCCACCAACAAGAAAGTAAATAATTCACTTAAAATCAAATAAAATTTAATTTGCTTTCAGCAGAAATGTGCACTGTGCGCGAGACGGCAGTTTAGCTGGTAGTCTGCTTGTATTGCCACCGTCATGTTTATAAAATATGGGCAGTGAAAGATAGACAGTGGAGAAGAAAGGACCAGCCAACACTGCAAAAGCGCTGTATAAGTCAGAAGGATAGAAAATGCCACTCTGAGTACTGTTGTAAATTTATTGTTAAGTCGCAGTAAAAAAATTTAAATGTAGTCTGCCCACAGCATAAACTGTGTTGTCTAACTATTTACTTAGATGACTCAATTCACTCGAGATAACTTATTATATTATTATTTATATACAAATTATTTATATAATATATATTGTTATCCACGATGAGCTATATTTTTCAAAATCAATGCATATTTGCAGATGGAGCTGGGCTTTTATTACAGACACGAATCAGAGTGTACCGAGTTTAGAGCGAATCGAGTGCTTTGCAGTCGTTTTACAGAGGGACATGGGTAATTTTCCTATTTCCCAGATAAGCAGTTGTTCGCTACAGTCAGAATCGATTAAAAATTACAAGTTTCAAGATTCTAGCCTTAAGTGTGTTGAAAAAAGTTGCGTGTATACTGACGGACAGCATCAAAATACAAAATCAATAGCAGAGAATTATATTTATTATTGGAGTATATCCAACGTCGCTCTAAGAACCCCAATTTTTCCTTATAATTTAATTATTGGCTTCATGTAAACCAATGTCTGATAAAATACAAATCAGTTTACAGCCTACATAATACATTTCTCTTTTGAAACCGGAAACTATACGGCTATTGAGATGTTAAAACTAAATACTAATTTTGATGTTTTCAGTATTATTTTGCAATTATTTTGACAGCTTGCAGTAAGTGAAAATAAATATATTGTAAGCACACTTAAAATTTTGGCATGTGTAAAATTTGTCAGCAAAACTACTTTTCCACATATCGTTTAGCTCAGTGTCATATTATAGGAGCTGCCTTGGTACGGCGAGGAACGATAATTATGCTTGGATGACTTTTGAATGCTTTTATTTTTTATGTTACAAAACAAATAAGACAGTGTTTCAGTGCTCTGTCACACAAATGCAAAGTGGAAAAAGTGAAGTAAACAAATAATTTAAAATGCTTGCAGACCCAGTAACCAAACAGCTGTTTGCTTTAAATAATTTGAATTTAGGTTAGCATTTTTAA